TAGTTATGGTAGAATTCGACTTTTTTAAAGACATTGTGATACATGGCTCTTATCAATCTTTGCAAAATTTGGTCATTCCACCGTTCTTTTCCCAGACCAGATGAACGAAAAATACGCATGTCGGAAATACACGAATTCCGTGTATGAATAGTGATTAATTGCATGCTGACATGAATGGGTCATGTTTACACAACATTCCTTTTTCCATGGTTAAGTCTACTTTACTTATGTGGGGAAAATAGTCCACCCCTTGATCATCTTGCGCCAGAGCTACCGTAGTTATGGTTATATAGTGCTTTTGAAGAAGTAACAATGCTATTGCTAGTGTCCAAGTGCTGACCATGCTGACAGGCCTAGCCTAGGCTAGGCCTAGGGCTAGGCCAGGGAAAGATAGTACTTAGCTTAGTTAGGGGGAAACAAGTACAACGTGGCCTAGGCCCTTCATAAACATGCCCAAGACATAAATGGATTTGGTAGTAAAGTTAACCTTTTTAATCGTTGAACTATTAGTGTAACTTAGAGAATCGTCGAGTGAAAAAAAAACATTTCTTGAAATAATCAGCCAGAAACGAGTTGAACAATGCACCCATGGATTTTTAGCTTAAAATAGGATGCCACAACCTGCAAAAGGAAATGTCCACAATTAATGCATTAGCCATATCGGATAACGGCATGATAAGTTCATGTCAATATAAAAAAATGTTTCCACATCTTTTATCCAACAGCTGCTATAGGATATGTAAGCTTGACATCTGCCGAGTCAGAAGTGTCAACATCAGACTGTTCGGCGAGCCTTGATGTGAAACGTAAGTCCTTGAAAAAAACATGTTGTGTCATTTCAGCACCATGGTTGAAATCCAGACGAATTAAATAGCAAATAAAAATATACAAACATGAAGTTTCACAATATTAAGAATTGTACATGTACATCACAGAGCCATATAGAACATGATGTCATGGGATACAATATCCCCATCACTGCTTTTAAATTTTAACTATCGGGTGAATGAATACTATATGATAGTTGTTCAAGTAACTGTGGTACTTTTTTTTTGTGGGTGTGTTTTGTTTGTTTTATTTACAGAGCTGTTCTGGTTCAGCAGCAGTGGAAAATGCTGCATCTCTTCAGGAACAGAACTGTAAAACTGGGTACATGTGTTTCTGAGGTAGGCACATTTTTAGAAACCAGGGAAAAGTGTTGATTCAGATTGCGACTGATAAAAGTACACTCTCTCCAGAATAAAAAAAGGGTTTATTATATTTGAATGTCCCTTCATCCTTTGTTATGAATGTAATTTAACATGTAGCACTAATGCCAAAGTTGTTGTTTTTCAGCAACATAAAATCATGCACTTAACAAGGAGTTGCCTTGTTCATTGTGCCTTAGACATTTGGATTTTTGCTAAAGTTTGTCTTTATAATAACACAATATGCTTGCTAACAGTTTGGATTTGAATGGCTCTGGATGTGATTTAGTTTTGAAATTCAGAAGAAACCTATATTGAAAATGATAAGCAGTGATTTAAGCTCTTCGGCACATGTTAGCAACCATAGCTTGCAGCAAGTATGAATATATATGTTGTGAATAATAACAAACATTAGAATTACCATTCTTTTTCCCTTTCTCATTCTCTCTCTGCCTTTGCAGGCGATGCTGTGCACGATCGACACGATTCCAACAGAACCTTTTTCGTGTCCTAATTTAGGCTCATTGCTTGCATACAAAAACCCCTTTAAGTTGGAATGCATGAGTCCCTTATGTGTGATATTAATCTGTTCTGTGTTTTCTTAATGATGTCCATTTCAAATTTATTTAAAAGCAACTATCTTCAGACTGCTGTCTCCTTTTGGTACAGTTCACCAGCTTAAAGATTGCCCAATTACTTTTCAGGGTAAGATTTTCTTTAAATCCTTCCAATGAAACTGAAGATTTTGAAGCGTGCAAATATTGACACATAATCTATTTGTGGATGTCTAACAAACAAGCTGACAACTAAATACCAGAAACCAAACATGTGACTGAAAATTGTATGGAAGTAACATGGAAATAGTTTTATTACTACCTTTTAGGCAATACAGATAATTTCTCTTTAATACCCTATGAACGAAGAGTTTTCTTCAAGTAACGATGGAGTTTAGCCTTTTAAAATCTCTGAAGCATTAAAAGTCTCAGATGTAATCGATTCATCGTGATTACTTTTAAAGCGTTACTAGTGGAGATAGTGTGAGGGCGGCCCATCTCATGAATAACATTTATCAGAATGTAAAAAAAAAATCTACATAACCTCAAGCAGAAACTGCTTTTACTTAAATCTCTCTTAAATGTTCCATAATTGTAAACTTCAGAAGTACCTGAATATCAATAAAGAAGTTCTGCTAAATTAAAGAGTAGCTTGTCTGTATGATTTTTTTTGTATTACGGGTTAAATACATGCAGCTACAGCCAGTGATATGTGAACAGTTATATAACTTGGATCCATCCACCGCTTTACCATCACTATATAAACATCCCTTAAAATGAGAATGATATAAGAAATAAGCTATATTGTTCAGGGTCACATTGCAGGAAATTCAATACCAGTTAAAATAAACTGTAATCTTGACATTTAAACTTGTACATGTAATACTACAATCCTCAAACGTGTTTAATTTATACAAAATAAGTACATGTAATAGCAAGTGCCACCATTAGTCGATCGAAACCGAGGCGGCCACGCCGATTGAACGTATTCACTGTGCGCGTATGAGCGTAGAATCGCGCGAGTGCTTTTGGCCTCGTTTTCAAGTTTGGCGAATCCACTGACCTCTGCGTTTTGCGTTTTCACGAAGTGGCGAATCCGCGCACTGTGTGTGGCGAATCCGTTGAGGTCTGCATTTTGCGTTTTCACGAAGCGGCGAATCCGTTTCGTATTTAACAGCTCTTAAACTACAGATCCATTAGCGGAAATATGTATCCGGTCATGTCATTTAACTAATGAGCTGTTGTATCAGTGAAACATCTTTTGAAATTTGGATTAAAAGTGGGGAGAAATGACCGTTTCAAAAAGTGACCAACTTCAAAACCGATTTTCTCAAAACGCAGTGTTCGCGCCCTGTGGGCGGATTCGCCAGTTCGTGAAAACGCCGACGACTTGGGAGACACAAATTTTTTCAAACTTAAATGTGCCCAGTAACCCAATATTCCCTTGTCCTTTTTCCACGAATTTCAGTATGTTTACTAATTAGACCACGAACAACAAATATAATCTAATTGCGACGGTACAATTTTTCTTGCTAAAGGGGGGGGGGGGGGGGGGCTGTGACATTAGGAAGACATGAAAATGTCTCTCTAATGACCGATGTCTCCCATCGTGCGAAGAAATTACGACAACGTGTCTCCTTAATGGTACCATTACACGTATAAAAATGATAATAAAAAAGTTGTAACAAGCGCAAACATTCCAGTTTCTTTCTGTAAATAATTGTCCAAGTTTTTTCCTTAAAAATTAACATTACCGAGTTAAAACGTCGGTCAAGATTTACATCAGGGGTTCCCATCATAAAGATCCAATCTTGTAAATTCAAAATATGGATTTAAACGATAGGAAATGCCATTTTTGTTCTACGGCAGCGTCTGGGTGGAATAGTAATCCCAGGCGAAAGATTATTCCACCCGAAAGATGGAAAACATTTCCCCATGGGAAGACAGCGGGATATGTGCCTTCAGGTCACTCTGAGTGAAAATAGCTGTAGGCCTATGTTGACTTATAGTATAAGAATTATTATTTTTGTTATAGCTTTGTATTCTGTTCCGTCAATTGAAAGTGTTAGCGGTATGAAATGTCATAATCTTCAGTCAGTAGTAAAAATGGACATTATACTTCAACGTCCGTGATTTTGGTTATGTTTTCTTGTCTGTTTCTTATTAAAGGCGCATTATAAGCAAAAAAACCCTAAACTCTCGGCCAACCTTTTCTATTTTTATATCCTTTCTGTTGAGAGCATTGGTCCCGGTCCCAACGTTATCGATGGTAATGTTGGGAGGATTTCAGTCGGGTCGCAAAATACATATTTCTGAATTTGTGAAGCAACATTAACGCCAAAACAGAAATTGGATGAGGTCTTCATATGATGTCTCATATTTTGCTTGAAAGATGGGAAATAAAAGAAACATTCTTCAAGGTGAAAGTTGAAAGCAAAAGCACACAGAGAGTCTGTTTTCCCTCCTCTGTCTTCATCCATGTTTCACTCTTTACTTTTTTGTATGTGATCGTAGATTTAATCATGGAGGAAGGAATAGATCAAGTAGGCCTAGGCCTATCTGTGTGTGTGCTCTATGGTTTGATTATGGTTTGACACCGCGACACCGTGTCACCGTGACGTGTTTCTCCGTCAACATAACCTATTTATCTCCGTATTTTGTAAGCGTTCTAGTAATGTCTGACCGTTTAATAATGCCAAGCTTTATGGTACAAAAATCATCAACCAATTACAGAAGTATTTAATCATAGGAATAATGCTAGGAAACTGCGCTATACATGTATACATGTGTATAACATGTCACCGCTTGTTGGCACAGTGACCGCATAAATCCAGGGGGGGGGGTATATATCCTCCCACTTTTTGACCAGGGGGGATGGGCTATATTGAATCATCCCCCAACTTTTCGCGATGAGAAAAAAAATGCGGATTTCGAGGTATTTTTCGAACATCCCAACAACCAGAATGTATTCAATAGCACTGAAAAGTGGAGAAACAAAGTACAAAATCTTATAAAATGCATGCGCCGTTTTGACGTAAGCGCGAAATTGATATACATGTACATATATATCCTGAAGAGCGTCGGCCTAGTGTAATGTGGTGTTACCGCCACCCCCCCCCCCCCCCCCCCCCCCCCCCCCCACCCATTTCGAATTTCCACGGCCGGGCAATTTTTTGATTTTTGTCATCCGCCATCCCCCCCCCCTCCCCGGTACAGATTTACGCCACTGATTAGTGATATACTGAGCATGAACACTTACCGCCCCCATTTCTGTAGCACAGAAACGGGAACCGCCACACGTTTCCCAGACCCACCGCCAACCCAAGGCAGGACAACACGAAGTCCAAGGGATGCGACCAGTTGCCTCGTTGCTTATTCTCGTCACCAACTTCCTCCACCTCAGCAGGCTCCCCTTCCCTGGTCCTCACCTCTGCTTCAACACCGCCGTTTTCTTGCTTTTGGAGGTCCTCCATTCTTACCGAGTTATAGAGTAATAAGTCTATTATGAACACATGTAGTACTATGGCATACATCAGCTCAAACCCGACCCGGTCAGTTGTACCTTGATAATGGAGTGAATGAAGCACACGCAGCAGGTGAGCAGACCGCACCTACCCCCTTTGTAAGTGTGACGTCATTACACAAAACGTATCAAAAACCAAAATCATGTGTTCTGTCGGCGCCTGCAATATTTACTAGCACGGCGCTGCTGTGCGTCTGCAAAATGTATTTTGATGTTTTTATCAAAATATTTATAGCATTGACGTTTCGGGCAGCATTCCATGGGATTTAAATCACTAGGCTTGTTGCAACCTCATTGCTCTCAGATCGTTTGTATTAAAGAAATAACACTCACAATGTAAGCCAGTTCAATATGTTTTATTTCCAAACAAAGATGCTTTCTTGTAGCTGTGGCCAGTCAGTATACAAAATACACAATGTACAACAAATGACAAATTGAAAAAAAAAGATCATCAACATGTACCTCAGCAGCCGTCTCGTATCATTTCATACAAAAGCTGCAATTAACCCTAGCTATTAAGCAGTCACAGACAGTCAAACAATTCCATCCACTTCCCCTGCCATGCCTTTACACGGGCTAGTCACCAACAGTCGGATCATAATCAGGCAAGCACCCTGACTAGTCAAATTCGGTCAACAGACAAAAGCAGGAAACTGGCTGCACAGCTGCTTTATCAATCACCTACAGTCAAAGCACAGCTGTACCAAGTTACATAAACAGTTACAGCCAGTCAATCCTGCTTTGTAGGCTGGGAGCTCTCAAACTGTTGAAAACAGACATTGATTTTGACTGAAAGGACAACTTGGCACAATGTATATTTGCGTAGGAGGGTTAACCAGTTCGCGTCGGATGGCGTGTATACACGCAAAGGTTTTTCGGTATTCGGAACGTTTGACAGACAAACACGCAACGAGTGAGGCCGGAAACATCCATCTGCGACCCGCTCACAGCAAGCAATTAAGGCCGGTGTAGCATGAATTTAGGTTTTATGAAATACGGACTCATTGGTGATATTGCGCATGCTCATGCATAGATGATTAGGAGGGGGACCGGTCACGTGAGAGGGTTTAACCAATAAAAGGGAAAAAGAGTCCGATTTTCATACGAGTCCGATTTTCATATGACACCGGAACTATCAGGGTGTGCCACCCGCAGAAGACAGCTTGAACCCAACCTCGTCCCCAGTGCTTACTTTATTTCCAACCTAGTTTCCAATAGTAAACCCTGGATAGGAAACTTTCGGGTTGTCGGACGCTTCGCCCCATTTCCACGTCGCCCCATGTCACTTTGCCCCTAACTACTTCGCCCCATCCCCGCTTCGCCCCATCCCCACTTCGCCCAATCCCCGCTTCGCCGGGTTGGAAGTTGGATCTTTTACTTCAAGCTTTTTTTCTCGGTAGGGGAGAGTGATAGCTTGAGAGGTTGGTTATGAATTGTTCATTTGGTGGGCTAATTCTTTCCAATGGTTAGCAATTAGTGAATCTGTTGCAATTGTTTTTAAGCCAATAAAATACATGTAGATGAGATTTTTTTTTTTTTACATGTAACGGCTGGGGCGAAGTTGCAATGGGGCGAAGTGGGGATGGGGCGAAGTGGGAATGGGGCGAAGTGGGGATGGGGCGAAGTAGGGATGGGGCGATGTGGGGATGGGGCGAAGTGGGGATGGGGCGAAGTGGTTACGGGCGAAGTGACATGGGGCGACGTGGAAATGGGGCGAAGTGTCCGACATTCGAAACTTTCTTCCTGCATCCTGATTCGATACGGCAATTAGCTAGTAATGGATTTTTGTCGTGTAGGCCTACTTGGTGTTGTTATTCACAACGTGCAGTACGTGTTTTCGCGATTATTCGTCCACGCCTTCTCGAAAATACTCATTTCCTTCCCAATTTGTTCATATTATGAAATGTGATACTACATGTTGTCTCGGTAAGATCGTAACAAATTAAAGAAATCGTGTTTTTGTAACTCACGCCACGCTCGCGCTGCGACGAATTGACTCTGCTTTTACCCCAGACACCGCATACAAAAACAAACGGAAATGTAACGCACATGCAGGTACCAGGCTCATTTGCATACGTGTTCAAAAATCTTGCACATGCAAATGATCAAATACCAGGGTGAGAGAGCAGGTAGTGATGGGCGCGTACTCCTCGACACCCTGGGTCGAGGTTGGCTTGAACCCGTCTGGAATCGAGGTTCGTCAAAACAATCCCGCGTCTGGGTCCGGTCACTGTCAAAATAATCCAGGTGTCGTGCCAAAAACCGTCCGGTGCCAAATAGTGTCCGCTGAGCATGCGCAGTAGGCGCCAGACACTATTTGGCATGTTATACATGCCAAATAGTGTCCGGTGCCAAATAGTGTCCGGGCGCCGTCGATCCAGAGAGAACAAGGGCGCACGTACGTACGTCCTGCCGGACAGTATTGAGCTGCAAAAATCGGACAGTATTTTGCAGGAAAAATCGGACAGTATTTTGCAAGGGGGAATCGGACAATATTTGGCAGGGCGGGGAATCGGACAGTATTTGTTGGCAGGAAAAATCGGACAATATTCAGTGGCGGGGGAATCAGACAATATTTGGCAGGGGGAATTGGACAGTACTTAGCAGGAAAAATCGGACATTTTTTTCGCAGGGAAATCGGACACTATTTGGCAGGGGGAATCGGACACTGTTTAGCAGGAAAAATCGGACAGTATTTGGCAGAAAAAATTGGACAGTATTTGGCAGGGGGAATCGGACAATATTTGGCAGGAGGAATCGGACAGTTTGGCAGGAAAAATCGGACAATATTTGGCAGGAAAAATCGGACAGTATTAGGTGGGAGAAACCGTAAAATATAACGTTGGTTATAATGCTACACACAGCACAGTACGTACTACACACACTTCACACGGCGTTAGGCCTACGTACGTACTGCACGCCAAACAGGTGAACTGACGCGAAAAAACACACACAAATATTAGGGAAACCAAGTCAAATAGTTATCACAGGTAACAAGGAAAACGTTAAAACAGATTGTAAAAAGCAAATTCAGGTGAAAAGAGATCTTTTTTATACGATGTATTGACAGCTCGACAAGACACGCAATAGGATGCACGCTAAGCGCGGACACTATTTGGCAAGCGTCCGTAAACAATGTGACGTCATAGACGCATGACCAATCAGATCGCATTATGCTAATTAGCGGACACTATTTGGCACCGGACGGTTTTTGGCACGACACCTGTCCGGCGCGAACTGGTTGAGGAAATAGATTGATTGCTTCGCACGGTTAAAAGTGGCATGATGTTTACGGTAATGGTCTGAGTATCATCGTTGTTCAATGGAGCCCGCAAGCTCCGTGTGAGCGTGCAACATTTCATGCGACCCCGCGCGCCAGCCAATCGGAGTCAACTTCAGAAGCTGTGACGTCAGTTCCAGCGGTAATTCGGCCTAAGCTTTTGATTGGTCTTTTGCCATGTTTTTGTATTACAGCAACATGTTTCTGAAGACCCGATAGCAGGCGCCCGCTCACTGGTCAGAATCTGGAGGTCAAGACGCGGTCGTGTTTTGCATAATTGCCCAAACTGCACGCATATCATAAACTCTTGCTAGTATACTACAGAAAAGTACAAGCGGCCATTCCATAGACTAAAGGTATAATTATAAACCTGTGACATACGGTGAAACAGTGCATCAGAAAGAGGTTGATATGAACAGGCTTGGCTGGAAGGTGGACTTTTGGTTGTGGTAAATAATTTCAAACAAAAATTTGAATTTTTTTTTTTTAATTTTATAAATTTTAAAAAAATATTTGGTTTTCATTTGTTAAGTGAAAGAGTGTTGAGTACAGAAATATTTACATACTGAAAGGTGTATTATGCTCTCGATATTCAGGGTAGGATAAAACAGAATAAAAGCTAAAATAAATATTTTTAATTACTGTTCACTCTAATTGAGTAAAATAACACAATCAAACATAGCTGAAAGTTCATCTGACACAAGACAACTGAAATGACAATCTTAAAGTGTCCATTTTGTGCAAATTTCTAATCCTCTTAAATGTATGAAAACTATTTGACATCCCTTTTTGGTTAATATTATTCTAAAGTGCACTTCTTTAAACATTTAAAATGTCTATACTTTTCCGGGAAACTGAGGGCACTGTTGTTATTTCAGGAAGACACTGTTCAGTTTAGGGGTTTTCTGTTCAAATGTGAACCCAAAAATCTGCTCACTGAAAAAATGTGTGAGAAAAGTTTGCTCATTGGCTTACTGCCATGTACCGACACAACAATGAATCACCAAAGAAAAGAGAATTTGTAATAGCAAAATATCCAAAATTCTGGTAACTTTTTTGTGCTGAAATAGATGTAACAGGTTTGTGCCTGAAATGACATCACTCTTTTGCCATGAATATGGAAATTTGCATCAGCATAAAAACCCCAAAGGCAACAAAATATCCTTGAAAATAGAAAAATGAAACTTGAAAATTAGGTTCAATGGGACCAAAAAGTGTATTTTCAAGGATTGCATTTAAAAAACTTACATTGCATGGGCCCTTTAAGGCAAGATAAACTAGTTTGTCTTTTACAAAAACACAATAAAAATGTAAAAAAAATTACCTTTTCTTTATGTCAAGTTTTTTAACTCTAACAAGAGATTGGTTTGGCATAATTTCTCTGCTCTAAACTGTGAATTAAAAATGAAAAACTATGACCAGCTTTACACACAAACAAATCATAAATCTTAAATTCAATAAATTCGCTTCATGTATTGCTTGGCACATTGGACAATGGTTTCAAACAAACATTCCTCCTTTCACAGACATGTTTCTCAAAGTTGTTGAAGAAATCAAAGTCTAAAATCAAAAGCGTTCAAATCAAAGAAATGATATTCAACCCTAACTAAGGTAGACAACATTCATTTAGCTAGGGCTTGATGTCCAAACTTTGTTTTATTGTACAAAAAGCATACGCTCTTCCTCTGCCATCTGCAACTTTGACAAAAGAGGTTAACTCAGTGGAAAACCGTTGGGTATTCTTTCTTTTTACCCCCCTGTATTTGTCACCTAGTTTGCTCAGGGGTGTTGCCCTCCATCTGCTCATTGTCTAGTTGGGCAGTGAGCTCAGTCTGCACCAGAAAGCTGGTTTGAGCTTTCAGAAAATTCTCGCTGAATTCAGTCAATCCATTGTTGAACTCCTTTACTAAAATAAAAAATAAAGATGAATGATAGATAAAACCATGTTTTGCCGGCGTACACGAAAATGTAGTAAAATAGCAGAAGACAGTTTGTTGGGTTGTTTGTCTGTTAGTTGTTTGTTTGTTGGGTGGGTAGGGTGGGCTGTTTGTTTATTTGTTCATTTTCTGTTTTAAAAAAAAAATCAGCAAATAAAATCAAAGAACAATACAGAATTGCAAACAAATTCCATAATGTTGGAATCCCACAGAAATGTTCTTAAAAAAACTTTAAATAAAAACCTTTCACACTCTTACCACAAAGTTGTGACTGGGGCACAAACGTCAAGACATCTGTTTCTTGATTGTTCTGATATTCCAAAATGGATGAATACACTTTCCAAAGATGCTGGAAAAATACACCACAAGACAACCAAAGTGAGATTCAGTTTGAGTACAGTGTTGTAAATAGACAACAACAAAAATATGTTTAGCAAACATATGTGTTTAGCAAAAATCTGCTGATCCAAGATTCAAGATTTATTTATTGTCAATTTATTTAAAATCAAAACATAACTCGGGGCAGTAGGGTAGGATTCAGGGCAATTGAATCCGTATGAATAAAGTGTTCCTTCCCTGTTTAGCATTCACTAGACAGCATGGTAGTAATGCTTGGAATTGATGGATTGTTTGCACGGACAAATGGTTGTTAATAATAGTGTCTCTATTGTGTGTACGAACTGGCACACTCACAGGGTTTACATGTACATGTATAGGGTAATAGTCGAAAATCATCAAGGTGATGCATACACAACAATGGTTAGTATGAATAAAAATGAAGCAAAAACTTTTACTGGAAAGCATTTGCTAAAAATCAAAAGTTTTTACCTACTTTTTTTACCTTTTGCTAGAGTACAAGCATTTGCTTCATTTGAAGTATATACTGGTCATGTTTCAAGGTTTGGTAGGGGCTACCTTAAAAATATAAAGCGAATACTTCTGTGCACAAATTCCTGCTCTTGCTGTTTGCTTGTACTGCGGCATTTGCTGGTTTTTATTCATACGACCAATTGTGCAAGCCATATAGTTCACATAATTCCAGTATAAAAGCATTTGCTTCATTATTATTCACACAGATGCCAGTATGATGGGTCCTTTCAATAAAAACTAGCTTTTGCTTTTACTATCAATTTTTTAGCATTCACTTGCATCTGTATGAATACAAAATGAAAAAAAAACTTTTACTGGAAAGCATTTGCTAAAAATCAAAAGTTTTTACCTACTTTTTTTACCTTTTGCTAGAGTACAAGCATTTGCTTCATTTGAAGTATATACTGGTCATGTTTCAAGGTTTGGTAGGGGCTACCTTAAAAATATAAAGCAAATACTTCTGTGCACAAATTCCTGCTCTTCCTGTTTGCTTTTACTGGGGCATTTGCTAGTTTTTATTCATACGACCCATTGTGCTAGCCATAATCACATAATCTGTCTAAGGTCAGTTGCTTTCCACAATGGCTTTGCATAGTGGTTTCTCTACTCTGCCTCAGGCTTGTACAGTGATCATTGTGTGTGTGTACTGCCCTGATATTTTGTTATGCACACCTACAAAGATGAGAAGTTTTGTTACCTGGATGAGTAGGGGATGAGCCCCTACAAAGCCTTGCGCAATGATGGCCACACTTGAGGAGGTCCCATTATCAACAACAGCTATCAAGGTTATCTATGAAATGTAGGGGAAAAGGCAGGATTGTGTCTATGTGCTTGAAATAAAACTATGATCAGTGAAGATTCGGTATCTACGTTGCTACAGTCTTACATGCAATGTATGTTTAGGAAAATTGTCTCGTTTTATTTTTGGTCACTTATTAACATTGAAATGTGATGTAATTCGGTCAAATAAGAAAGCAGACATTTCTTCTTCTAATGCTTAATACTTTGTCTTCTCCTAGCCCGTGATTCCCCCATGTCAACTTTGAAAATAAACTGAGCACCAGTTTGTTTGTTTAATAAACAACAACTGCAAAGTGGCATGGTTACCTGTAGAAAGACTTTATGAATGACATACAGCAATCCTGCAGAGAATCTGGTTAGAATCTCGGGAACACGGATTATTAATGTTCCTCCAATGTGCAGTGCCTGTCAAAACGGAAATAACAAGATGTAATGTTTTTAATTAAAGGTATATATATATACATAATTATTAAAAAACGTATTTGGAGTAAAGGCCTTACTAGTACTATAGACACGCAATGAAAGTACTCTGTCTGGCTTGCTGTCAACTGACGATACATTGGAAACAAAGAGTCTTATAACACACCACCCACAGATTCTGTATCTTGATTGGCCGAGAGCGAGTCACATGGTTTTGCCATTTTTGCAATCTTGCTGGGCATGGCAAAAAGTACAATACCCGTAGCAACCAAAGTACTATGCGATGAGAACCGGTATTGTGTGCAAATATATGCATATACGGGTGTGTGCATTGCGCATATTGTTTGCGCGCTGGCGCTAAAGTGCTAGGTTCAAACATTTCTTGGAAGGGGTGGTTTGGAAAAATGTAAGTAAACTTCACCTATTTCTGTATTCAAATTTAAAGTACATTTTAATTGTATTTAGTTTAAATTAATCAGTTGTCGCTTAACATCAAGCAAAATCTCTGGGAGAGATGTTTTAAAACAAATATTGACTGCTTTATCTTGTGGTGTAGCAAAGTTAGCCTCCCTCAGTGATCCATGAAGCATTCTATTTGTCCCGAGGCGAAGCCAAGGGAAAATAGAAAGCAGTCCATTGAAGCAGTCCAAGTATACTATCAACGACTTTGCAAGAATCCAATTAAAAGACCATGTTACTCACATGCATGGCAAGTGTGACCGACACAAGTGACTGAAGTCTGGTACCCAGCTGATGTGGGCTGAGTTTACAGCTAGAAGCTGATACCTTTCCTCCAAGGCCACAGTCTGAGTACACCACAGGCACTTTATCATGTTGTAGAAGTACAGAACATCTGGGGGAAAAAGTCGCACACAAGAAATGTTGTTTATTTGCCAATTTCAGACATAATTCATGGACTTGATTTAATTATGGTACTTTTAGCCCTACAAACAGGGCTGTAAATGGCTCTCTTTTAACACTGGTCTTTTTAGCCCTACAAAAGGGCTATACATGGTCTTTTTAGCCTTACAAACAGGGCTGTAAATGGCTCTCTACTAACACTGGTATTTTAAGATCTGCAAGCAGGGCTGTAAATGGCTCTCTTTTAACCGGTCTTTTTAGCCCTACAAAAGGGCTGTAAGTGGTCTTTTTAGCCTTTCAAACAGGGCTGTAAATGGCTCTCTTTTAACACTGGTCTTTTTAGCATTACAAACAGGGCTTTCAAATGACTCGGCTTTTACAGTGGTCTTTTGAGCCCTACAATAGGGCTGTAAATGGCTCTCTTTTAACATGGGTCTTTTTAGCCCTCAGACTGGGCCCAATTTCATAGCACTGCTTAACCATGTTAACAGTAAGCAGAAAAGTTGTACTTACTATGCAGACGGCAGGGTTTGAATATTTGAATATTCCTAATGTTTTTCAAGACACCATACAATGACAAATTCACAAGTTTTTGGTAAGCTTTATGATATATATATTTTATGAATGTCCTAACTCTCGGAAATACGATGGCTTATATAGAAGTGTGCAGCGATATGTATTTTGGAAGATATTTGGAATCAAAGCCAGAGATATGACTACTGGAGCGACTCTTCGCGTTTGTTGTCGCCATAGCAGCAGGCTAGGGATGTAATGATGACAGTAATAAAACCAAAAGAGAGCCATTTACAACCCTGTTTGTAGGGCTAGAGGTACTATTCAGCTTCTACCACTAATTTTGTGCATTTGTATGTTTTTTTCGGGGGGGGGGGGGGGAGTTGGGGGGGTTGGCAAATAATTCTTACGAACTTACATGCTCGGCAGCCCTGTCATAGTTTGCATAAGTGGTTAATAAGGCTGAATGTGTATAAGCGGTTGGGCCTCAGCTGTCACTTTCTCAGAATTTTTAAAAACTTTTATCAGATAATTTGTTACAATAACTTGTTATTTTTTATCAAAGTTTGATCTGGTTGAAAGTCGGTACATGCATATTGCAATGATGTCATGACATCGATACTTTTCATGTATTCACCTCATAAATATTTAATACATCATGTTAACTACAATGTTGTGTCTGTTTTTTTTGCAAAACTTACTTTTTGATGATGTTCTGATCTCCAAGATGTGGAATGCCGAGACTGGAGGTTGTTTTGGACATACTCTCATGACAACTGTGTTCTGACGTTAGTCTTCTCTCTTCCAATGTCACACTGACATCGGCGGTGGTTGTTGTCACAAGGCAATTCTGAAGTAAAGAGGGAGTAGATGCGTTTAGCTGGCACATGTTATTTCAAAGTTTACTTTAGATGCCCCGTTTCTGTCGTCTTATGAAGGCACCTTTGCAAATACATCTGTATAGATGTATTTGCATATACCCGAAAAATGACAGAAATGTCTTCGAGCATTCCACAACCTCTTTAATGGTTTGATGTGAACATTGAAATTCTTTGAAATACTTTTACACTAATGATATGAATCATTGGAAAAACCAAGACGGCTAGGGCGTGGAACTACTTGACCACTTTGCGTACGCGTGGGTGAGTGTGGGATGGGGTACTGGGGGGAAGGACGGCGGGTGATCTGTGGGAGGGGTAATGTGGGCGGGTCTGGAAGGAGGGGTGGATGGGTAGGGAATGCTGTTGAGGTTGGAAGTGGAAAGGAACCAGAGAGTGCAGTGAGGGTGGGACTCGGGGTCGCTGTGGGTTGTGGTGCAGGACAGACTGGTGAAAGAGGGGAAACATATGGTGTCAGTCGATTGTAATGAATGCGTTTAGGCTTGGCTGTGGGATTATACAGATCAATAATGGAGTAAGTGACCGGATGGTAGTTTAGAGTTTCAAGGTTCCACATGGCCCTACAAATGTAGACAAATGTGAATGAAGGACCCTTGTATATTATAGCCTTATTATTCTCCTTATTTGATCTTATAGCCTTTTCGTTTTCCTATAAAAAAAAAAAAAATTACATTAGGAAATACATGAATTAATAATGTGCCTTATGGTCAAATTGAAATTAGTCAAGTGTGTAAACCTGTAAGCTTACTGCTTAATATACTTGTCTTGTTGCATACATTTGTTTAATTCAAACTATTTTCTTATGAACTACATGCAACTGTGCTATTAACATGCACATTAATTGAGTCATCATGTCGCCCTCAGGTGAATTTATAAATTTATATAAGTAATAAATTGTATACATGATACAAATGTGACAAAGGATCATAACTTGAAATCATAACTTGAAAACTTTAAGAGCGCCCATCACAAAATATTCCAAGATTGTTGCTTACATCATAAACTATCATCTGAAAAAAAATTACGAAATTTGAAGCCTATTGTTTTTCGTAATTCAAGGTCAAAGGTCATTTCGTTACGCATTTTCTCTGCACTTTACAGTAGGAATTTTTTTTTATTTTATGAAATGGAGGCCATTCAAAGAGCTTTCATATGATGTACAGCTTGGCTTTGTAGGCGCCATAGTTTTGGAGATACAAGTATTTAAAGTTCGGAGGTCATGCTAATTAGTCAAAAGTTCGTTGACCCGTATCTCAAAATCTAACTAGCCAAACTGCAACAAAATTCAGTTCTGGGGGTTTCTCATATAGGCCAATCATCACATCAAATATCGTTTGAATCTGTGAGGGTCAGGTCCAAAATCGTGTTGAATTGACACGGAATGACCCTGTAGTGGGCCAAGTTTGTGCAAAAGGGTAACTGGTATTCTGGGCATGTGGAACGGCTTAATTTGAAGAAAGACATCCCTTTCTTTAAAACAATTTATTCCTTTTTGACACAGTGATTTAACCACTCTCATTGTTGAAGTTAACCCCTCCTGGCCCAATGCCTTCACCGTGGCCACCACCTCTTTCCACACAAAGCTGTGCACGAAATCTAGTCCATTTCAACCTTTGCATATTAACAAACCAGCCAGCAACCTTAGCCAGGTAAAACTTGGCCCAGTATAACAATTAATGCTCGGTCAGCAACCTTAGCCAGGTAAAACTTGGCCCAGTATAACAATTAATGCTCGGTCAGCAACCTTAGCCAGGTAAAACTTGGCCCAGTATAACAATTAATGCTCGGTCAGCAACCTTAGCCAGGTAAAACTTGGCCCGGTACAGGTTTTGACCCTTGACAGAATAACAATTAATGCTCGGTCATCCGTGGCGACAGACATACAATCAAGGTATCATTGGAAAGAGGACACATTGGTGTTTCACATGATCTTTAACTTATTTGAAAATATTTATTAGATTTTTATTATAATTTACATTTACATCTGGATTTCCTTTTTTAAAATTATACTTAAATGATGTACCCTGTTTATTATTGCAAGAAAAGGAAAACTGAGTCCCGTCTTGTAAAATCATATTCGTAAGCTGGCCACAACGGTAAAGGAACATTTTATTCTCTTTCTTAATACCTGCTAACACTCATTATTTTGCCAAAACGCCTCACCATAATGATTTCTGTTTATTGGCGACTGGTCTTACTAACAAGGTTGCTTAAGACAATCTCAGTTATGGAACATCATTACACAGCTACACAATATTTGCTTCCATGCCTTACCCTGAGGCTCCAGCCACCAGATTTGGTGAGAAGCTGCAAGAAAGAATCTTCCTTTCCCTTCCGTGTAAGAAGACACAGACTGTTTATTGTACCGTCACTTCTTGAAATCTGTGAAAAGGAAAAGTGGGTCATATAAATAAAAATTATAAAAATGTTAGTAAAGTACAAATGATACTACATACACGTACTCTATTTCCAATCACATTCATGCAAGACATATACACTTTGTTTATTATTAATAACATCACTAGAAACAAAAGAAATAATTTCACGTTCTTAAAGATCTGGGAAGTGTTATGATGTAATTTGGAAGCAGCACAGAAAGAGTAATGACAAAGTTTTATCCAACGACAATCAGGGAACTGGACGAAATTAAAAAGCGTCCAGTTTATTCAGTAATATAATTTTTTTTAATATTTAAGATATTTTTTAACAACAAAAATTGGTATATTAAATTTGGTATGATTTTACTGCCTGAAATATGTTTTTGAATGAACAAATATTTTAAGGCAGCAGTGACTTCTTCTACAGGACACTGTGGCACTTCACATTTTTCATGAAAGTACTTTCTGCACTCTGCAACAGGCAACAAGTTTTTTTATCATTTGAGTTGGATTTAAGGTTCAAAATAACCACTGCAGTGTATGTGTAAAGGAGCAGAGAATAAGTTATATTCGAATATATATTTTTTTTGTGAGACTAAATTAAATTTTGGAGTAGTCTATTTTTGTTTCCTTGATTCCTGAAGACGGTCAGAGCATACTGACCGGAACGTCGAGTTTATACCTCTGGTTCTTTTCAGAACCATTCTCTTAGTTGAGAAATTATTCGCACATGGTGTTTCCGCAAACCTTTCATTATTTAGTATCTCCACCATGCAAAGCCTCAAATCTTACTTATTTGATTCCTTTTCTTTTCTTTTTTTTGGTCCCAGTTTAAAAACTAAATCGCAACATAAATCATTTGAACCAGGATTGTTTCTTAGTGAGCCATTTTTCTACGGTACATATGCATCGCCTTGATGACTTGGACTCTGCTACCCTACATGTAAACTACGTGTGCCAATTCGTACACACACAAGAGCCCCTAATTATTGACCAATATTCGTCCTAATGCATGGAGGTAGGAAATTCAACATATATGTTGAACAAAACAAATTACTGGAGCAGAACTTAGACCTCCAGGGCAACTTAACAATGGGTCATGCCATGGTGCCATTTTGTGTGTCCCTGTTATATAGATGACCCCTAAAACTTGCCATGGAAGAATCATACAAATTGAACCCAATTGGACCCCCAAACAATGAAATGACCCCAATACTCAAGCAACTGAATAATGCAGCTAGTCAGGCACCTTAGGCCAGCTTAGTGAGTGGATGTGGACATTCCGGACAAAAGCGCCAAATTTTCCATACATGCTCCTTATTGCCTTAGCTTTCAATTTTTGATAGGAACCAACTTAGGCCCAAAAAAAAAAGTCTCCGGTTTCTGGTATGGAGCTTGCCCAAAAAGTGGTGCGGCGACGCGGCTTTTTTAAATTTTTTTATTTTTGCTTCAAATGTCGGCTGATGACTGCAAAAGGTGCCCGACTAAGCTAAGTGCAAATATATGGGAGTCCAGAGAGGCAACATAAAGCTTATTCTCGATCATAACCCCATCTAAAAACACGTTAAAATTGTGCAGCAGCAGGATTCCAGTCAAACCAGTGAGTTTGGCGGTTTTGAGACATCATCTTTTATTGAAAAAAAACCTTTTTCATTTTGCCGACGCGCATGGCTACGGCGACGCGCGCGCATACCAGAAATCGGAGACTTTTTTCTTTTGGCCTTGGATTTTAAAGATGGCTGCCATGGAAAACCTATTTTCACCCATATCTCATCTTCTAAGCCACTTAGGATTCAGTTTCAGGGTCAAGGAATGCTTACCCTATATTTTGGCAAACCAATTTCACAATTTGTCTGTGTCTTTGTTCACGGGTCACTAGACCAAGCAATATATAACTTTTGTGTGCCAATCAGATGGTGCAACACAAAGCCTACCTTCTGCAGTTTGGCTAGATCAGTTCCCATCACATCCACAATGGTCTGGTCATAGATGCTACACTTGTCTAAGTCCTCTTTCGCGTCGCATCCAGTCTTGTGAGAAGAACAACCGAACATTAAAGTCTAAATTATTAAGGAACAGTGGCAGACTACACCTGTACAGCAAAGGATATAGGAACTAACCATTTAAGAATCTTGTCGACTTTGATTAAAACGGAAATCAACAAATCTTTCTAAGTTCTAAGAGACAACAATAAAGAAAACAACAGCTTATTAAAGGGATGGCAAAGACCCAGTATTAAAGTCTATTTCCAGGAAAACCACATGATCGTGTAAGAAATAACACGCCTATTCTGAATCATGGATGTAAACCTGGGTCAGTCACCAGGTCATTGACCCAGGTCATCTCGAAAAGAGGATTAGTTCTGAGAAAGATATGAGGCAAATGTAATCGTGACTGAAAAATTAAATGTTGGGTCAATTACTCTAGTTCTATTCAAAACAAGTCATGGTTCGAAGTTGGCCACTTCAAATGGCGTACCTGTAAAACCTATCCCACTTGGTACCCTCAATGTCGCACAACCTGAATTTGATTTTAATTGAACTTACTTGGGCATGAGCACACGCCAAGTTCCAATCATCAAGGACTTCAGCCGTACAGAACGATGAGCTCTGAATCGATGTCAGTCTCTTACCGACAACCACGTCCCACGATGCTACTTCACTCGGCATCAACTCACGGTTATTCTTCAAATCAATAGATTGGCACAACTCAGAAATGTTTGAAAACCTCAGCAAATCAGCAAAATGATATGAGATTCCGGAAGACCCTATATATAGAGCCAGTGGACAATTTGGTTCAAAATATAGAAATGTTTTTACGCTTGGAATTTTCAAGAGTTAATGTTAAATGTTCTCTTTTCAAGTGCAAAATGAATCCAGCCAGTGTTGCAGTAGAGTCCTTGGGTGGATCCAAGGCAACAACTGACAGAGATTCGAGGTCTCACTGAGGTCAAAACTGAAAGAATCAGCTGAAGTCTAGACTTGACTTGAATCCTGACTCACTCCCAGGCTTGACCGTGAACCCAAAGTATACATTTTAATGTACATTGGCTCATTTGCATTAAATACCGAATGATTATCAAAAATCTTACTTGGATTACAGATTGTACTGGTACTAAACACCCCGTGAAATTATTCCGTCTGGCTTGCTGTCATTTAGAAGAAATCAAGAAATGTAGCCGTTTCCAACGATCAGTCAATTGGCAGACTTTTGGAATTAAAGAGTTATATAGACAAAATTGTGTTTCATGATCAAAAGTTTGTGAATGGTTTATTCCATAATTTCCAATGACCTGAAACTGTTATTATTGGAAATGAACAAACTGTATGAAAAGCAAATGAGCAGCCTTTAAAGTCATAATGGTCTAAGACTTTAGGACTGAACTCATCGGGCCCTGTACCAAGTTTGCATTGAGTTAAAGATGAATAAGGCTCTAAATAGTAAACTCATAGAGTTACATGTATATTTTTTAAAAAAATGGAGACTGCACTTGTTTTGTAAGTCGGCAAATACATAGAGTTATATTAAGAATGACTGTACAATACACAGATGTGCCCACTTTAAGCATGTTATGCAATACAGTGTCAGAAAAATATCTGGGAGTATGGACTTGGTTTTATGTTATTTTACTTTTATTGGGAATATTATCTGTAATAAAATATACATAAGTAAATAAACAAACTATGGAACAAATAAAAACAAATGATAATTTATTAAAATAAACATCCTGTCTAGGTGAAAAGTGGACTATTAAAAACTGTAGTCTGTTTATTTTTAGAAAGTCACCATTTGAAGAGAAAAAAAACTGGGGAAAAAAAGAATATCAGAGCAGTTGTGAAAATAATACACACACAGCCACTCTCTAAATCCACTTGTTGACCTACCTGAAGGATCTGGGTCATGACCTCTGACCCCCACGTTGCCACGGCAAGTTGCTGGTAGTCAGCGTTGAGTCGTTGGAGCCAATGAGAGTGGTCTAGCTGCTGCCTCTCCGTGAAGGTCCCGTGCAGTCTCTTCCTGGCTGTCTTGGTAAACATGCCCACAGCACGGATGTTCTGTCCCTGTTTAAACGTAAGCAGATTAGTTGCCGACATGATCAATCTGTGGAGCATTAAAATAAGGCTCAATATCAGCTTTTATAAAATAGGAGGAGCCAATTCACTATTAAAGTGATTGTGTAAGATCTGCCCAACCCGGTCGTTGGCACAGCAACGTGATCATGCCGATGCAAACATGGCCACCACTCACTGTGGACACATGTAGTTACTAGGCATTTTTGTGTTGTTTTGTTTCAGAAATTGGGAAAAATATCTACAGGTGTGACTTTAATTGGTATGATTACAGTCCGCAGAAAAACAGTTGACCATCTTGAGGTAGCTTTTATTGACCAATTTTCCAATTGACTTTGCTTCGAATACAAACACGTGCAGTACTTGGTACTACGTACTTGGTGGTCATCCTCTTCAGAACTCCTAAAGGAAGTCTAACTAAGAGGCACAGTACTAATGGCTGGATGTGTGGCATGATCCATCACCAGGATAAGTCCAGTGACCTCGCTTGTTATTACGTAACACTTCGATAGTGGATACCAAAGGACTACTGAGCACAAAAACTTACTAAGCATTTTGGTTACCAGCCAAAAGGTCATTAACTTTTGTTAATTTTTACTGGTTCTCCCCTGATTTGGCTAAGCACATATATTTCCTAAGCACTATTTTCTGCTCAGCAGAAAAAAAATTAACATTTCAAAGATGTTAGGGGTGGATTCGCACCTTGGACGCATCGGAGCAGATCTTATCAGCTTTCCTGATGCTCTTGATAGCGTAGCGTTCCACATAGGTCGTCCGGCAGGCCTCTCTCACTTTTGTCAAACGGTGGCGCTCTTGCTCCGACATGTGCGTGTACAGCCAGATGTTTTCCGAGATGGTGGCCATCTGGTAGTCCTTGAAGGTTGCCGCGCAGGCGCGGAGCTGGACCAGAAATGAGGTCGGAATGGACGAGATAGGAAACATGGCGTTTGGACATTCTGCTGGCCCTGTAAATAAACAATCAATCTTGCAAACAAATGCAGTCATATTAAAGTGTTAGAGTGATCGGTTAGTCAGGTGAGTATCTTTGTGTTAGGCTAAATTTCACGGTGTAGAGTTGTATAGAATTCTATGTTTAAACTTGCAGTTCTCTGCTTATACAATTTGGTGTATAGTTTTACGATTATAAATTGCTATAAACTCAATTTTTTCTTCTTCAGTTATTAATGTTAATTATTACTTTCAAGGCCATTTCTTGTTTAAACTTGCTAATAATTTCAATTTCATTTTGGTTAATACTTAATGCCAAACAGATTCTAACAAGCTTTTTAGTGTTGAAAACTTACCAAAATGACTCAGCAAACTCGGCATATATTCCTCCAGACTTTGCTGACCAATGAATCCGAGACATACAACATAAACCTCGGAGTTACCAGCCTTACTGGTAGCAGGCTTGAACACGTGAACCTAAACCAACAACCAACAAGAGTTCATTTGGGGGAAATGTGTGAATTAAAAAGACTCGTTTATAGCAAATGATATTCTACAAATATTCACAGCATAAACCAAAACATATTAACAGAGCAAAACCAGCTGGAGATGTATTTGAACACTGTCAGATCAATACAGTAGTTTTACTGAAGTATTCGTAAACACTGAAATTAATTTTCCAAGACTTGCAGTCAAAGACAAAATTGGAGAATGCTTATCAATCTGAGAATGCCATACGTTTCTAATTATGTGCTTATTCAACCATGATGAATTCATACTTTTGTCTCTTAAGTTCGCTAATAACAAAGAGTAAATTTGCAAACTTGTTATCATCATCATTTGCCATTCAGAATGACCCATTAGGAGTAAAGTGAACATCCTCATAGTGGCAACAAAACATGGTATTAGTCTGTAATTTCCCTGTGTTGAAATGGACCAATTTAATGGTTCAGCTAACCACAGAATTCCGCGCTTACCGTCACCAATCTTTGCTAAGAGCACTTAGCAAAAGACATTTTGTGTTAACCCTGTCAGCACAGAATCCTTAGTTGCGGGATGTACACATGCGCATAAGCATTTTCTGCTACAGCAAGCAGGACATTTTCGCAAACGATATGAAATCGCCGTCTTGGTATTCCCAGTAGGACATTCTGTTCATTTTCCATGTTATAAACTCACAAATTCCTTGCAACAGTAGGCCTTCTTACCTCCCGAAAGCTACAGTTCAAGAGGTACATCAAGCAGGCGGTCTGATGCTCAAACATGGTAAACATCTTCAGGATGAAAGAACCACCGTCTGCTAGAAGAGCCATCGCCGTGACAACTTCGCAGTAATGCAGCTGGGAGACGACCACTTCTTGCTCCGCTGGATCATTCTGGCAATTGATGCTGCCATCCGCTGTCATCTGCAAATTCGGATTTTTTTAAAATGGTAATTCCAGAAATCGCAAAGCTAATTCTTACATCTACCATTGTCATATAGAAATTCAAACTGATGTTAAAAAAACTAGAACTATGTCTAACAGAAATAGGGGTATTCTGAATTATGAATTTTTTTTTATGAGTTAATTTGTTTTCATCCATGTGCAGTCATCAGGCAAATTTGGATTTAATTTCATGTACAAAGTTCCATGCCTTTCCAAGTCATGTAGTTCTCTAGATATAGGACTTTAAAATATCAACTTTAAGATGACGTCCATGACTCATGATACACGTCATGAAGACATCATTTTAGTCTTTACCTATAACACGTTCATGTCTACTTATATACCAAGTTTCAACCGAATCGGACATGAAGTTCTCAAAATATAGCACAAGATGGCGTCACATGACCCGTGATGACGTCCTCATTGCAGGAAAGCCAAGACAATGTGGTCTGTAGTGTTAAAACCTGCTTACGGACCACAGGTCTTGTTTGGTCAATTAGAAACACTGGACCAGCACTCTAATCACTGCACTGGGTCCAGTGTCTCTTTTAATATCGTGAGCCTCAATGTTTATTATTTGACAGTGGACGTACAAGCTGTACGTTCCCCATGGTGTCTTCAACGCGTTGCTTGAGTGACTTCAGATTCTCTGCGTTCATCAGGTCTCCGGTGTTGTCCTCTCCAAAGAACCAGTGCTCCTGTGTTTGCAGGATGAAGCGATCATCAGCGATCATTGCATCAGTGCTATTCCCTGCATCGGATTCAAAAACAAGACGGAAAAATAGGCAACTTGATTTATTGGATGCTGGGCAAGCAGAGTTTGAAGATGATGGAAGATTTTGGACAGGCCGCAAAATTGGAAAATTGCTATTGTTGCCCCCTGTAGTTGGATGGAGTATGCCTAGTGGTTGGGGTTCGTAACTACTGATCATAGGGTTAGGGGTTCGAATCCAGCTAATGGTCATACGTTATGTCCTTGGGCAAGCCATTTTACCTCCACTTGCCTCTCTCCAACCAGGAGTATGAATTGGTACCAGCCTTAGCTGGGAAGTATTCTGCGATGGACTGGCATCCTATTTCATGCTAAGAACACCAGAGATAAACGCCAGACTGACGGGCCATACTGGCTTGTGACAGACTTCATTTTTTTTTTACACCCCTTGTAAAATTGGAATGGAACGTGTCTTTAATTGAGATTTGGTGTTCCCATCCACTTTGTGGTTTATCTTTAAGGATTTCTGGAGCTCATTACAAGGGTAATGATTTGGGTATTAGTCCAAGAAAAGGTCCCCTTTATGCCATGTTTTCTTTAATTACACAATCAACGCAAACACTATACACATTCTTGTGGGTATTCTCCTTGCAGATGCCCAGCAGAAGAATAAAAAAACACAAAAATCCGCGAATATCTTAGAGGGTTAAACTTTGGTTAAGAATGGGACATAGCGTGTGCAAATTCTTGGACTTGCCCATTTACAGATTTTCGGAAGCACTAAAAAGCAGCATCAAGCGTGTCAAGAGTTCTTTGCTGGCTGTAAATAGATAGTGAGGGTATAAAAGTGCTTTTAAGCATTTCTAGTTGGACAAGTTCAAATTCTCCTTTCAAGTGATATTAGTGGAAACTCAGAAACTTCTGAACATTTCCACAAGCCAATGAAACAACAAGTACAAACTTTATGAAATGATGTGTAAATAAATCTCACACTATTAAATTTCAATCAACATACGTAAGGCCGCATTCGCAATGTGAACTGCCATTGAACTCTTTGGCTGAGAGCAAAGTAAGAACAACACAATTCAACAACTTTCCCCTTTAGAAACACTACCCATGTGTCCCATACCTTCATAATATGGGTTCAGGGTGGTAGCCAGCCAGTTCCACGCTCCATGCCTCAGGATACCAGAGCTCTTGAGGTAATGGTTCAGGCTGGTCACAAACGCCCCCGGTGCCTCGCATAGATGGACAGATTTAAGACACGCCCCTTCTTCTCTGGCCAAGCCAGGTTTGATAACGTCATAGCTCGACACAATCTCGAAGAACTTACACCAGGCCTGTCAAGAGGGGATAATATGTTATCAAGTTGTTGTATTTTTTAACCTATTAGGCACTTGTATTACATTGTATTACACTGCATAATTTAGTAACAGGCAGGGCAGTTTGGGGCAGTATAGGGAGGTATAAGGAGTAACAGGCAGGGCAGTTTGGGGCAGTATAGGGAGGTATAAGGAGTAACAGGCAGGGCAGTTTAGGGCAGTATAGGGAGGTATAAGGAGTAACAGGCAGGGCAGTTTGGGGCAGTATAGGGAGGTATAAAGAGTAACAGGCAGGGCAGTTTGGGGCAGTATAGGGAGGTATAAGGAGTAACAGGCAGGGCAGTTTGGGGCAGTATAGGGAGGTATAAGGAGCAACAGGCAGGGCAGTTTGGGGCAGTATAGGGAGGTATAAGGAGTAACAGGCAGGGCAGTTTGGGGCAGTATAGGGAGGTATAAGGAGTAACAGGCAGGGCAGTTTGGGGCAGTATAGGGAGGTATAAGGAGTAACAGGCAGGGCAGTTTGGGGAAGTACAAAGAATAATGGGCTTAACCAAAGTCCTACAGTAAAACTGTCCCAGGACAGAAGCAAAAATTAAATCAATATAAAAGTGGTTTTCAATCTGTTTGACATCTCGAGTTACCGGTATCTTATGGGCTGTCTGTAGAGAAGAACCCAAAGTTAATTGATGCTTTGATAACTCCTTTAATAGAACTCAGGTTCATAAGGCCAAAAAAAAGAATAGTTTTGCTTCTGGTTACCCGACCGACCCTATTTTTAGGCTGCGACCCTAAAAATTTTATCGGCAATTCCAAAAAAAAAAGAAAAAAAAGATTGAATAAATAAAAATAAAATGTTGTTGTCTTTTCTGTCTTCACAAAATACCTCTCAACAACCCTTTTGCATCAAAAAATGCTTGTATTTATTTGTTTTGTTACTTACATTCGCTTTTTTTCAAAAGAAACCTCCGTTATTTTTACAAATTCGCTTCGCGATATAAACGATGTCTGTACGGTGAATGATATCACGTGGCGACGACTGGTTCCCGCCGCGCCGCGCAGGGGCCAATTTAGAAGACATGATGAAAATGCGGTAACCAGTCCATAGCTAGGCGATCGCGACCGTACCGATAGTGCGCTAGCAGTGCAGGCCACTGTCAACTGGTCGGATTCGACATCGTGAAAAATGTCAAGAAAACACCGATGGAGAAAGAACAGTTTTGCAAGTTAATTTACAGAATTGATCTAGCTTGTCTGTGTATGTATTTTCTGTGTTCAAGAGTTCATTTTGAGATCGCACTACTCTTATTTGGAGTGATACATGCCGCGTGTTTCCCAAAATTTTTGACCGTGAAAACAGGTCTGTTGGCCCATGGCGGGCCGCTCGCCACACATGCTCGCATCACACATCTCGGAGTTTTGGCCAGCTCCCCGCGTCTTGACTAGCGTTGTGCATATGGTGCGAACGACCTGAATTTTCCATTATTTTTTTAAATTATCGAACGTAAATATATTGACAATAATTAAAGGTAGGTTTTATTCACTTTTTGTTGCCATTTCGCGTATAGCTTTCGTAGTGCAATGGAAATAGTTCAGGCTAAAACTTCGCATATAATTGAATACCCCATTCAATCTGCATAAAAAAAATTGGCCAAAAAAAAAAAATTTCCGACCGACCGACCCTATTTTTGAAAGGCATGTAATCGGAAGCAGAACTATTTTTTTTTTGGCCTAATGTAAGAAACATTTTATTAGAAGAAGGGGGTGAGTTAATTTTTTTGTTACCTGCGTACAGAGCTCTACCCAGTAGTTGTTACGTAGGTGTGACATGACGAGGGCAGAGCGATGAGTGAAGGAGGTATGCTGGTGCCATTGTTGGATGTCCTTGTCGCTTAGTTGACATTTCAGTTCATTCAGCTCTGCCTTGTAGTGGTTCAACTCCGGGTCCCAGTCCTAATACATATGTAGGTTGAAAAGAAGTCTTCTGCAATACCAGATTTTGGTTTTTTCTTACTGAAGACCTAGACGCTAAACGCATACATAGAAAACACTTCTTGACTGTGTCAGTGATGTGGAAGTTTGATGAAACCACAAACATTCTTCTGTTAATTTGTCAATTGTCAACGGGACGATCATGAACAATATTGGACAATAGGTGGCGTTTTTCAGGGCGAACCAATTGCTGATGGTTGTGCAAAATTCCAAAAAGGGCACTCGTAAGAGACATTTTCCGTTGACAATTTTAGTCTGGCTCCATGCCAATATTATCGTTGTAATTTCGTATTCACAAGATGGGAATCAGACCATTATACAATTTCGGACTTAAGGCCTATTTCCCTTTAAAAAAAATCCTCCAGAGCCACAAATCTGAAAAAGAAAATGTAATACTCTGTTTGAGACATGTTAAAATAATAAAAGAAGAATTTTCTTATTTATTGGGGATGGGAAAAAAAACTTATAGGAATGTCACCAGCATTGACCAGGGGGGATCGGGATCGTCCCGCTCATGAGAGCCGTTGCTTATCCACTAGACCAAGTGTGCTACACAACTGTTATAATTCAGTCCTATCTCAGAGAGTACAGCGCCCTCTGTTGATATGGATTGCAGCCGGCAAACCTAAACGTTAGCTTGCCGGCAGTACCTCCGGCAATATATCCACTATCAAGAAAAAATGCCAAAAAAGGGTGCGCCAGTGTTTGGAATAAATTCCTCAGTAGGTTGGAAAACCAGGCGTGTGGCCTAACGTACAGCGCAGCAATACGGAGGCCACATAACTAGGGCTAAACTCTTCCATAGACTTTGCGCGCGCGCACAACCAAAGAAGTGACGTCTTCATTCATTGACCATGTTGACATTGTTTCCTCAACACCCAGGTTGCCTACCTTCACTACAGCTTCACTAAACAGGCTCTCAGCCGGTGGCAGCTTCCACTCCTGCCCCTCACTTGGTCGAACAAATGCAAACTTCTTCTCAAACAATGCTCGCACTTCTGTCAACACTTTCTGGTTGTGCACTGGCGTCGACTTTGAACATGTTGAACCCGATTGGAACTGCTTTGGGTTGTCAGCACTGTCCTGCCTGTTAATGTTGGATGATTTCCATTTCTTTTTGCTTCCAGAGCGAGGCATGTTTGTTGCTGATAACACCTAACCAAAAAAATGATTTGATTCATGAAGAATCTGACGCTACATTTGCTGAACTCTTCCGACTCAAAAGTTCAGAAAAATGTAAGATTATTTATTTGTTTTGAAATAGCGCCATCTATTGGCAAAATATAGGTATTTTATAGAGGGCGCTATTTAACATCAACGGTAAAAAAAAATGTATGTTGTTGAGGGCGCTGTGATGTGGTCGAGATCGCGCGCGAGCCAATCTCGTCCCCAGGGTGTCGAGCAGTACGCGCCCACCACTACCTGCTCTCTCACCCTGGTATTGGATCATTTGCATGTGCAAGATTTTTGAACACGTATGCAAATGAGGAACAGTCTGGTGCCTGGATATGCGTTACACATTAGCGTTTGTTTTTGTATGCGGTGTCTGGGGTAAAAACAGAGTCAATTCGTAGCAGCGCGAGCACGGCGTGAGTTACGAAAACACGATTTTTGAAATCAAACTGTTACGATCTTATCGAGACAACATGCAGTATCATATTTCATATTAACATGAGCAAATTGGAAAGGAAATTAGTATTTTCGAGAAGGCGTGGACGAATGATCGCGAAAACACGTACTGCACGTTGTGAATAATAGCACCAAGTACACGATAAAAATCCATTACTAGCCAATTGCGGTATCCAATCAGGATACAGGAACAAAGTTTCCTATCCAGGGTTTACTATTGGAAACGCGGTTGGAAATAAAAATAAGCACTGGGGACGAGGTTGCGCGCGAGCTCATTGAATAAATGTGGCTTTCAATATATACACAGACAATGCTTTCAACTCACGCATGCTCAGGGGATTTGTTCGCCAAAAAAAACCCGGCCCAAAGTCTGGGTCTGTTTAGCATAGAGCTGCGTGGGGCTATACATCTAGCAAGCTGGATGGCCTGGTTTTAGGGGTGGTTTGGGGGTGGGAAATATCTAACATTGAATGGGCTATCTCTGGTAAAATTGAAAAGAAAATTGTTCAGGAGGTCATGTGAATAACCATCATCCAATCACCGCCTTATGTTGCTCAGTGAGTGAGAGCGGCACTTTTTCTATCCGATGATTTTGTGTTGTTATGATAAGCGCGTATTCGAGTTTCACTCCTAAAAATATATTTTGCTTTTTAAAGTGCGTGTCTTCTAGCTAGCAATAGACCGCTTGCAGATGCGTTCGATAATCGACGCGCGAAGGCGCGCGACGCCATGTTGTGGGACAAGCGTATATCTATTTATGCACATTTTGTCCCATAACATGGCGTCGCGCACCTTCGCGCGTCAATTATCGATCGCGTCTGCAAGCGGTCTATACCAAGGTTATTCACTTTTGAATGAGACAGTGAACAAAGAAATCGACACACGTTTAACTACTTTGGTGATTTTTTTTACATTTCAAAATAATTTCGAATTATTTGCGGCGCAACAATATTTTAATTTCTTTATTTTATTTGACATCGACGATTGTGATGACAAGGCCGGGACAAGAATTTACTTTCAAATTTACTTCAGTGGAAAATAAATTATTTGATAATAATTCTTTTCCGCCAAACAAATTTGGTTACTGAAAGAGGTCAGAAATTGCCTCAGATCGCACCACAGAGCACATCTCAGAATCCAAAAAAATTTCGGGGCCCTTAAGCGGGCCCCGAACCCTCGCCGTAATTTTTGGACCCACTTTCTGGGGGACCAAAATTTTTTGGGCCCCCCCCCCAAAAAAAAAATAATAAATTGTGTTCTGGATCCGCCCTTGGATATGGTTTTGACAGTTGTGAATTAAAATGAGCCAGAAAGAAATCAAACCATCGATCGATATATAGTCAATCTGCGAGAATACGAAATGGATCAATTTACTCAGCATCTACCCGCTCAATAAATTAATGTCGTTGAAGCTATGAGACGGTGTGAAATTATTCAGTTAAGTTGACACAAGTTATTTATTTATATTTTATTTATTTAGCCCGTTCACATTATCTTCCACTAGGCCCTGGGCATACAATTACAAAGAATAAATTAATAAAACAAAACAAAAATAGCAAAGTAAAGTATTACAATTGTTTGGTGAAATTTTGTTTACAAAGAATAAATTAATAAAACAAAACAAAAATAGCAAAGTAAAGTATTACAATTGTTTGGTGAAATTTTGAATAAATATGTTTAGTGAAATTTTGAATGAAATCCCCAAGTTCCGAACTCGACCGATTGGGAAGTCGACCGAAATTTCCAAGATCTTGGGAAGTAATTAGGAGTGTCCAAACTCCACAATATAGCGCCCTCTGTTGACTATCGTGACTAAACATTTTACATGTAAATTCAGCATGGCGGCTCCGTTGCTCGCCGAGCCTCAAAAAGGTGGATTTGTCTTCGAAAACAGCAGACGGTAAGTTAGTTTTTAATTTAAAAAACCGTCGTTCTAAAAAAGGCAGACCTTATAAATAAATGTGAGTTAGTTGCGTGTGCTTAATTAATCGGAAAAGCTCTTGTGGATGTGGTGCACTATCGATATGTGATGACTTGGAAATTTGTGCAAAAAGTTTCCATGTGTCATTGTGCGTGTAAATTTGCGGCTAAATTTGCTCCGTTCGTAATACTAATATAATAGAGATGGCGCATATGGTCTGGATTTCGGATTTTTTTTTTTTTATATTTCTTTGAAAAAAAATCATCCTGACCCACAAATAAGAAAAAAAAGGGCTCATAGTCATAAAGTCATAGGGGGGCCTAGCTGGAGTTACCCAGCCCTGAGTTTTATCATTGGGTTGTCTAGTATTAGGGCTGGAGCGAATTTTTCTCGTAACTTGTAGTATAGGCAACAATTTTTGGAAAATGTTCAATTTTGTCCCCGTTACACACTAATTGCAACTGCAACTCACCCCAAACTTGCCTGGAATAACCATTACACAGGTCCTTGAAGTAAAAAACGATCCACGATGAAGATTCAGCCTACAATTGCAGTGAAAACAGGAGGAATAACCGCTAACTTGACAACCTTGCTGGATTGGCCAGGACCGCAATTGGTTTGTGCACAAAAAAAATTGTGTACAATGAATGGCGGTCGATTAACAGGCACAAAGAGCGATCGCTGTCAACTACTCGGTTTTGCCAGCTGCGCTGGCTGTTGGCGCATGACGTAACGCGGAAGCGTAACACCCGATGACTGTTTCATGCACTATTGGTTGCGGTTCCAGTACCAAAGCTGTGATGCGAGTGGTAAACCTTATATTAGTGCATGAAACAGTCATCGGGTGTTACGCTTCCGCGTGACGTCATGCGCCAACAGCCAGCGCAGCCGGCAAAAACGAGTAGTTGACAGCGATCGCTCTCTGTGCCTGTTAATCGACCGCCATTCATTGTACACAATTTTTTTTGTGCACAAACCAATTGCGGTCCTGGCCAATCCAGCAAGGTTGTCAAGTTAGCGGTTATTCCTCCTGTTTTCACTGCAATTGTAGGCTGAATCTTCATCGTGGATCGTTTTTTACTTCAAGGACCTGTGTAATGGTTATTCCAGGCAAGTTTGGGGTGAGTTGCAGTTGCAATTGCAATTAGTGTGTAACGGGGACAAAATTGAACATTTTCCAAAAATTGTTGCCTATACTACAAGTTACGAGAAAAATTCGCTCCAGCCCTAATAGACAACCCAATGATAAAACTCAGGGCTGGGTAACTCCAGCTAGGGGGGGCCTAGGCCTACTCTGTAATTAAATGTAGGAAGGCAATTAAAAATAAAAAGAAGAATATTCTTATCAATATCATTGCTTATTTTCGGGCATAAACAAAAAAAATTGAAAATGTGAGATGTCAACGCCAACGAACGTACTGCGGATCTGTCATGTCTGTCACTTAGTCAGACGTGCTATCCACTGTCTCGGCCATCGGCCACAGGTCTACTCGTGTACTCCTATAGACACAGAACCTTGCAAAATTGTTTGCAGCACAAAACACTAATTAAGTACAAAAACGTCCATCAAAACAGAGACATTTCCCACAGAACCGCTGCACAGTTTGGCCCTAAACTTCGTACAAAACCTCATGACATACTCAAGTTATGTGCGCCAAACAAACTGCGCTGGATTCTGTCGGTTTTTAGGCCAAAATGATGAAAGATATGCCCTTTCCGCACTGAGCCAATCTGACACTTAAAACGTGCACGCAGAGAATATGATCGACACTTTCAATATTGTTTCATTTGTACAGGAATGCACTACTTGAAAGGACTGGACTGAAAGCTCCAAAAGGAGTCAAAACAGGAACCACAATAGCTGGCCTTATCTTCAAGGTACACATTTCTGTTTATCATGTTATTATTTGACAGTCTCCACAAATATCTCACAAACATGAACCCCCCAAAAAGGACATCAAAATACAAATTTAAATCAAAACGAACTATGAACACATAATACAAACGAGGCGTTGTCAAGGATAAACCAAACAAGCTGTAGCAACTTATTTTCATAGTTGTCCTCATTTTACATCAGTTTTTTTCTTTTTACAGTATCATTGAGTTCATCATTTATATTGATAATTTTACAATATGCAATCATAGAAAAGTTTATCATGCCAATTTTGTTTGGGTATTAATCAGTAGCATTTGACTGTTTGCCTTATTCATAGGATGGCGTTATTCTGGGTGCAGATACCCGAGCGACAGAGGACACAATCGTGGCCGACAAGAACTGCTCAAAGATTCACTACTTGGCTCCAAACATTTAGTAAGTATCAACAAGATACGTAAGTGCCTACTTTACGTCTTACATTCCTTTAACCATTTAGTCACTGTAGCTCCAGAAACTGCCCAAACACCCTGTGGACAAATCTTTGAATTGTATTTATTTTGACCCTGGTTGTTTCTAGCTGTTGCGGAGCCGGTACTGCCGCAGACACTGAGGTGACCACACAACTGATATCCTCCAACCTTGAGCTGCACAGCTTGTCAACTGGCAGGGAAGCCCGCGTCGTCACTGCTAACCGCTTGCTTAAGCAGAAGCTATTCAGGTAAGCAGTCAGTCAGAGGAAGAGTTGGAGGATGGAGGGTGAATGAACCAATCCGATAACCCCAGACCGCCGCATCATGCCTTGACCAAGAACAGTTGTGACTGCGTTGCCAAATGCCAGACAAATCTCTGACGTAATCACATGCATGACGCATGTCGTTGAAAATTAATAAAATGTAAAGGATGTATGATCAGATGCCATCACAGTGTTGTATTTAGGAGTATTCAAGAAACTCCCATGCAAAAATACCTGTGGAGTAAAGGTTATCCCTAAGTATTCCACATTTTCAGTCATCACCTTTGCTTTGCCATATTGCTTAAAGGGAATATACATCATTTGCTTTTGCTGTAATTTTCAGAAATGGATGGAATTGGGGGGTTGGAAATATAAAGCAAATATAGTTACACTGACTTTTTGGAGATTTTGGGTTCGAAAATGCTATAAAAACCAAGAAAAACGATCATTTTCCTGTAGTCTGGTTCCCTGACTCCATATAAGAAGAAACAGAGCAGTTTACATACATTGGGGAATTGTAAGGTCAGGGAACCAGTCTAGCTTGCTCGTACCCGTTCATAGGTTTGTAATCGATTGCAAACAAGTGCAATGGTCAATTGGGGCCAGTATTTGAAAAAAAGCCAGTTGTTTCCAACGCTGATCGGCCGATCAGCGTTGGAAATTGATACAAAAATACCACTTTTCTTGAAAATGACAGTATACCAGGTGCCATAATTTTACAGGATGCTTTAGACTGTCATTTACCAACATCCTGTTAAGGTATTTCGCAAAAACTTGGTAGTTTTATTTTTCGATGTTTGCAAATGTTGTATATTCCCTTTAATTCGAAACTGAGGAGCTTTGCTTTGCCAAAGTTCTGCCAATTTTGTGCAAGTTCAAATATATTCCATTACATTTAATAACTACTGATTTATGGAGAGTGGTGTTTGAGGATTTGGAATGCCGAGGGAGATACAGAAGGTTATTTCTACAATGAGCGATGAAATTATCCCAGTACGTTGTGTGATTTTTTCTTCAGGTACCAGGGACACATCGGAGCTGCCTTGGTTCTAGGCGGTGTGGATGTGAAAGGACCTCACCTGTACAACATCTACCCCCACGGCTCCTCCAACAAGCTGCCGTTTGCCACCATGGGCTCTGGATCACTGGCAGCCATGGCTATGTTTGAGGACAGATACAAGCCCAACATGGAGGTAAGGGGCTGAAACACACCAAATCATTCCAATTTTGGCCTGGATAAAATGTTTACCCTAACCATCCACGTTCTTTTGACTAGGAACCCTGCCAAATGCAACATGCAACAATAGAGAAGCCTGCCCAGAGTGAAAAGATCCATCGGGGCCAACAGTCTTAAGACCTCAGAGTCTGTGGTTGCTAATTAAAGAGTGGCATTGGTCCCACACACATTTCCACCTGTTGTACTGTGGTCCACCGTGCAGGATTAGGGGTTAATCAAGCAAGCCCCTCTGAATTCCTCAAAGTCAGTTTGGCATGTAATGGTAGTAGATTTGTAGATGACAACAGCTAAGCCTTGGGTGAAGGCATTCCTAATTTGGTCACTGAGCCGAAGCCTGCTTCATTTATTCCCTTCCCAGCAAAACCTTCAGGGGATCTGAGATTCTGAGGTCACTTTATTCACAGTAAATTCTTTTTCGGTCAGTTATTAACTGCTTTCCTTTACTGATGATAAACGGGTATTCGAGATTGAGTGAAATATAATCAAGTCATTCCAGTGGTGGGCTAGTCCCTTTAATGAATGACAACTTTTGTTGAAGTGAATATTGTTGCCACTGTGTCAGAATGTAAGGCAGTCAGTAGTGTATTAAAGGGGCACACATCTGATTTCCCCTGCAGGAGGAAGAGGCCAAGCAGCTGGTGCGCGATGCCATCGCGGCCGGCATCTTTAACGATCTGGGCTCGGGCACCAACGTGGACCTCTGCGTCATCAAGAAGGACAAAGTGGACTACCTCCGGCCTTACGATGAGGCCAACGTCAAGGGAGTCAGGTAAGAGCACTGTTGCAATGCATTGCAAAAGGAAAACAACAACAGAAACTTGAAAAAATGTAGCGTGTCAAAATAATGATTTTGCCAAAGCCCGAGTTGTGTTGACGATCCTTGGACAGTAGCCAATAACAACAAATGCCCACCAGCTGTATAAGGCATATAGAATTCCTGATGTTGAAAAAAGTTGTGTGTATTTCATATTGTCACCGTTGAAAACTTAAATAGATAGTGTATCATAACTTCTCTACCAAAAAAGAAAAAAATCAACGTTTGAGAAAATTAAAGAAAAAGTTTCCAACAGTTTGTGTGGCTTTATTTGATTTTACACATTTTATTAGTAATTTTACAGTAGTTACATAAAAAGTACAATATTCTACATGCCCCCTTAATTTCTTTAATTGGGTTTTACCCTCACCAATGCAATGTTATAAGCACCTTGTGGTCCGAGAGATTGTGAGAAAAAAAATTAACTTATTTACGTAAGACAACTTAGCCAAGAACCTCCAGATTACGAGCGTAAACACCTTAATCTCTCATTCACACAGCTTGCCGAGGTCATTGGGCAGGTCCGACTCCCATACAGCTGTGGGTACCACAATCAAAATTGCACCGTAGAAACATGTACAAATTGTTTATTTACACAACTGTTCTTGTGATTCTCTCTTGCAGGCAAGGTGACTATCGCTACAAGAGAGGTACCACAGGGGTTCTGACCAAGACTGTCACACCGCTGGAGTTTGAGGTCGTTGACACAGTGGTGTCCATGGAGACCTCATGATCCCAAAAATTATTCCCTTTCATCCCATTATTATAAATGTTTGTGTGTGTGTTGAGTTGTTTCATTGGAAAGTCCATTTTGGTTACTCAGTTTCTGTATGAATTAAACCAATCCTGTATTAGTTTAGATTGGTTACTTTGTTGAATAAACAACTAGTTTAGGCTTTAGAAATATTTCTCCACATTAATGATAAAAAACCTTGGCTTTTGATTTCTCTAGTGATAGTCCTGTTTACTGGAAATTGAATCCTATTACAAACGTTGCATAATGTATGATTTGGATCATCGTTGGAGCAACATTGACCCTTGAAAAGGTTTAATAACAAAGAACAGCGAGGGTTTCCAAAGACTTTAAAAACATAAAAGTTTTAAGCAAGGTCATTTTGTGATTCAAAAGGAATGTTAAACTTCATTTAGCGTTCTTCTGTAACCCAGCAAAATATGGTTTTGTATCGTCCCATGAAATAAAAATAAAAACTCAAAATGATGAGATGCTGTGTGTCCGTCTGTTTGCTTGTTCAAAGTTTATTACGTCATCAAGGATCAGACTTAACAAAATAATTACAGTTCCAATTCGCTCCTTCACCATGTTCACCAGCCTGTGTTGCAACAAGAAAATACCTGGATTTCTCTTGGGAAGATCACGTTTAGGTCGTCTGTATTCATAAAACTCATGGACTGTCATTCACGTGACATAATTGTTTTAGATTTTAATAGAAAACTGGCTTGAGGTCTATGTTGTTCATCCATGGAATATCCCCTATCACACCAAGGGTCTATGATATGTGAGCAGATTCGACGACTATGCAAAAAAAGACTGCGGTTTTACCTTGGGATTCTAACAATTCAGTGTGCGCCTTCTATCGGGTATTCCGGAACCTATAATCATGGCATCCAAATTGACCAATCCACAGCTTAGTACACTGAAACGATGTTGGAGTCTCTACAGACCACTCCCATTGGCTGGCACGCGATGTCGCACAAAATGTACATGCTACGATATATCAGACTTTCAACCGTGGCTCAGCCTACGTGAATGTCTGACCCTCGGACTATATAATTCTTATGCAGAGCCAACAGAATGTACATCGTGATATTAAAACAAAAGAAACTGTAAACAACTCTAATTATCGGATTCATCACTATCGTTACTGTCATCACTCACAGTGTACCCGCCTAGTAGGCTCAGTCCAACCGACTTGGCTTTGGGTCTGGCACCCTGTCCCCCGCCAGCAATCAGCTTCTTGCCCAGACCCTCTTGAATGCTCCTCGAAATCTGGTCACTGTCTGGTTCAGGGATATCGTTGACATGGTGATGATTATTGTCTTGGTGATGGTCGTCATGGTGATTGGAGTCATTGGACCCCCCGGCCACTGTTGTTGTCAGTGATTGGCTAGAGGTTGAGGGCTCCCTCACAGGTTCAGGAACTGTTTGTTCATGTGTACGCGTCTCCCCAATTCCTACTTCAGTTTGTGTAGCGAGTGCTACGTTGTTATCTTGGGTACTAGTAGAGTCCCTGGGGGTTGTTTTTGTTGACGGCAGATTTGATTTGGGGTGCTGTTTTTTCACCTTTACCAGTCCAGCTAGAGCCGATTTGGAGCTCAACTTTAACCCTGTGGATTCTTGCTTGGACTTCTTTGTCTGCAACTTATCGTCCTGAAAACAAACAAGGACGATAAAATTAATCAAGATCATGCCCAAACTGGACAAAACGCAGATCATCCTTGAATCTCAAACGTTGTCAGTCCTGATTCTGCTACGCTGTGAGCTACAGAGTGTACATGCATATGAACACTAAGGCTGAATTGCTTAGGCTTCTTTACGCACTTGTCTTTTGGTAAGTGGAGTCACCACTTCCATTGGCATTCTGTAATTAGCCGAAGCCAAGTGATTCAGATTAGGTGACGTTTTTCGCTGGTAGTGCAAGATTTTCCCCAGTTGCCATGTCAATCCTGCAAGTACATGGCCTGTGAGTTTAGCCACACCAATCTTTCCCCGTATTCAGTTCGGCTTTGCGTCCGCATATATCAGCTTGGTAAAAGAAGTCAGCTTACCCTTGTCAAGACTAAATGTGTCTCAGCTGGACTGTGGTAACTCTGTGTGATATTTATAGATTCTCCAGAGCTGCTGACTTGAATCATATGACTAGGCTGCTCTTAAACCACACATACATATCCTAAAAAACGCAACAGCGAAATTCAGCTTACACTTGTCAAGACGTCCGATGGTCTCTTAACTGCTGAGGTTTTCTTGGATGAAGGCAGCCATGACGATGAAGCTCCTCCTACCTCATCAGGATCATCTTCTATTCTCTTAATCACGCCTCCATCTTGCTTGCCAAACAACTTCCTGAGGATACAGAACAAAAATGAACAAAATGTACTAACATTACATGACTAAAGTATCTCTTAGAGAGAAGTGACAGAAAACAGTGGCAAAATATGTTAGCTCCCCCGCCCGCCCAACTGACCTAACTAAACTGCCCTGAATAAAATAGTAATAAGTGGTATTTTAAGTCAATACAATATAAAATATTAGTACACAAATTTCATTTTTTTTTAATCAAAGAATAGCCATCCAAAACATCCAGGACTATCCCCTGTCTGCACGGTTGATCCTGGAGTTATGGAAGCTTTGAATTCTCTGACTTACGCTACGTAGGCCTCATCTTCTTCCTCCTGTTTCCTTAGCATCTCTCCTTGAGCCTCAGCCTTCCTGCGTAGGATCTCGGCGTAGTCAATGTCTAGCTTTCTAGTGTTGATCTCTCTCAACTCCTCCAGGTTCTCAAGGATCTCCATCTCATTCTTGGAATCCTGGGAAGAGTTGGGGGGGGGGGTGGCAGTAGGGGAGGAGTAATACAGGTTAGTTAAGGGAGCTCCGCGGGGGAAAGGAAACTGTCTAATAAAAACCTCAATGCATTCCTGTTCTTTTTCCCAAAAAAAGATATTGTTTTGGGGACATGCAGCTTTTTTCGTGGGGGTGCGAACAAGAATGACCAATTCTAGAAGGAGTGGATAAATAGTGCACTGTAAGTAAGTGGATCACTTTGATATTCTCAAGTCGTATTCGAAAATGTTTTGAGTACTTGGCAGGACTCTCAGATTAGATGTGGATGTGCACTGACAAAATGGGGGATCTGAAGCCCGATTAACCTATCGCGGTAGAATCGCATCAACGCAGCTTGTGAAATATTGTCCAATTACATGACATAGAAACGGATTCGGAATGCACAAAATCTGAGACAAACAAAACTTTTAAGTACAAAATTCCATAGGGTTGTCTAAGAGGCGTGGCTAACTCGCAAACAGCGATAGGTCAATTGTGGTTGAAGTAAATGGTAGTGAAACTGGATCATTGAATGATTTTTCTCTGCTCCATGCATGCTCCGTTTCTCTTGTTGCTCAGTGCATGAACAGTAGATCGGTGGCGCACCCAAGGGGGGGCTCGGGGGGATAGAGCCCCCCCCCCCCCCCGCCCCCAAAGAGGTTGTTCATTTTTTTTTTTTGATTTTATTTTTTAGTCCCACGATTTGGCCTTGGTGATATGAATGTGGCCTGTTTATAATAGGGGTGTAAGTGGCGCCACCAACGTCAAAATAGGCCGCCCCTCAAAAAAAAAGAAAAATTGGGGGCAACAAATGTGTAAAAAAAAAAATGTTGAGCCCTGCCGAAAACCAAATCCTGGCTGCGCCACTGCAGTAGATAGTGCTGCAATTAACATTTTGCACATGGGCAATCCATACTTGTGTAAGGCTCGGTTAATTGTCCCCACGGCCTGGCCTAAACTCCCAAGATCTTGGGCAAATGCCCAAGGAGTGGCCTACCTTGGTGCGGTTCTCCAGCACCTTCATTGGGTTGTTAGCTTCTTCTTCCTCCCTGTCTTGTTTCTCTTGCTCCTCAGCCTTGCGCAGCATCTTGGCCGCTTCAAACAGCCTGGTGGCGCCGTTCTCTATGGTGTAGTCTTCGTTTTCAGGATCAGTCTGGAAAATAAGAATTAATATGTATTTGTTGGTGATATTCTTCAATTAATCCTACTTACAAAATTTGGCTGGACTCATTTGATTGGGTTCGTGAAGTCCTGCCGAGGTCACGAACCCAAGACCTCGTGGCAGACCTCCAAAGAAGTGGATCTCACAAATCCGTGAGCACACCGGCCTTCCTATAGCAACAGCCGAACGCCGAGCATCTCACCGTGAGGGCATTCGTGGTTGTCTACAACAGGGGAGCGCAAGGGTCCCTTGGGACTGAGCATTTAAGTCAAGTAAGTCATTTGATTGACTTCGTTTGCAACTGTTGCTGTATTCCACAGTGTATGTATGTAAATAAGTTTGATAATTTTGATGTACATTTCATAAAAAATGTTATTGCTCTACTACAATAAGGCCGAGAGTCGTTTGAAAGCAAGAACTGATAAACATATATCACACAGTATATTGGGAGGGAATTCAAACTAGGGTGAAAGAGGTAGAAAACAGACTTACGTTTAAGACAATTTTTTTTTGGGGGGGGGGCTTTCTGAAGTCTATGCAAGGGTACAGACAGTCCAACCAGACTTAAAGATAATTGACGAGCTGTTTTCTATAAATCAAGCTGAAGTCAACCACTATTCACTCACTTTGAAACTGATTTCAGAGATGCACTTTGGACACTTGATGTAGAAGCGATAGATGCGCAGGCCCAGGTAGGTCTCATCTTGTACATTCTCTGTCTTGGCGTTGAACTTCTTCCCCTGGTAGATGTAATCACCGCACGTCTTACACCTTGGAAGAAATAAGCAAGAGAAATGTCTCACACAAGCAATGTGGTAATGGCTAGGGTTTCATGCAATATACCCAGGTACTTTGGTTTGTCAACAAAAGAGTGCAAGCGCTGAAGTGAGTCCAGGGATTTCAGCTTGTTCTTTCTATCACCAACCAAGTCCGGTGGCCTTGTTTTGTTTTTTACACCATTGATCATAATTATAAACAACATCAAATGCTCTGCTTTGCGTCCCAATCTGACCAAGTTCAATGTTCATGTTTATGAAGCAATGTTCATCAAATGTTTTTCACATGCCTTTTTTGTTTTAAACTGCAATAAATAATGTACGTGTACGGGTCATTCTATAAATGTGGGGTTCTTTTTAGTTTCTGTCCCTGTTACATCTGACATCTATGATTTTATAAGTTTGATGCAAACTACCTACCCATACTAAATGATACTTGAATGGCAAATTACAAAGTGCCAAGGCAACAGGGACAGGAAAAAATGTCACACTTTTGACCCTTAATTTATAGAATGACCTGCATGTGTTTTTCACGATATTTTGACACCTACCCATGACAATTTTTCTTCCGGTATTTGTAAAATACGACGACTACCGGCCCTGTAGTCTAGTATTAAGCCTCATAAACCGTGCCCTCACCTCATATTGAAGGGTGCCATAGTGCGCACAGTGTACTGCCGTTCCCTATGCTGGCGCAGCTTAGGCACTTTAGCCGGATCAAAATCCGGAGGGTAGTATTTCTGAAAAATGTAAACAAAAAAGGTAATCCATGAAAAAGTATTTTCACGTAAGAAAAGAGGATATTTAAGGAACTGGGAGATTTAGGATAAAACTTTATGAAAGTTGGGACGAGTATAATAGATTCAAATGGAATCTGGGGGCAGATAGAATTGATAATTCCATTTCCAAGATGGCAGATGTAATCGTCTACTTTTTCGACTCTTTTGCTGATGCAAAGTTGTGTCCAAAGGAGCATTCAAACTTTGTTAAAAATAAATTAAAAGACAATATAATGACAAACGTACAAAATGCATGAATAGAACAATAACCCTTTAAAAAAAAGGAGGCAGGCGGGGAAAAGGAAGCAGGTGGGAGCGAGAATCAGATTGTTTTACTTGGCCTCAGGACAGGTAGTGTGCTTCTTACTTGATTTTGCCGGTCATCTTGACAGCATGTAATAACAAAGAGACTTAAACTATATAAATAAAAAACAAAAGTGGAATATGGTTAGGCCATTAAATGCTATTAAACATGTTGATTACTTACATTGAGTACTTTTCTCTCCGACATCTTGAATTAGCGCTGTACTATCTGTGCTTGTTCCCGTCAAAAAAGAAAGAAAGGAAACCACTGAATGAATTAGTCCCGCAAATCAAGCCAAGAATTTTCAGAAACTGAAATGCCTCTGTTTTGATAAGCAGTTTCGGTCTTCAAGAAAACCAGGTTCTAAATTAAAAGTTTACTTTAAACCATCAGACATACTGTAATGACAGCTATAATCCTGGTCAAATCTCGCTGGGCCCCCAACCCCCCGGCCCCCATTCAATGTTGTCTCTCATTGCGTGGTGTGTGCTCCATCAGCTTGTGAGAACAACATTGACCGGGGGAGCGGGGGAGTGGGTGACCGTGGCAGGCTCAGGAAGTGTCCCAACCATTTTGGCCAGGATTGTCTGAATGTACAATATAGCCTGAATTTGGACATTGCGCATATTACGCGCTCAAATAATAATGTACACGAGCGCGTTGGTTTCGTATTACAACATGGTCAATGCATATGGGTTACTCCATGAAGTTGGAATAATAGCTGATAATGCTGAAATTACTCTCTTTGTTATCAATTTGTAAAAAATTTAGTCTTTCAAATCCTTCAAAGTAACATTTTCCTCAAAGGATATGATGTTACTTTTAAAAATAAAATCAAACTAGGACTGTATCTGCCCTCAAATAATTTTTATTGGGCAAAATGTGTGCAAAAACCACTAAAAATGTCAGTAAAAAGTGTGACATTTAAATTAACAGAAACATGTGTTTTTATTTTTGTTGTTTTGTTGCAAAAATGCCAACTGATCAATCCTTTTAAGTAATTTACTATTAGATTAAAGTCATATTCACCCATATCTATGCATAAAATTGTTCAAAAGCTGCTCGTGTTGATATTACATGCATGTGAAAATTCTGTTACCTATGCTACATTTGGTGTCCGCACTTTTTGTGTCCTGTAGCATAGGTACTAAGGCTTGCTATCTCCATACAGTACACTGTATCTGAAAGATTTTGATTTTAATATGTTCAACTCACTCCAAGTTGAGTTTTTAAAAAGTTGAATTCTCCAAACTTGCTGCTGTTTATAAGATGCAAGAAGAAAAAGTATAATTTTTTGAAATGGTGTCCATGTAGCATCGGTATTTTCAAACTAAAGAAACCCCTCAAGCTGAAATACCTCCACACATACTGACACATCTTAACCTTTGGTAAATAGTAATTGGATGGATATTCAAAATAAAACATGCTTTGCAAAATTGTTCTTCAGCAATGAAGATTTATGTTCCAAAATATAGCGTGGTGTCCAGATGTAGCATAGGTAGAAAATGTAGCATAGGTAAGAGAGTATTCCTTTAGTTGTGAAGCTATGATTGTAGACAAATTATTTTTTTAATGTTAGAACCAAGAAAGTGGTTAATTACAATAAATTAATAACAATCAGATACAGATGAACTCTATTTTACATACATGTAAGGGTTTGCTCCTCTAAAGTGAAAATTGATAAATAGGACACGGTGTCCATGTAGCATAGGTATTGTTCCACACTCTATAATTCATATATACATCCAAATTATGTATCCAAAATTCAGCTTCTGTATTCGGTTTGCGTGTCCACTGCCATAAAACATGATTTAGCCATTTTTTGCTTAATTTTCAGTTAATTACTGGATAAATTGTGCTGTTTTCTACCTATGCTACAGGACACGGTGTCCATGTAGCATAGCTAAAATTGACACATTGTCAGCCATATTTCTCAGCACGACGAGCAAAGGCATACATTTTGAACATCATTTTAGAAAGGTGGTTCACTGACTGTGTCATTTAAGTCAAACTTTTACTCATAAATGCTATTTTAGATCTCTTCTAGCTGATTTGGTTACTTTTTCCAAACAAGCACAATTTTGTCAAAATTACACAAAAAGCCTCAATTTACAATGGGTTGTATCAACTTATTTTGAGCATCTGCTGAACCATTTGTGTTTTCCTTTGATTATACCCTAAAAGTTAATCTTAAACAACAAGAAAACTGACAAATAACCTAACCCATTAAAAAATGTTCAGAGCAATTGTTTAGATTTGGTGTCCATGTAGCATAGGTATTTTGAATTTCCCATCATGAATAAAAAGATCAACCACAAATTCAGTTTTATGTTTTGGGGAAAAAGCATACTATTTCCTAAAAATATAGTAGTTGAGCTATCAAAAACAATATTCAGATCAACATTTGGGAACTTTGACCCAATGTCACACTTTTTGCCCGAACTTCATGGAGTAACCCATATACAATGTACACGATTCACCATGACGGTTCACCTTGTCATTATGGCCGATATTTTTATAAAAATACAGATTGGGTTCAATGTGAAGCACATTCTCGTTGTCTTGTTTTCCGCGACAACGCACCAGACAAAAACTGAACCCACTTGCAGCGCCTGAAAGCGGTGTGGTACCCACGATGTTTACATCGCGCACGCAGATTTTTTTTTATGTCATCACGTGATGCATATATTTACATAATTAACAAAACAAAACGTTGGAACTGGCGACAGCCGTTGGAACTGGCGGTTTTTTACGGACAAGCCACCGAAATCGTCAAGATTTTTCACATTCATGACGGCATGTTTGGTTTTTTTTGTGACTGTTTCAAGTCGATCGTGACATTAGCTTCATGAATGACTGCTGAATGTATGAGGTATATAAATGAAATCTGGGGTTGGATATTAGAGGTGAAAATCGACAATTTTTGAGAGGCCATTATTTAAGGGTCTCTTGCTACATGTACCACACTGTCACAACTAGGTTATGTCTCCAGCGAGCGCTACATGAATATGAGCATGTCAGCTGGAGTTAGCTTTGGAGGAAGTCCAGCTGACGATATATCAAGTTTGATTGGAATGTAATGTAATGCGTACAACCAACACTCCCGCAATTTGTCCAATTCGTGGATTGGTGTTACAACATTAAACGAAGAAATACTTACCAAAACTCGTTTTACGAAACTGCTCTACTCACACTCAACAGCAACACGATTCGATTTCGATTTACTCGAATATAGCCTGGACACTAGCATAGCATTGATTCGTCGTTGAGTAATCCAAGAGAGGGCGCCCTTTAATCCCTAAAAAAAAACACCTCCATGGGTTTGTCCATGATCTCAAAAATCCAAAGACCGATTTGGTGTGCTTGTAGATACACGTATTCTTAGTGCAAATTCAAAGTGTTATATCTCAATTGATTGAAGTATTTGTTATGTGTCGAGTTCTTACGAAAACCACTCCTTGCAAAGGAAAGTAGGAGTAAATGATACCCTCGAAATATTCGACTAGTTTAAATTTAAGTGTTTTCCATTTATTTTGAGTATGGCTGGCTTAAAGAAATCAGTAATTGATTTGTCGAGGATTTTAATCAAAGCCAGATTTTTTTCAGGTTTCGGATGCACGGATCGAATATCATCATATCAACACTTGAAAAGTACACCAGCCTGTGTTGCCTATTGGAAGGCCTGTTTAACTTGGAGATTTTTGGCCTCGGAAGATTAGCAGGACAGACAGACAAACAGTCGGCGGTCAAAACAACTAGCACCCTGAAAATCCCCCCCCCCCCCCCCCCCGTGATTACAGTCATTTGTAGGGCAAACGCGCGAGGGTAAATCTTTGACATCCACAACAGGTTTAGTCAACCTCGGTCTAAAACTTGAACAATACCTATCTAGATTTTGGTATTATAGAAGCCTATAAAAGTGTGCCGTTTCGTTAATTATTGGTCTCCGTAAAATCAATAGGGGGGGGGGGGTCGTACCATACTTCCAATGGGTGCGCTGTTCAAATCTGACGATTACCAACACTATATTACCGATTAGTGTAGCCTATAAGAAATTTTTGAGACAGAGCGGGGGGGGGGGGGGTTGCGGTTGATCCGCGCGCGCCTGAATTCAAGGACCAATTGTTACGAAGTTTGGTGTGCTAGCAGATACACAGTATTCTACATAGGACCTAGCTCTATGTTACACATGAGCTCAAATCCATGAAGCATTATTATGTGTCGAGGTTTTACGGAAACCACTCCTTGCAGAGGAAAGTAGGAGTTGTTTTATACCAGCGAAATATTCATCTAGTAGCCTAAGGCAAAAAAAAAAAAATTCGGTCTCTGGTCAGACCAAAGTTCCGGAATTGACGCGGCCACGCGGCTTTTTTTTTCTTCAAGCTTGGATTGTACGTACAGACAAGGTACGTGGGGTACTATTTTGCTTTTTTGGTGTCCTCATGTTCATTGGTGTCCTCCATAATTTGCCTCGGGTGCTTTCGATCATTTGCCTTGGTTCAATTTCCCATTCCTTGGTGCTCTTTGGTAAAAAAAAATTGAGGAGGTGCGGAAATAGAGGGCGCTGTTGGAGCTAGCTACCGCGGAACATTTTGGAAAAAAAAAGATCGACGCGCATGATTAAAATCGACGCGCGCGCTGACCAGAGACCGACTTATTTTTTGTTTGGCCTTATGGTTAAACTGTTAAAAAAGTTTAAGGACAACCGTTGACTTTTACATTTTGTTTTGTGTTTGCGAAGGGGCTTTTTATGGCTTTAACCATGCTTAAACAAACCAGTAGTTGATTTTTCGAGCAATCAAGGCCAGACTCTTTTCAAGGTATCGGATGCACGGAAGGACAACACTTGAAAAGTACACATGTTTTCACATACTTGGAGATTTTCTACAGTACACCTCGGAAGCTTAGCCAGAATAAACAGTCGGCGGTCAGAATAAAGGTACATAAGCACCCTGACCCCGCGTACGTGATTCCAGTAAATTGCAGGAATGTGCGAGGGTTAATCTTTGACATCGACAGCAGGTTTAGTCAATTATCAACAATCTCGGTTTAAAAACAAGATTTATCTAGATTTTGGTAAGCTAGAAGCCTATAAAAGCCCTGTCCGTCGTTAACTGTGCGTCACATTGACTTCTTGATCAACCACCAAGTGGACAAAACTTCTATCCTGGTGAGTAGGCTACACTGTAGTTTTTCACGATCAAGATGCCAATTTCTGTCACATCTCGAAGAAGTTTTTAGTAATCACTGTTGTGCGTTTAAAAGTTGAATGTATCTGATCCACTTTACATGACGGCGTCATTTTGGTCCGTTTGCACCAGCCTGAACCGTGAATTGAGCAGTGTCCGCTAGCGTCCGCATCGTATACGATATTGATCACCTTAAACACGATTTCTTTAATTCCTAAAAAATCACACTCTCTTGACTGAATTCCTTGCTCCATCGCCGGTTAAATTAGTACTTTTTTGGGCGAACGAAAACCAGACTACTACCGTACTCCGATTTTGGACGTCTCAATTCGAATTGAGTGAAGAAATAATTCAATAACTAAGCATCGGGGATTTCTTTGTCCAATGTCTCACAATACTGAAAAAACAACTTTGAAACATTTTTTCGAGTTGAAACTCGAAAACAGCACGGAGAATATATTATTAATATGTTATTAAAGCCGGTGGCCTCAATGATCATGGTTGCATGGCGGTTTATATCAGGCAGATTCACCCTCCTAAGGAGTGAATGCCTCGCTTAAAAAAAAAAAAAAATCCAGGTCTTTCGAAACTTCAAAAAAAAATCTAAATTACTGTGTTTAACTGCCTCGAAGTTTACTTTTTGAAATTGTTTGTCACGGTGGCGCGATTGTTTCCATTGAACTTTGGACTTTGGAAACGATAATGGCAAGCAGACGGAGAGTCGTAAACAAGTATTCTGCAAAAGGGTCATTAGTTGGTTGGATTGGGATTGTAGACAATGGGCACAGACCCACATAGATAAGTTAGTCACCTCCATCGCGTATGCATCTAAATTTCTTGATTCCCTCTTTAAATACAAAAACCACCCTCGATGATAGAAGATGACTTGTGTCAATATTGAATTTGATAAGTTTAACTGACGATGTGTACTTTGATCCTATAGTGTCTGTGTCGTACGTCAGTGCACAATAAAAAGCCCGTGTATATCTGCAAATCTCATTTTGTTGGTATCACAGGTATCGACTTGGTATAGGCTACAACCATGAATCGTTTTCTGCTGCTGCTGTTCGCCTGCTGCGTGCTGGGCATCCGCGCTCAGGTTATCGAGGATGACCCCCCGAAGGAGCCCCTCAGCCCGGAAGAACTCCAGAGCCAGACCACCAAGGAAATCTTAAGCCTGATCGAGGTAGCCATCAAGGTGGCCCAGTATACGGACATTGGGGAGAAGCGGAAGGCGATGGGTTGGGTGCAGGAGCGACTAGACGTGGTCAAAGGCCTGTTGAATGTGGACGGAGGCTCGGGCACCAAAGAACCAGAGGTCACCTATTACCAAGGTACGGATAGAGCATCATTGGCGTTGTATCATACAGTGTCGGATGCAGGAAGAGGGGTGGTGTGGTTTTGAAGTCTAAGATCCTTCACTGGGATTGGGGGGGGGGAGTTGAGGCATCGTAGTCAACGCATAAAACGACCAAAGACGTGAAGAAATGAATCAAGATTTGCAAAATAGAGTGATAGCGTTTTAAGGGAACTTAAGGAATGTTTTGTTTCATAATGTAAATAATTAACAAGAATTGTAACCATTCTTCTCCTCATTATTTTTTTTGCTTATTTTTTTGGGCGGATCGACACTTTTAAAAGTTGCAAACTGTGTCCCATGCATGTCTTCTGTCATTTGGATGTGTATACCTTTCCCAATGTGTTTACATGTATTATTTCCAATCAGTGTTATAAGCCAACAGGGCTGCATGCAACCAATGGTAATTCGTTGGTACCGTCCATAACCCAACGAAACCCGATGTTTCTGCTCTTTTTTTTTGCATGTCCATTGTAGAATCAAAATATATAAAATACCTTATATTTTTGTATTGAATTTTTTTTTTTTTTATATAATTCCTGTGTTTTCCCTCTTTTTTTACGTGTACGTACACAGACTGCGCTGCGCTGTACGACGAAGGATTTACGGACAGTGGGCTGTACAACATTTACCCGAATTATCCAGCGAGTTCCGACCCGCTGGCCGTGTGGTGTGACCAGGAATCGGACGGCGGGGGCTGGATTGTAAGTACGGCCTGTTTAAACTCTGTATCATGATCATGAAAACATCACCGTGGTGCCGTAAGCAGGGCTGATGTATGGTACGTGCTTTAATATATGGAATCAGCTTATGAGAGCCAATCTCAAACACTTTACACCAGATATAACATTGCCTGCATGGTAAACCTATTATTGCTAAAGAAACGTTTGCGCTTAATGTTGGCCCCTGATTTTACAGACGCCCGCTCGATCTGTTTTCTGAATCATAGATTGACAAAATTCAGCAGTATTTTCCAGCTGTTTTGAGGCTATACAAATTCGTTTGTATAATAATTGCACAATCTCGGGTGACGACCTTAAACGTCATACGAAATTGAGAAAGTTGGAGGACCTACTAAAGTTTTGGGATCATATGTATCTGAAAAAGAGTGTCTATGTAGAACGAGAAAGAAATAACTTCTGAGCCTTAAACGGTGTCTTGCGTCACAGTGCGTCCTTATAAGTCTATACATCATCCACCGTCTTTCTTCTGTTTCTATGTGAAGGTTTTTCAGCGCCGCGTGGATGGCTCGGAAGACTTCGAGAAATTGTGGGACGAGTACCGCCAGGGTTTCGGTGACCCCAGCGCCGAGTTCTGGCTGGGCAACGACAACCTGGTGTTGCTGACGACCGGAGGAGGGGACGTGGAGCTCCGTGTGGACATCACCGATTGGGATGACCGGACCGCGTACGCCCAATATGCCAACTTCGCGGTGCGAGGGAGCCAGTACACGCTGACTGCGGATGGATACGACGAGGCTTCCACTGCAGGTAGGCTTCGCTGGTTACCCACTACGTATCCAAGGGTGCTTGGTGACCTGTAATTTCCTTGAGCTCTGATTAGATAGATTTGTACGGTCGACACATCCGTGCGCGTGTGCGCACATACGCGCGCACGGACTGTGCGGTAACCGTGGAAGTATGGTAGGGCGCTTTGCGATGTATGGGTCTCCTTCGCAAACTTTTGTTAAAAGTCGGCCTCTAATAACTTATTGGGTAGGAGTGATTAGGATAAATCCTTCGTTGACAATATACAAGAAGTGTATAAATACTATTCTAAATATTCTAGCAAACTCTTGCTTTTCAGGTCCGTCATTTTTGCATGTTCGTCATCTTGCTCATCTTCCCCCGGATAACAATTAATGCTCTCCTTTGCAGAAATCCACGAATCAATTTTGAACTACATAGTTTACTTACTATTTTGTACTCACAGGTGACGCTTTGGACTACCACAATGGCATGGACTTCACGACCACCGACCGGGACAACGACCGGGCCAGCGGCGGCAACTGCGCCGTCTGGATGCGGGGCGGCTTCTGGCACAACTACTGTCTGACGGCCGATCCTAACGGGCCCTACCTCGTCCCTGGCGGGGAGTATGGCGCCTTCTCCCCCGGCACAGATCAGGGAGTGACTTGGACGACGTACACGGCCCACGGCTACCCAGGCCGGGAATACTCGCTCAAAGGAACCGAGATGAAGCTAAGGATGTCCCCTGCTATTTCGCCTTAAGTCACACCACCCGTTCACAACAAGCATAATTTGATGTAATTCAGTTCTTCTTAAAAAACGGTACAGTAACAGTACTACCTCGATTTGGCTGACATAAAGGGGGTGAATGAAAAAATACAGTATCATTCTTTTGGTTTTGCCATGATGTGCACATTTTTATGGAAACTAATGCGCACGTTGTTTATACCACTGAATTCTTGAATTGAATGTTAAAAAATACAATTCGAATGCCATGGAAGGCACAAGGGCGGATCCAGAACACAATTTTTTGGGGGGCCAAAAAAAATTTTGGTCCCCCCCAAAAAAAGTGGGTCAAAAAAATTACGGCGTGGGTTTCGGGGCCCGCTTAAGGACCCCGAAAAGTTTTTGGATTGTAGATGCTCTGTGGTGCGATTTGAGGCAATTTCTGACCACTTTACCAATGTTTTTTGAGGAAAAGATGGTGGTGTGCTCATTGCCTGCCTTTATTGCGATGTCATATTAAAAAAAAAAAAAATTTGGTCCCCCCAAAAAGTGGGTCAAAAAAATTACGGCGTGGGGTTCGGGGCCCGCTTAAGGGCCCCGAAAATTTTTTGGATTCTAGATGCTCTGTGGTGCGATCTGAGGCAATTTCTGACCACTTTAACCAATGTTTTTTGAGGAAAAGATGGTGGTGTGCTCATTGCCTGCCTTTATTGCGATGTCACATAAAAAATAAAAAAAATTGGTTTCGTTTTGGGGGGGGCCATGGCCCCCTTTGCCCCCCCCCCCTGGATCCGCCCTTGGGAAGGCATGAATTTATGCAAGTATAAAATCAGTCAGGTTGTGTTCATTAGTATTGGTAGAATTTTGCACCAATTTATTATTATTAAAAAAATGGGTATGTACTACACCTGATTTGGTTTGAATTTGTACGGAGGGTTGAAGGCTTTTTTCCCGGCGCGGCGTAAGGACGCGTCTTTAACATAATTGTTCAGTGAGATTTTGCATAGGATAAGGTCTGGAATAAAGGGCTTGAATGCCCCACACAATGGATCAGCTTTTTGACATTGGGTTCTGATTTATTCATTTGTTTTATATTCTGCATCCCTGGGAATTTGGTTCTGTTATCTGGAATTGTCAATATAAACTATAAAAACAAACTCGCGTCATGATTATAGCGAGATAGCGCTCAGTCATGACCTTGGACTGTTAGTCCAGGGTTTTGTCAAGCTACACGGTCGTGTCATTTCTCCTTTGATAATTCAGTAATCACTGCAGACTTTGATATCTAGGGCAAATCTCTCAGTTTTGCTCTGTTCTAGCGTTATTCTGAAAAAAAATAGGTTCCTGTACTAAATTGCTATTTTCTAGCATTACAAAAGTTATTCACTTTCGAATTAGACGAAAATATACGCCAACGTTTATTTACTGAAATATTACTTTCCAAATTTATAATCTCTTGCGAAGTGACAATACTGAATTCCAATCTCGGGAAATATGTGCGGGAAGTCGGGCAGGGTTGGGGAGGGGGGGGGGACTGAGAAGCAGTGACGTAAAAGAGGGGTGGGCTAAGGGGAATGTCCCCCACTAAACCAACCCCCCCCCCCCTTGCTCTGACACCCAAAAACGTTTTACTGGTAATAATGTCCGCCTTTGCACAAAATACGGACAGAGCAAGCTTGGTTGGGGGTTACACTAACAGCGCCCCCATTGAAAGTATGGCACGAGCCCCCCTCCCCCCCCCCCCCCCCCCCCCCTTATTGATTTTCGGAGGCCAAGTGTCCGGAGAAAAAAACCTGTCTACATTTCAGATTTTTTTTACGATGAAACCACCTCCCCCCTGCGAAAATTCCTGGATCCGCCCCTGAAAATAACATATATTTTTTTATCAATTCAGGATTTTAAATGGGGGTGGGCATCCTGGGGTACGGACATCTGTTTGTAACCCCCCCCCCCGCAAGGCCGGGTCCACAACACTAATGTTATGTGTTATTGTTCCCCGAAAAAGCGAGTCCAAAAATTGTCCGCCCCAAATTTAATATGAAAAGCAAGGGGTGGGGCAATTGTATTGTTTTTGGTGTGCCCCCCCCCCCCCCTAGTTACGCCCAGCCGCTACAACTTTTTGATCCCGACCCCGCTAAAACTTTAGGGGATGCCACAGAAAGAGCATTTTTATTGTTAAAAACCCACTTAATATCCCTGCAGAAATTGAGGCCTCCGCTGTTCGTGTGAGAAATATTTTGAAAATCGTATACGTACCAGTTATATTTGCTGCTATATTTAACAAATTTGGAATTTTACAGTATCTTTAACTTGAAAAAAATAATTAAAAGACGGCAGATATCAATCAATATAAAGATGTCCACATTCGTTGGTGTATTTTGTTTTTGCTGTTCTATTTATTAGTATTTGTCAATGCACTGTCGTTAAAACACAAACAGAAAAGGAAGTTGAATGACTTTAATTCTAGTGTGATAGCAGTTTAAAAAAACACGCCAGGATAATTTTTTTCATGTTGATGTGAAGTATGTTGCCGGGAAAATTAATAACCTGTGGTATAAGTTGGAGTCCAAATGTATTTTTTTGTTGAAAAAAGATTACAGTCATGACTTGTTGGTTATATTTTCAGACAACTAGAGAATGATGTGTGTGAAGATTTTTTTTCTCAAATTTCCGTTCCTCGTTGCTGCATAAACAAAACCAAAATGATACTTTATCTATAATAGATAGGTCATAGATCTAATACAGGTATAAGATTATAAGTTGTGGAACGTAACGTCCTCTAATGTTTGGCGATACAAGATTTATGACAATAACATCAGCATAATAATGGCTGTGCTTAAAGGCATGTATAGGATCATTTGCATTTATCCCAAAAATAATATAGGCCTACCGAATTATTATTTTTTAAAAATCTTACTAGGATTCAACATCACACTGGTACTAAACACACCGTGAAAATTCTGGTTTGCTGTCAGTTATAAGAAAACGAGAAATGTAGGTAATTCCAACGATCAGTCGATTCATTTTTTGGAAATAGAGTGCCTGGACGAAATGGAGTTTCGAAATGAAAATATGGTTTTTCACTGTTTTCTCGAAAAGTGTAATCCACTAAGCTGAAACTTCTACAGATTAGATTTTGAACATTCTCCTGTAAATTTTGAGTGGTGTTATTATTGGAAACGAACAAATAAACGAAAACTGATCCTAGTATATGCCTTTAAACTGCATATCAATATGGATAGATCTCAAATTAAAGGCATTTACGCCATAGGCCTGACTTTCATCTCAGACTTCTTCAGCGAGTACTGGTTCCCCTTCCAGGCCATCCACTGTATGCCCTGGTCTTCCCGCATACCAGTGGTGGCGTCCAGTTCATTCATGTAGCGGCCGTTCAAGTTGGCACGATGGCAGAGATCGAACCACCAGCCGCTGTACAGCCAGACCGCGCAGTTGCCGTCGAGCGCCCCGTCCACGTCGTTGTCTCTGGTCGTGAAACCCTTGCCGTTGTGGTAAGTGAGGGAGTCACCTAAGGGCAAATGGAAATAAGAAGGAGAGAAATGAATGAAAAGAAAACCAATCGTGGAAAAAAATATAGCCGTGGCATGAATCTATGGACTGCACTCTAAAATGTCCCTGGTGAGATTTGGCCAGGAATCTTGGTTCTGTTTGACCTGATACTTTTCAGGGCCGCAATTATTGATGCATTGCTGGGTCAAAATGACACTCTTTACATGTTTTCTTGTTCAAAATGACCCAGAAAGTGAGTCAGAGAAAATGTACACCGGAAATGTGTCAGCTTTAACCCTGAAAAGAGTCAGGTCAAACAGAACCCGGATCCGGGACAATCTGGCAAGGGACTTTTTACAAAATTGGATGTTGTGTCACGTGATGCCTTTACATTCAGCAAACTGCTCTATTGATGCACTGATTGCATTTAATATAGGCCTCTTGAATTATGGTTGGCTTTTCAATGTGAGCAAGATTACAGGAGTAAGATTTTGGGGTGATTGTTCTGCGTGTCGGTTACTACTCGGCTCTGAGGTCATAGGTGACGTGGTCTTAATCGGAAGGCTCGGCCTCAATTATATCGTGTTCATATAATATTCGCAGAAAGCAATACATTGATGGTTTAAATGCAAATTTAATATTAAGAAGAACAAGAGCATGCTTAGAATTTCCGCAATCTTTGATGTGACAATTATATTTCGTTGAATTATTCTATAAGAACAGAATAGTATAAAGACACGAGAGTATCTTCTTTTTTACTTGTTCTAGACCTATATACTTTTTTTTTTATCTTAAGAGGGGATACTCTTCAAACGTAAAGCCAATTTTCCAGAGCTTAATTTCTGATGTTTTTCGAATTCATTTTTTTGCGGGCAAGACGACAGTTGCTGAACGTTTTGTTAAGTTTGAGAGTCATCCTTCTGTTTGGAACTTATCAACAATTATTTTCTTGAAACTTACCAGCATCTCCTGAGTACTCGCCGATATGCAGTGTGAAATGTTCACCGCTCACGGAGAAGTTCTGATACGTGGCGTAGCGCTGTGTGTCGTCCCAGTCCCAAAGGTCCACGCGGAGCTCAAATCCGCCGCGCTTGGCGTCGGTAAGCCTTCGGAGGGCGCTGTTACCCAGCCAGTAGTCGCCGGCAGCCTCGCCGAAACCCTCGGAGTATTCCTGGAAGCCCTGGTCGAAATTGACCAGTGCACTTTCTTGCCTCTGGAAGACCTTTTGGGAGAAAAATAGATGAATTAAAAAAATGCTAAGAATCACCCCTTAAAACTTGGGGTTTTGAGACCGGAAGCAACTTCTCACTACGATCAACAAATTTAAAGCTCTTTGTCAGGTAAGCTTTTAAATCATTGAATTCAAGTTGGACTGAAATTAGAGTGACAATTCAGGAAAACCCATGCAGTCTGAGCAGAGACTTAAAATTCAATAAACAATTCGGCAAGAATGGGATGCGAGTCTAGTTTCCGGCAGGAAAGTATATAAGGAAAGTACCACTGCCCTATAAATTGAAACATACTGTCCATCCGCCGCCATCGGTGTCCATGTCACAGTACACCTCGACCGGGTCCATACCGGGGGCAGATATGCTGTAAACACCGCTCTCTAAGATTCCCGACGCCATGATCTCGGCACAGTCTGCTGCTGCAGATGTAGCTGAAGGAAGTCTAGTCGACTCCAGGCCTGGATGTGCGAAAATGAGACGGCCTTGTTTTCACATCAGGACATTTTGCTTTTGGGTATTTCTCCAACTATTCAAAATGAAGGTGACTGTTGCATAATTGGCATTCCACTGAATATTTTTGCTGGGGAGGAGGCGCTCGTTTACAAATTTCGATAGAGTAGATAATCATTCAGCATAATTCAGCAAACGTACTATGTACATAGCATGATTAATTATGAAAATAATCTGTTAAGCCATTTTGGTGCAGCTTTATATTGAAACACATGTGCCTTTCTTCGCAGTGACAAAGTGTTTTGCCAAGGACGAACTGCGACCACGCAGACTGGACTCGAACCCACATTTGCCGGATTATCCACACATCTTTGAGTTCTACCCTCCACGATCCAACCTACATACTCCCCATTATTTAGTAATCTTCAGAACTTACTTGGCTTCCTGGCTTGGCGCAGTTTCATCTCGGACCTGGACAACGAGTACCGGTTTCCCTTCCAGGCCATCCACTGGATCCCTTGGTCCTGCTCCATGCCTTCGGTGGCGTCCAGCTCGTTCTTGTACCGTCCGTTCAGGTTGGCACGATGGCAGAGATCGAACCACCAGCCGCTGTACAGCCAGACCGCGCAGTTGCCGGAACCGGCCCCGTCCACGTCATGGTCCCTTGTCGTGAAGCCCTTACCATTGTGGTAGCTGAGGGAGTCACCTGCAGAGAAAATAACGACGGTCTTGTTTTTCAGTTCCGTCAAACCTTGCTCTCCCAGTTTAAGAAAAGGATAATTATTGCCAGTGTTGGTTAACCCCGACTTTTAATAATCATTTTCTTTTTTCTATGAACATTCCTACGTAGTGGCACGTTCTTTAAACTCTAACCAATAAAGGGCATCATGTGCTATTTGAAGTAGTATGTCCCAAAAAAGTGTCCGTCTGACTATTTTTGAAAAAAAAATTTAAAAAAATCGAGGTCAATTTTGAAAATTGTTGGTTGTGCAGATTTCCTAAGCCTTGGCCTCAAATTCTATGCGTTCTATTTAATTCCAGTCATGTATCATTGCACAATAATTGTAAATTGAGCATACACACAACATTTTTAACACTGTGACCAAGTTCCTTGCCTTATTCAATTTCAGTACTGTATTAAACTCCTTCATGTTGTGAAAAGGGCTGCGGTTGGGATTGGAATCATTTGCCTGGCTATCAGTCATCATGGCAAGACCTCAGTTTAATGCTCAAGGGCAAATGATTCCAATCCCAAACCACATCAGCCCCTTTTTCACAACATCCAGGATTTTACAAAGTTTACATAACACAGCACTGAAATTGACTAAGGCGTGGAACTTGGTCACAGTGTCAAAAAATGTCGTTGTGATCAATTGACAATTTTACAGTATGCGTGACTGAAATTTTAATGAAACTCATAGGGGATGAGGCTAAGGCTTACGAGTATCTGCACAACCAACAATTTTCAAAATTGACCTCATAGTTTTGTAGTTATCTTAAAAACAGTCAGACGGACACTTTTGGGACATACTGTAGTGTTAAGGCTGTACGTGAAATTTACCTTTAAAAAGTCCTACAAAGGATCAATGGGTTGAGGATTAAGGAGCAGGCACGTAGCCAGGGTTTGGTTTCCCGTTGCAAAGTAGAAGTTTCGTGCCATTTAACCTATTTTTCACCGTCCCGGTTTTATACTTTAGCTTCTATCAGCGTCACGATTTTGCTGTTAAAATGTTGCAGTCTGCCACTTTGCACCCCCGGCTAGGCCAGTGTCTGTGTAGGTTAGGGAAGGAATGGCGTATGATAAGTAAGCTCACCTGCAGTTCCTTGGTAGCTGTTCTCGGTGAATCTCAAAGTAAAGTCCTCCCCAGAGACCCGGAAACCAGAATAGGTGGCGTACTTGTAGTTGCCCTCCCAGTCCCACATGTCCAGGCGGAGATCGACTTTCCCCTCGGCCGTCAATGCTTGCAGGGCGGTGTTGCCAAGCCAGAACTCCCCGTCACTCTCGCCAAAGCCTCGGCTGTAATCCTCGAAGAGACGGTCGAAGCTCTCGGTGCCGTCTTGGCGTCTCTGGAACACCTGGGATTTGAATAAAACCCGTCGTTGAGAAAATTAATTGTGAAGTTGGAATTTTTATGAGACCGAGACGCAATTGTGTAGTTCTCATTATATTCAACTCCAGAAGACTCAACTAAAATGACGGAAATAAAGGAATTTTAATGAAAATAATGTACAGTTATCAACTAAAATTAAAATAGGAAAGGCAGTTAGTTGGTTGTTTCGTGCTTAGATTACCCTCGTGCTGAATTCACAGCTCATGGAATACGCATGTGCAAACCTGTTTTTGAAAATACGCAGCTACTTGAATTGAAACATAAGCACAAGGTTACGGTAATTGATCTCGAGGATAGATTTATATATTTATCATCCAGTTATCCTCACATCAACAATTGTAATTATCGACTCGACCGTCTGAAGTTATCAGCCATCCTTAGTTTTCTAAAAAGTTTGAGTTTTGAGCTACTTACCGTCCATCCCCCGCCATCGGTGATCATGTCGCAGTAGACTTCAATCGCCTCTGAGCCAGGAGGAGTGATGGTGTAGACTCCACTTTCGGTCGCTCCGGAATGTTGAACCTCCGAGCAGTCTGATTAAAAAAAAAACACGTCTAGTGAGCAAGCTACGGTACTCACACAAGGGAAATGTCTTTGGGTCTGAGGCAAACCGGACGGTGAAACTTCGACGTTTTGGTCAATATGCCCTAATCAAAATTCAATCTCATGTATTCACTGATAAGCCTCTCTCGCCACTGGAGTTACCTCTAAGCTTGGCAGATTCCTCCTCCTCGATACGGATGATTTGCCTCATTTTGCTGACGTGTTTCTCCACGCGCTTCAGCGCTTTCAGCTTTTCAGCTTGGGTTCCGTACTGCGAAATCTAAGCAATCAAAATGGTAAACAGTACATGTTTAACAAACAAAATTAATTACATTGTGTTAACTGCAGTGTAAGTGGCTCTTGGAAGATGGTGACAAATCTGCGAAGTAGGGATTTTAGCGAACGGTAAGCAGAGCTAGCCATAAGATTGAGCCCATTGTTTTAAGTTTTACAAGCAAACACTGTGTCAAATGCAGTTAAGATGAACTCATAAACGAAAATAACGACATATTGTTTTCAGTACCTTAATGGCACTCTCCATTGCAGCAAGTATCTCCGTTGTCAAGGCGTCGTTGTCGATGCATTGCTGAATGTCGTCATCACGCGGCACGTCGTTGTCCGTCTCAGGCTGCACGACGGTTTGTGACATGCAGGTGGCGGCCAGCGCCACGAGGCACAGGCTGAAAATGGGCAACATTTTGCACTCCTGCGCTACCTATGGGTCCTCTTCACATCATTACAATTAAGAAAAATAATAAACACACTATATTTTCGCTCACAAAATGCAAATAGTGACATCAAAGGAACACTTTCATGCAGCGACTGTAAGCTTAAAAACTTGCTGAACTAAACAAATTGTTTAACGAATTGAAAAAAAAGAAAAATGTTATCCATGGTTTGGAATTGTGACGGATTCACAGCCGAGTTTTGCTACGCAGCATAGATGGATTGCATTCAGTCGCCATCTTTGACTTTGAGGTGCATTTTGTTACATTCATGTTAATTTATTAATAAATAATGTACCAGAGGTTTACTCCATTTAATTCATTGCCTTTAAACTGACTCATCGCCTTTAGCTTTGCTATCATTATAAGGGAAATGTGGATAATGCCTATAAATCCATGGTGATCGCTGACGTGACTTGCTCAGAATAAAGGATTGGCGGTAAAAAAAAAAAAAATCAAAGAATTCTCATTTTTGACAGAAAAAAAACCCACAATTATCCGTCTAGCCGAACCGTCAAATATCAACTTTAACCAGAGAAAATGTGTAGATCCAATAACTCACTCAGCTTTCGAAGAAAAGAAAAGTAAAATTCTGCCCACCTTACCTCAGACTGTACTTCTAGATGATAGGTGATGTTTCCCAAGCCGTGGTGCTCGCCTAGCGCCTTGAAACTCCACTGAGCTGAGGCAGCTGCGCCAGCGCCACCTTTTATAAACTTTCCAGCCCTGGGCCGTACTTGGCTGTACCAGGCAAGGGAAGTCATGTACAGGATGGAAAAGGTGCAAAATAACAACGATTTATGGCTCTCCTAGGGTTAGATGAACCATGAAGTTAATTCCTTCCTCCATGGATGAACCATAGATAAACGTTCTTATTGTTACTTAGGTCACGCATCCTTGCAATTCTCGAGTCTGTTTCCGTGATTTCGCGATAAACTGTTGGGATTAAGACAAACAGCACTTCCGATGTTTATCTAGGACCCTGGTTTGCTCTGGGCTTTTCGTTTCTTTGTTGATCTAGCCTTTTTTTCTCACCATGGACCATTGTTGAGAAAAATTGGAACAAGAAAAACAAACTTAGTTTTTCACCCCAAAATTCCCCTCTAGACATCAACCAATCAAAACGCTAAGAAGTTTTTGATGACGTAAACGACTTAAATTCCGGCTCCGCCTACTAAAAAGGTGCTTGGTTCCCTGGTGCGCTGCACAACTGAACATACAACGTCCTTGCTTGATTGGCATGTATACCGAGCACCAGCGAAGAGCAAAGATGGCGGCCACCATGAACGCAGAAAGTACAAAACAGCCGGTGATAACACCCACAGAAAATCGCGATGCAATGGCTGCTGGGATGTTAGAACTATTGAAACCGGCAGTACAGGAAGTAGATGAAAGGGTGCGGCTAGTGAGGTATGAATAATACCGAAAATAGATTTGTAATCCTTCACCATTCAGTTGTTCATGTTCGTACTTTCGTAGGGTAGTTGAACATATTGAATTTTATTATTAATATTATAATTTTTAAAAAATGTGCCCAATTCTCGGACAGTTGAAATTTTGTTGCGGGGGGGGGGGGGGGAAGGCGGAGGAGAGGGGGGTCAAAGATCAATGTGAGGATTAATTGCAGAATACCCCGCCACTCGGAAATACACCCCTAAAATCACTGGCTACGAGGTTGGAATCACTGCAAAAGAAACAATCAGTCCATTGCCAGCTACGCGGATACTGAGTGGGGGTCCATTATTTGAGAACGAAGCAACACAAAATGAATGGGAGTTGCTGAAAAAAATTCTAAGTCCAAACCAACCACCCTGTTGGCGGCTACGAGTACGAGGCTACGGAGTGGGAGTCCCCTTGAATATGCTTGAGAACAAAGCAACACAAAAGAATGGGAGTTGCTGAAAATTTTTTAAGTCCAAACCAACTACCCTGTTGGCGGCTACGCGGTTACGAAGTGGGAGTGCAATGGAGCATGACGAATGCATAGTACATACAAGTAGCGCTGAGAATGTTTATTGAGGTCAATTAGCCGTGACCTCGTAGCCGGCTACAAGGTGGATAGATCGAGTGGCGGGGTATTCTGCAGTTGTGCCCAATGTGATTCTCCTTTTCATTCTTTAAGATTTAAATTTGAAGCCAAATTATCATAACTGCTATTGCTAATGTACAACAAATGAATTATTTACAAACCTTCATTCATGACTGATTTACATTACAGGCATGAATGACATTGACAGGGCTGCCTGCCAACTTATTTACTTACTTTACTTTATTCCATCTAATGGTACAATGCAAAAATATTTAAATATAATTCTTCAAAATAAATTAGGGATGTTAAAACAAATAAGATAAGAAATAATGTACTAGTAATGAGTAAGGCCAAAAAAAAATAATAAGTTGGTCTCTGGTCAGCGCGCGCGTCGATTTTAATCATACGCGTCAATATTTTTTTTCCCAAAATATTCGCCCTCTAGTGCCGCACCTCCTCAATTTATTTTACCAAAGAGCACCAAGGAATGGGAAATTGCACCAAGGCAAATGATCGAGAGCACCAAAGCAAATTATGGAGGACACCAATGTACATGAGGACACCAAAAAAGCAAAATAGTACCCCACCTTGTCTGTACAATCCAAGCTTGAAGAAAAAAAAAAGAAAAAGAAAAAAAAAAAAACCCGCGTCGCCGCGTCAATTCGCGGTAGCTCCAACAGCGCCCTCTATTGCCGCACTTCCTCAATTTATTTTACCAAAGAGCACCAAGGAATGGGAAATTGCACCAAGGCAAATGATCGAGAGCACCAAAGCAAATTATGGAGGACACCAATGTACATGAGGACACCAAAAAAGCAAAATAGTACCCCACCTTGTCTGTACAATCCAAGCTTGAAGAGAAAAAAAAAGAAAAAAAAGAAAAGAAAAAAGCCGCGTCGCCGCGTCAATTCCGGAACTTTGGTCTGACCAGAGACCGAATATTTTTTTTTTTGGCCTAATACACTATAATTACCAAGAGATGCAGGGGACTCACAAAAAACAAGCTTGTCGAGTGCGAGTCCCCTGAACAACAAAAACAATAACACAATTAACAAGATACATAATAACAACAAACATAATAATAATAAAATCGGAGTCTTATATAGCGCACGTATCTACCAAAAATCCTTTAAAATATTTTTTCTTTCAGAGAAAGTCAGCTAGATCTCAGACAGCAGATTGAAGAACTTGATGAAGGTAAGATACAAAGACAAAGACACAGATAGTAGAATGAATATCCTCCAGTCACTATAAGTGGCGAAGTATTAACCCTTGCAATGCGCACACGTTGTCCAACGCAAATTGAATAAAAGTGCTTCAAAATAGGACCAGGGAGTTTGATGATATCAAATGTATCCATAACATGGCCAATATGTTTATGCATGGAAATCTACATTCAAATAGCTTATGTATGTATTATTTCCTTTTCTTTGTATCAAGTTTTGAAGCAGCTGGGTCAGGCACGTGAACCTCCCATTGAGCTTGATCCCTACGTGAAGAAGCTGATGAACTCCAAACGCAAGATAGCCGTCATCAGCAACATCGTTCAGAATGCTCAGGTACGTATTGAAGTCAATATTGATAGCGATAACTAAAATCTGTTCACACAAGTGTGCAATTTTAAAGTTAACCTAACTACTCTCATATCAAATCAACATTTGTCATTTTAATACCTGGTGTTGTAGTGATGGGTTGGCTGATTCAGGAAGCTACTCACTGAAACATTATTACAGATTTAAAAAAATATCTTTTAAAATGGGGAAATGTAATCCTCAAAGTGAACTCTATGTACATTGTATGCATATACTCTTCAGTGCATGGCCCATTGGAAACATTACATGGTCACAATTTCATGAAGCGTGAAATACTCATAATGACTCGTGAGTTTGTTGTTGAGCAGAATTCAGCTGGGAAGTAAATAGTGAACGTGTTCTACATAACCCCTGAGGACCGACACACAAAGGGAGAAAAACCGTTTCAGTCCTTGGGCGTTGGGTCTTTTGTTGAAAACGATCCTCCATCATCAGTTATGTGCTTAGTCTATGGGAGAGTGTTATATTACAGGGACAAAGGGAAACACAAAGCATTGTCCTCGAGAGTAAAGTGAAACAGGATTGTATGAACAACCTGTGCTTAGCAAGTGTGTACGCTTACCAGCTCTGAGAAATGTTCCCAGGTTGACCTTTTATAGTTTGCAATAGGTTTGCAATCAGCTCTGATGGCTGGAGACAGCAGAAGTGGCTATGGCCAAAAAAAAAGTCTCCGGTTTCTGGTATGCGCGTGCGTCGCCGTAGCCATGCGCATCGGCAAAATGAAAAAGTTTTTTTTCAATGAAAGATGATGTCTCAAAACCGCCAAACTCACTGGTTTGACTGGAATCCTGCTGCTGCACAATTTTAACGTGTTTTTAGATGGGGTTATGATCGAGAATAAGCTTTATGTGGGCTCTCTGGTCTCCCATAATATTTGCACTAAGTTTAGTCGGGCACCATTTGCAGTCATCAGCCGACGTTTGAAGCAAAAAAAAAACAGTAAAAAAAAAAAAAGCCGCATCGCCACACCACTTTTTGGGCAAGCTCCATACCAGAAACCGGAGACTTTTTTTGTGGCCTAATAAAATGTCTAGTGCTTGGTTAAGCACTGAGTATACAGTAGAATGGCTGCTATATCGAACATCACCCATTGGCGCCCAGAGTTTATATTGCAGACTTTGGAAATCTGCTTGTTAATTAGTGAGCTGGATTGCTTATATCCCTGACAGTGCATTATGAAGCGTCTACTAATTAAGTGTTAAGCAGGGTGTTAAGTACTATAATCTGTTTTGGTTTCTTGTAAGGCAGATGTATGTGTCAGGGTGCATGTAATCCTAAATCCTAAAATGGTCTCTGCAATTTCAAGAACCACCAATATTAAGGCCTCATCACCCTCTACAACCCAGGAACCTTTTCAGTGACCACATGTAATCTCTCTGATCGTTGCAGGATCGACTTAGCAAACTTCATTTGCATATCGCCAAGACGTCGGCCAAACGGAAGTCCCTGGTTGACTTCCCCGGGGGTTCCATTCTGTGACCCTCTCTGCCCCCCTCTCACTCCACCCTTCTGTAATCCCCACCTCCATGTAGGTACAGTCATTGTGCTACTGCCCCCTGAATGCAGTCCATGTTTGTGGACCTTGTTCCCTTTTGATGGCTACTATAAGTTCAGTTAATGCTTAAACGGTTGTGTGCAGTGTGCATGGTACTGGTAGTGCAATGTGCACAGCTGTGCATGGAGTATTGTTGAGTCTGTGTGAATAGTCTTTGAGTTGTGGACTTGCAAATGAAGTTTGTATAAGTCTGTCACTGTATCTAACATGTCTAAGTTATATATACTGTGTGTAATGAGCTTGTTTGCTTGCTGTTTTAATTCACTGATTGTCTCCTTGTTTGTCACACTTTGAAATCTTGGATCATAGAATTTGGATTTTTTTTGTTGGTCTTGCTACTTGGTTCCTCATTGTTCTCCCTGCTTGAGGTTTCCTTTGCTCCCAGCCTCTCTCCCATTCCTGCTAATTTCATTGGAGGTTCTTTTTTTAATGAATGCATTACGTATCAGCAAATTGTAATTTTTGTTTAAATTGACCATTCTGTCTCAAAGCTAAACACCTGTAAGTTTGGGAAAATGCAAAAAAAAAGAAAATCACCTTTTTTTGAAAGACAGTGTCTTTCTTTACTGTGCATACATTAACTAATGGTTATCCACTGCAGTGGATACCCATTAGTGGCTTAGCCTTGATTCAAGGTGCCAATGATTGATTGTGGGTTGTGCACACACTGCTGAGCAGTGCACATCTTCCAATCCTCCCACTCAGAAAAGGTCAAAGATACTTTGAACTAAGACTACATAAATAAATGCAGCTCTGTGCTTTGCATGACGAGCGATTACACATCCTGCAACTTGGTTCATGTCTTGTAATTTCACAGTTTAACAAGTACATGTTTCACATGGGCCTATGCATTGGAGGGCAAATCAAATGCATCTTAATGCCTGCACTTTGAAAGAGGCTTAAAGTGAAGTCAAAAGGTGTTGAATTTATAACATTATATGCCAATATTCTCAAGTGCACAGTTCGCCCCAGTTTTGAGACTATTTTACCTTTAATAGCTAGTTACTCTGGTGGCATCCTGTTGCATAGGCAGACAAACATCTGTGTTGCCATTGTTTCCTGTCAGCTGTTTAAAGTCCAAAGATTTGCCACAGATAAACTAGAGTCTGTGTGCACAGTGTGTACAAAGGTGGGGCAGTCACACAAACGAATTGCAATATTCCGTCTGTCAGGCTTAAAAGGAAAAAAAAAAAAAAATGTGGATTTTTAAACACTGCAGATTTTAGGGTGTGAACTATTAATTAGTAATTTGGACCTTGTTTGGACATACAGAGAAATATTTTTACCCAAATTTACAAAATGATAGTTTGGCTTGTAGATATAAAAGTAAAGGATAACTTGAACTTGTGTTCCACATGCACATGGATGACTGATGTGAATAAAATATTTAGGCAAAAATGGTGCGAATGACATCATGCTGCTAAAACAGAATTGGCTAAACATTGAAAAAACTCCACGTAGCAAGATTGCTGAACTGCTGTCATGTGACATAAGGGACTCTTTCTCAGCTTGATTGGTTCTATTTTACTAGTTATTATCTGCTGAACAAGTGAGCTGCCCCATGAGATGCTGCAGAATGCCTCCCAACGTCTGTAACACTTAAAACATATAAAAAAAAACACTACCCATAATGGCTGACCAGATTTTCATACTTGCTATCTTGAATTGTCTGAGGTTATCAGAATTTTGTGTTGGAATTATCAGTTAGTTTATTCCACAATTATTTCCTCCAATTTCAGGAGAGGGTGCGTAAACTTCAGCAGCGCATCGGCAAGGAGTCAGGGAAGAAACTGAGCCACTTGTACCCATCCAGCACCGATGCCGTTACCCTTCCAGCTGGCATGGTTGGTGCTACGCTACCTCCCCCCGAGGTCCAACCGGCAGAGAATACTTAATCATATTGTTGATTTTAATGTTTGTTTTCTGATGCTGTATATATTATAAATAAAAAAAAATTGCCATTTCTGAAATCTTGGGTTAAGCTTCGTCTTCTTAATTGTCATCATCATCATGTCGGTTTTAAGGCCGTTGTCCAGTCTGTTCTGGGTTGGCCTGCTTTCTCCCTATGGCTCTCCTCCACTTGGCCCTGTCCGTCGCATCCCTTGCATTGACTCCAAGCAGTCGCATGTCATCTGACACGGAGCTCTGCCAAGTCTTGCGCGGTCGGCCGACGGGTGTGGGCCCACCCACAATTACGTTGGTACACCTCTTGACCCTTTCTCTCCACATGACCAAACCACCTCAGCCTGTGCCTCCTCAATACGATGCCGATCCCCTCCACTCCCACTCTCCTCCTCAGCTCCTCGCTTGTAGGTCATAATTTTAGGTCCCTGCACTGTTACAGAAACACCAGACTCTCTACATGTAGAACATGAATGTTTTTCATATTTGTAAACATTAAAGAGAACACAGTGTTTCTGGGGCCAAGGTTGAAGCCTTAGCTGAAGCTAAGGTTTTAGAAATGGCAAATAAGTCTAAACAAGTTGTGTACAAATGGAAGGTTAAATTTGGTTTGTTGTCAGTTACTTTGCAAATTGTGGGCACAGTTTATGAAGCTGCTATGTGCCCTTCTAAATTCAGGACGAGCTCTGGATACGTTGCGGGTAGAATCATTCACTTTGTTCGGAAGAAGCTCTGCATTTGTCCCGGACATGTTTCTGGAATTTTTCATCAGCGACTGCTTGACTCACCAATACTTATGTACATGTAACTTCATTGTGGGAAGATTGGGGAGTTGTTCAGAATCTTGCAACTTATACCTGATACAATGCCTGCAACTTGTCCTGAATATGAATTGAGACGAGTCCCAAGTATGGATATCCGCTTAGCACAGAAGATGACATGCTTAGCATCTTATCTTTAACTAGGTTTTACAGGCGCTTTACATTCCTCTGAATGGGCAAAAACAAATTGACTGCAATGGTACAAATGAAAACAAAAACAACACAAAAGACTCATCTGAGTTATTCAAATCAATAGCATCACATTTCTTTAATTTTTTTAGAAGTTTAAAGTAAAAAAAGGTAAATATGTTTTAAAATAAATCATCTTGGTTTCATCTCTCATTTGTTTTATAATTTATATCGTATATTTGTTTACAGAGTTCCTCTATCTGTAAAGGAAATTGTTGATTTTTTGTTTTGGTTTAAAATATGTATACTATTTTTAAAGTGCAATAACATGCTAAAATAAAATGAATGAAACTAAAACCCATCTGATTTGCATGCAATGATTTCTAAAATATATGTACGTGTATATCTATATAATATATATAAAAAGAGTAGGTCATTTCATCACCACAAAATGTTAGTCCTAAATAGAATGACCACTTGCTTCTTTAAGCACCTAGCATTTTGTAGCTAGGGCACTGCACTTTTATAAATCAAATTATTTTACCTTGGAAGTGAAAACATATCTTGTACCTTTCTTGGAAGGAAAACGGATATTTATGAATTTTTCTGAGAAACACATTTTGTGCTACTTTCTACTCTTCTTAAATGTATGAAAACTATTTGACATCCCTTTTTGGTTTATTTTATTCAAAAGTGCACTTCTATTAAACATTTAAAATTTGCTATGCTTTTTTGGACAACTGAGGGCACTGTTGCCGTGATGTCATTTCAGGGAGACACTGTTCAGTTTAAGGGTTTTGTGTACAAATGTGAACCCAAAAATCTGCTCATTGATAACATTGATGAGAAAGTTTGCTCATTGGCTTACTACCAAGTACTAACACAACAACGAATCAACGAAGAAATTTTTTTATCAAAAGCGAAATATCCAAAAGCGAAATGTCCAAACCAATTGCAACTTTTGGTGCACAAACCAATTGCAACATTGAGGTTTCTGCCTGATATGACATCACGCTTTTGCTCATGAATATGGAAATTTGCATTAGCATCAAAACCAAAAAGGCACCACAATACCCTTGAAAACGGCAAATTGAAAATAAGGTTAAATGGGACACAAAGGTGCATTTGCAAGAATTACATTAAAAAAATAAAATTTTATGGGCCCTTTCGACTGTAACATTAAGTCACAAGTTTGAAAGCACTTTTTAAAAAATTATTTTACTTTTCCCCTGAATTTTTTTTTTTTTTTCAACAAATATAAGCACTCTTGGCGAGGGTTGACACCCCAAAGCCAATGTAAAAAAAATCAGGATTTTTTGAAAGACAGTGTCTTTCTTTACTGTACATACGTGTTTGCAGTGGATACCAAAAATTCATGTCCGCTAACTAGTAAAGTTTTAAAAGGTGGGCTGAGTACTGAAAAAGAAATAATTTTTAAACTGGTAATAAAGTTTTAACTTTTATGAAGAAAATAAAAGGAAGCCACAAACAGAAACCCGTTTGTTATTATCTTTAGAATAGGCCTAGGGCTGCTTAGAGCACCTGTTTCCAGTGGACGATGTTATTATGTTGACCTCTGACCCCTCAAAGGCGAGAACTGGGAGAGCGACGGACAGCAGCACGGATGTACCCATGTGGTTCGCTAGTTGGCATCAGGATCTGAAAAAAAGATTGAACTATGAATGTGCCTTTGTCTCATTGGCTCTGTTGAAGCGATGTATTAGGGTTGGAGAAGTCATAGGGGTATCAAAGAGGAGTATAAGCGATGCATGTAGGGTCTTTGAGGAACTGAAGGCATGTCTTGGGCTGTCTAAGGGGTATTCTAAAGGTATCTTGGTTTCTGAGAGGTATTCGAGGGGTCCTGCATCTGTTGGGTGTCTTGGGGTATCCGAGGGCCATTGGGGTGTCTCAGTAGCACTCTGAAGCATGTCGGGGGCCGTCTTGGAGGTACATTTTACTTGATGGGTGTCTTAGAGATGACTTAGAGATGGGGTGTCGGGATGTCTCGGGGTTACCAGGGGTGTCCTAAGGTATCTGAGGGCTGTTGAGTGTCTGAGGATGGACTCCAAGGTGTTTGAGATGTATCCCAGATACAAGTAGTGGTAATAGTGATTGTGATTAACAATGCTACTTCAACTTTACCTCTCCACTGTTCTCCATTCCGATTTTCTTGAGGTCGGCAAAAAAGTAGTGAATGTTGGGCATCTCCAGTTCCACTTGCTCCACCTGAACAACGTACAAAATCCAAAACACATTCAAGATCTCTGCCTAGTGGTTGGAAATGCAAGTCTGTCAGTCACTCGTAAACTACTTGAAGAAAGTCTTTCGATCTTTGAAGGAATTTAGGCAAGAATCTTTTTTTTTTACCTGAGGTACTTTGGCCATCATCTGCTGTGCTGCTTGGTACAGCGTCTGCTGAACGCAGGGGGAATACACTCCAGTCTCTGGTGGCCCAGCGAAGATATCCAGAATGCAATTCTTACAAATTTCCCTGAAAACAAGAAATTGGGCAGTTGAGCTTTTGCACCAACTGAAATGTCTGGTTTGTTACTAAGAATTATTTTATATTATCAGTTTGGCATTATTTATTATATTTTACTTTAGAACAATTTCTAATTCCCGTAATTACAAAAAAGAAAGGAAGTTGGTTTGGTTTGAATTTTTAAATATTTTTGTGAGGTGATGACAGCAATTGAAATCTCCCAGCTCCAGGTTGGAATTTGTCATTATTTTCTTCTTTTAACACTTCGGCCCTCAACGCTCTGTATGTGATAAGCAGATATTTCGGGGTCAAAAGGGCACCTACTAAATTTTACACCAAGCCAAAATATCGGCTTAACCATCACAATGAAATGTTTTGATTAGTCCGTCTTTTCAAGGCCAGCTAGACTCACTAGGTTGTTATTACACAAGCATGCGGTTCTCGTCACAGGGGCTGGTGTTTGGCTATGATTTTCTGTGTCAATAGTTCAACCCCAGCTAAAGGGGAAGTCACCACGTTGTTTGGACTCGGGAACTTGTTGACTGAAAAATGTCAAAGTAATTTAAAAAATTGAACACAACAGACTTTATTTTAAAGGAGAGTACAGCCAAGAATCTTTCTCACAAAGTTTTGTTAGGCTCTCACCAAGTTTTGTCAAAGTCCATCCCGGCGACTTTAGAATACAGCCACTTGCCGGCAACAGCCGTGCAGAAGACTCGGTCTGTGGTTTCAGGCAGACTGGTGAACTTGTCTCGCACAAATCCCACAAATCCAGACTGGGTTGTCTTCAGAATCTTCATCCCGCTCAGACCTGCCCACACCTTAGGGAGTCCTGGGGAATTAGAGGTTTACATGAATGTTTTGGACAAACATATCGAAAGAGTTCAGCTTAATATTTCACTCACTCGACTAGTCCTGCTAAGAAATGCAGCAGTCAAATCACTGACCCAAGAACCTTCAAAATGTATTTTCACAGGACCAAGGAAAGAATACTGTCCTGCCACTAGTGCTATACACAGGGCTTCTTGCCATTTGGTTTCTGCACAGTGGAGGATTTTGGAGGATCCGGGAAGTTTCCGGGAAGTGCCAAGGCAGTTGGTGTTATGGAATGGTTCTGAGTGGTACAACTACTCCAGAACTGTGTTGCGCAGTCAAGTCTATCACAAATCAATCACAAGTCTGGTCACAAGTAACAGGGGATGAACAATAACAAAGGAATGTCTTTGTCACAGTTCATTTGAATAGCTTGTGAGTTGGCTTGGGACTGGAGGACTTGTGATGGACTTGTGCTGGGCTTATGATGACTTATGACGGACTTGACTATAATACCCCTATAGAGTCAACAGAACTATGATATTCCATTACTGGAAAATATCATGTTGATGAATGTACCGTGTTTCTCCTGCTGCACAGTGCAAAATCTCTTGGCTTCATGCGTCTGGATGAAAGCGTGCACGTGCTCTATGCCGGACTGGTCCATTCGTCGCCAGGGGGTTTCCTCCACGGAGATCTCAGTCCTGACAACCTGCGCGTAGCTCGTCAGGAAATGATGGCTCAGGTCTATGGCAAACTGCTCTGGGCTCGTTATCTGTTTGGGTTAATATATCAGAACTATCAATGCTAGGTTGGGTTTATAGTACTAATAGAGTCTGTTCTGAGCCAATATGGCACATCAGGCCATCATAATTACCAACATCTGTGGCATGAAACAACTAAGAATATTTTTTATACTCCTGGGTGGAGAGAGGCAAGTGGGGGTTAAGTGGCCTGCCCAAGGACACAACATTTGGCCAGCAGCAGGATTTGAACCCCTGACCTTTTGATCATGAATCATGCAGAAAACTTGTATTTGATACGTACATGTAGTGATCAACACTCAGCCAAAAATAATTCATGAAGTACATGTAATTGGCATCACAGTTACAAGGACTTATTATGCCTTTACTCAGGCCTTCATTTTTAGAAATTCGTGGAGCTCAGTTAATCGCTCTCCTGGGAAATCCGAGGAGCTCAATTTGAGCACCCAAAATTGCTCTCCTGGGAAGTCCGAGGAGCTCGATTTGTATGTTTTGTGCTCAAAGTAAAAAATGAATCCAAATCATTTCCTGAAGCCTTTCATATCATGCACACACACTTGCATCAGAATTGAGAAACAGATGCGACTGTTCACTACAAATTGAGTGCTTATTAATCCATGTCAATTTAATAGGTTTAAGTTTTACTTGTTTGTGAATCATCCTGATGTGGAAATAAAAATGAAAAACAAATTGGAGTTGACTTGTGGTTCTTTAGTGTTTTTATTTTGTTCTATTTTACTTCGTTTTTATTATACTCACTTTATTTTATTTTTATTTATTGATTTTTTTTTATCAAATAGTTTAATTGTTTTGGTTTACTAACTTTACAAAAAACCTGTTTTTGTTTAAATTTGCATATGTATCATGTGGTGTAACCGTGTTTTTGAGGGGTTCTAAATTGTATCCAAATTGATGAATAGAGCCCAGAGCACCCTCCCCCCCCCCAAAAAAAATCAATTTAATTTAAGTCCGGTCATACATCTGTCAAAGAAATACTTTTTTTTGTCATATAAATCCTCAAAATTAGTAAAATAGAAAAGGAAAATAATTATATGAATATTTGGTTTTGGGCACGAAAAATAAAAGGATCGAAAGTAAGGTCACAGAAATGTACAAGTAACGCCATTACAAAATGTCGAATGATACTACGCACAAACAATGTCACCGTGCACGGGTGGCCTGTTGACCGGCCGCGCTTGCGGGCGCATAGCCCGGTAGTCGACACACGGAAAATCGCTCTGCACTCTATCGTTGTGGGACAAATGAGCTCAACCTTTCGTAAGGTATTTCCAACTCAAACTTGTCAAAAATTAACGCTACTTTCTTGTAGATGTACCGGAGATCATTCAAAATGCCGTTCAAAAACTCTGGCTCCCTTTGGAATATCACAACTTCCAGAAAACCGCCGTAATTTCACATAGGCCTACCCGGTTGTCTGGCTGCGCAATATTAGATCGCGCACAACACAAGTACGCGTTATGCGTGTGATCGCCCCACACACGTACACCGGGCCTGCACCACACTCAACACGTGTGCTTGGGCCACGTCCATTTTATCGAAAATAGGGGTGTTGGTATTACAAAGTAGGTGGTTTTAATTGCTCAGCCCATCCATTTCATAATTGTTTTGTGTTTTCACTTCATCGGAGGTTTATTTATTTAGGTTTACATTATAAATATTTATAAACTAATTTATAAACTGATCTCAACCGAAATTATTATTTCATTTTATTCACTTAACGGCGGTGCACGTCTGAATGACGATCCTGCCATAACCTTGATCATAATGGAACGTGCTACATGTCGTTGATGAAAAGAAAATGGCTGATGTATCCATGTATTTGTTGATTTTTTTGAAACAAAATCGTTCAAACATCGGGATGACAAGTTAAGAAATCAAGTATATAACATTTGGATTGACAAGATTTTACTGTTGGCTTTTATGCAGACAAAAACTGGAGTCGACAATTAATAAGCTTACAAATTTACCCAGGAGCGCTATTATTCGCGCGCCAGAAACCGTGTTAAGGAGCGCGAAGGAGCGCGATCGCGCTCGCGCTCCTTAAAAATTAAGGCCTGCTTTACTGACTGACCACATTTCTTTTCTCAGGCTATAGTGCTGTAATCCTAAAATATTTCTTAAATGAAGGAAATAGTTCGACCTTTTTATTATTAACACTCAAATTCTATATAGTATACAACACTCTCAAAATGCTATATTTTCAAAGGCACATAATACTCGGACAGTATGATATAAGTTCTGAAATCCCTCAATTTCCCTATTGCTTCAAAAACAAATGGTTGAAATGCTTGATCTCTGGCTACTTGAGGCATTTCAGTTCTCCAAACTTCTGGAGAGTGTGGGTGATAACTTAATTAGCGATTCATTTAGGGGAAAAAGGTACACAGTGCACTACACACATTATAAAAAAAAATGGAGGCTTTGCTGTGCCCACTACGCGATTGGAGGTGGCTTTGCCGTTTGTCGCCCACTTCAAAGGCGATGCACTGTGTAACCCGCATTCAAGGAAATGCAACTTCTTCAAGTCAAAACCTTACCCCTTTGGTTTTGGCCAGAGCATAAACCGTGTTCTTCTGACTGTCTGTGGCAATGACATCCGAGTTGTCGGCATGAATGAAGTCCCTCTGCCTAGCCAAGGACAGGTGTGTGTCCACAGTCACTTCCTTGATGTCGTGCACGTTGCCGCGTCGGCGATGCTGCATGACGCGCACCTGGTGTTTGCCGTAGTAAGTCCCATCTGAGACAAAGTCCATCTTGGGGCCTGTGTTGGACATTTTTTCCCCTTGAAGTCACAGCTTCCATGCGAAAGAAACAAAAAAGTGTAATTTCAGCAATGGAGTTGTAAAAAAAAAGGCATATGGCAGGCCTGTAAATACGGCACCCACTGAAATGAACTCAGTTTAGTAAATACTATACAGATGTTTTCTATGATTGAGTTACCGGTAGACATCAGACACGTAACTTTAGTGTCTTTTCAGTTTAAATTACAATAATTACAATGTATCAGTAGTAGATATGGGGAGGCATCAAACCCCCTCCCCCCCTCCGCACCCAAAAATAGGAAAGACATGCAGAAAAAAATATTGCAAATGCCCCCCCCCCCCCCCCCCCCCAGGCAAAGTTGGATCTGACCCAGACTGGGACCTAGCCCTGAATAAACGACATTTTCTCCCCAATCTCAATTTTGTTAAATATTTTAATGATGTGCAAGGTGTACAAATACTGCATAATTCATTGATGCTCACAGCTTAATTTTTACCTAAATGACCTTTAAATGGGCTTCCACATGAATAAATGATTAAATTTCATGCTTGGTTTTGTAATGAACATGAATAATAGTAACAATTGGATGTGTTAGACATCTCAAAAAGGCAGCACTTTCTGATTAGCCTAGTAATAAAAGAATACAGGTCAACTCGTACGCGAACCAACTCGTACGCGACCAACTCGTACGCGGGACAATTCGTACGCGGACCAACTCGTACGCGGACCAACTCGTACGCGGACCGACTCGTACGCGGACCAACTCGTACGCGAACCAACTCGTACGCGAACCAACTCGTACGCGATTGGTTTAGCTCACATGGACAGATGAAATTAGGTTCGGTACGGTAGGTCGGCATAATTTTACCTTTTCTGAAAGGTTGAGATTTTCAAATTAAATGTAGTTGATTTTTGAATCCGCCAGTGCTACTTACATTCGCGATTTTTTAGAGAAGAATTCTGCGGTTTTTTTTTTTTTACAAGTTCGCTTGATTGATTGGGAAGTTGTCTTCGCGATTACCAGTATGATTGGTTCCCGCCGCACCCCGCACTGTACAATGTATAAAGAATGCATGATTGAATCGCTGTAACCTGTGTATGCCGCGGTACAATTGCTGGTTGGTTAGACAAGTAAAATGACAAGAAAACACCGATATTTGCGAGGTCTATTGTATAAAAAGGAGCTACTATAAAAAATGGAATATAGCATCACGCATGCTTATACAGTTGTACGGACAGTGTCCGCCAGTTTTTATTATATATCCAAATAATATTTTGTAAAAAAAGAAAAAATGGGGAGTTGATTTTTATTTTTTGTTAAAATCAGAATTTTATATAATTTCACCGGAAATGCGAGGTTTCTTGGGTCAAATGCGATTTTCTTGGGTCAGAAAATTAATTTTTTGCTTGGGTCTGATAATTTTTTAGTCCTAATTATTATGTATCCAAATTATATTTTGTAAAATAAAACAATGGGGAGGTGAATTTCATTGATTTTTAAAAATTAGAATTTTATTTAATTTCACCGGAAATGCGAGGTTGCCCTGAAAATAATTTTTTTCTTGGGTCCGAAAATTAATTTTTAGCTTTGGTCCGATAATTTTTAGTCCTAATTATTATGTCTCCAAATTATATTTTGTAAAATAAAACAATGGGGAGGTGAATTTTATTTATTTTTAAAAATTTGAATTTTATTTAATATCACTGCAAATGCGTGGTGGCCCTGAAAAGGACCGATTGGGTTTTCAGTTAGACAGTGCAATTGTCTATTCTCTTTTGTGAAATTGTGTGGCCCTGAAAAGGGCCGTTTGGTTTTCTTTTGTGTGGCCCTGAAAAGGGCCGTTTGGGGTTTTTTTTGGCCCTGAAAAGGGCCGGTTTTTTTTTTTGCTGGTGTTGGTTGTGCTTTCCTCGTTTACAGGGCTGGTCCATGCAGATGGCTGCATGCTGCTAGGAGAGCCGACGTCTTGATTGTCCCTTGCGCGTAGTCGCCCCACAGCTTGAAGATGCTTGAAGATTTCTTATCTCAGATACAAAATGGCGTATTTTCAAGCGCAATTCTGAGGGAATTTTGTTGGTGTTTTTGATTAACAGATCAGATAATTTAATCCTTTAAAACAGTTGATAATTAGACACAAATTAAAGGGGTTTCCTTTTTGAATTTTATGATTTTTTTTTCTTTCTGTTCGTTGATCTTTGCCGTATCCCAATAATTTTTCACTCGCACGCCGGCCTGGTAAAGGAATAGTTTGTCTAGCCCCGGCCGCCGCTGTTTTGACAAGCATTTGGTTAGCGGGCTATACCGCTAATTTCGAACCCTGATGTGTTATGTGTTATACCTCCATGGTTATACCAAGCATTTCAGTTGTAAATAGAAATTGCTAGGCCTACGGATGTCCCCGCGTGTCTGCTTTTTAATTGATCAATGGTTGTGAACCACAATGAAAGTTGAGTGACAGGCAGTTGACAAGTCTGATCGATCTCTTTTGATCTTCTAAACCCGCCGGTTCTTTTAGGACACCGAACCGCGAGAACAGATCCATGGTAGTCCAGAGCGTTGCAATTGGGTCAGTTTGACAATGGTGACAATTAATTGACTGACAGGTACATTGATTAAAAAAACACGAAAAATGCAACTGGTACATCGTTGCATTAATATATGGAATTAAATTTGACGTGACAAGGCTACAGGTATGCACAAAACGATACAACACTCGTCTAACTACAAAAATCAGTTACTTTATTATCATCATTCACGGGTTCACTCCCAATCACACACAACGGTCACACATTGAACTACGGACTACCCGTCACACTATTCCCAAATTCTTCCCAACAATGCCAACCCAATCCTCGAAACCACTCCTAAAACGGCCCGCGTACGAGTTGGTTCGCGTACGAGTTGGCTTGCGTACGAGTTGGCTCGCGTACGAGTTGGCACGCGTACGAGTTGGTTCGCATACGAGTTGTCTCGCGTACGAGTTGACCAATCCGCGTACGAGTTGACTCGCGTACGAGTTGGTTCGCGTACGAGTTGACCTGTTTCCTAATAAAAGAGGTTGACTATGCTATGCTTCTAAACTAAAGCAAAAATAAACTAAAAACTAAGCCTAATTGTGAACATAAAAATTTGACAAAGTTTGACATGTTTTTGTACATGGTGGAAGTTACTCCTAGAACTATGAGGCTCCGCGTGAGCGGAGCCTCATAGATCAAGAAGCCCGCAAAATTGCCTGCAGCACAAAACACTAATAAAGTACAAAAACGTCCATCAAAATGCAGCCATTTCACACAGAACCGCTGCACAGTTTGCCCCTATACTCCGTACTTTATCTCTTGACATACTCACGTATCATGTGCGGAACTAACATGGGTGGATTCTGTCGGTTTTTAGGCCAAAATGATGAAAAATATGCCCTTTCCGCACTGAGCCAACCTGACACTTGAAACGTGCACGCATATGATCGAGCGCTGATTTTCGGTTCGCTCGGAGCGCGCCGCGGGGGGTACGGTACATGCACTTGTACGCATGCACATACTATCATTTCGCTTGTACCGTACCCCCCGCGGCGCGCTCCGAGCGAACCGAAAATCATCGCTCGATCATATGCGTGCACGTTTCAAGTGTCAGGTTGGCTCAGTGCGGAAAGGGCATATTTTCATCATTTTGGCCTAAAAACCGACAGAATCCACCCATGTTAGTTCCGCACAAGATACGTGAGTATGTCAAGAGATAAAGTACGGAGTATAGGGGTAAACTGTGCAGCGGTTCTGTGTGAAATGGCTGCATTTTGATGGACGTTTTTGTACTTTATTAGTGTTTTGTGCTGCAGGCAATTTTGCGGGCTTCTTGATCTATGAGGCTCCGCTCACGCGGAGCCTCATAGTTCTAGGAGTAGGTGGAAGTTACTCCTAGAACTATGAGGCTCCACGTAGTGGAGCCTCATAGGTTCAGAAGCCCGCAAAATTGTTGTCAGCACAAAACACTAATTAAGTACAAAAACGTCCATCCCAAGCAGGCCGTTTTCCACAGAACCGCTGCACAGTTTGCCCCTAAACTCCATACAATACCTCATGACATACTCACGTTATGTGCACCCAACAAACATCGGTGGATTCTGTCTGTTTTTCGGCAAAAATGATGAAAAATATGCCCTTTCCGCACTGAGCCAACCTAACACTTGAAACGAGCACGCGTGCAGAATGATCGCAGTTATTTTCGGTTCGATCGCTCGGAGCGCGCCGCGGGGGGTACGTACTTGCACTTGTACGCATGTGCATACTATCGTTCCGCTCCTACACCATACCCCCCGCGGCGCGCTCCGAGCGATCGAACCGAAAATAACTGCGATCATTCTGCACGCGTGCTCGTTTCAAGTGTTAGGTTGGCTCAGCGCGGAAAGGGCATATTTTTCATCATTTTTGCCGAAAAACAGACAGAATCCACCGATGTTTGTTGGGTGCACATAACGTGAGTATGTCATGAGGTATTGTATGGAGTTTAGGGGCAAACTGTGCAGCGGTTCTGTGGAAAACGGCCTGCTTGGGATGGACGTTTTTGTACTTAATTAGTGTTTTGTGCTGACAACAATTTTGCGGGCTTCTGAACCTATGAGGCTCCACTACGTGGAGCCTCATAGTTCTAGGAGTAGGTGGAAGTGTGGCCTTTATTTACGGAGGTAGGGGGCCTAGTCCAGTAAATTGGTCACATTTATGGGGCTACAACCAGTGCCAGCTGACACGTACAAGCTCATCAATCATGCTCATCAGGAATTCAGATGAAGGAAAAAATTGGCGTCAGGCATGTCAGGCTAGTCCGAGTAACTTGGACCCAACTTATCGCCTTTTTTAACATTTGGACATGGTCTGGCGACTATCGCCAGACCATGTCCAAATGTTAAAAAAGGCGATAAGTTGGGTCCAAGTTACTCGGACTAGCGTCAGGCAGGTGTCAGGTTGCAACATTCTTTCCCGTTATTTCCTGATCACATCAAAATGTTATTTACAAGACTATTTGTAACGACCAGGATGCCTACATACAAAGTTTATACTCTAAGTTCAGTTAGAATTTACCTTTTCCGATCCTGGTAAGAGAGGCCTCCTCGATTCCAACTGATCACGTCGCGTAGCACACGTATCACGTATTGACCTCACCTAGTGGGCATTTGGGGCAACATATGGGACCCAAAAAATTGGACTGGTATGTGTGTAGCTACATACTACGGAAGCTTGAATTGCCTTCCGCGATACCGCGTTACCGCGATAATTTATCACAGAAATCCAGAAATCAGAGATACGTATTCCTCGATACCGCGTTACCGTGATAATTTATCACAGAAATCCAGAAATCAGAGATAATTCCTTCCGCGATACCGCGTTACTGTGATAATTTATCACAGAAATCCAGAAATCAAAGATAAATCATTCAACGATACCGCGTTACTGCGATAATTTATCACAGAAATCCAGAAATCAGAGATACGTATTCCTCGATACCGCGTTACCGTGATAATTTATCACAGAAATCCAGAAATCAGAGATAATTCCTTCCGCGATACCGCGTTACTGTGATAATTTATCACAGAAATCCAGAAATCAGAGATACGTATTCCTCGATACCGCGTTACCGTGATAATTTATCACAGAAATCCAGAAATCAGAGATAATTCCTTCCGCGATACCGCGTTACTGTGATAATTTATCACAGAAATCCAGAAATCAGAGATAATTCCTTCCGCGATACCGCGTTACTGTGATAATTTATCACAGAAATCCAGAAATCAAAGATACCTATTCCGCGATACCGCGTTACCATGATAATTTATCACAGAAATCCTGAATTCAGAGATAATTCCTTCCGCGATACCGCGTTACTGCGATAAATTATCGCATTTCTGGATTTCTGTGATAAATTATCACAGTAACGCGGTATCGCGGAAGGAATTATCTCTGATTTCTGGATTTCTGTGATAAATTATCACAGTAACGCGGTATCGCGGAAGGAATTATCTCTGATTTCTGGATTTCTGTGATAAATTATCGCAGTAACGCGGTATCGTTGAATTATTTATCTTTGATTTCTGGATTTCTGTGATAAATTATCACAGTAACGCGGTATCGCGGAAGAAATTATCTCTGATTTCTGGATTTCTGTGATAAATTATCACAGTAACGCGGTATCGTTGAATGATTTATCTTTGATTTCACGATTTCTGTGATAAATTATCGCAGTAACGCCGTATCGTGGAAGGAATTATCTCTGATTTCCTGATTTCTGCGATAAATTATCGCGGTAACGCGGTATCTCGGAAGGCAATTCAAGCTTCCGTAACATACACTCTACACAAAAAAACTTGAATAAAGCGCCCTCATCGGACAAAAAATACAAAAAATGCTGCACAAAATTCCCATGTATACGTAGTACCCTTTGCATAGGGTGGTGATAGCCTTTAATTACAGAAAAAAGACTTTCTACAGATTTATGTCGTGCGCTAAACAGTTAAAAAAGTCTACAGGCATCTACCCTGTACAGGAAAAGTCTACACGCATCTACTCTGTACAAAAAGGGTCTACATGCATCTACCCTGCACCAAAAAAGTCTACACGCATCTACCATGCACCAAAAAGTCTACACGCATCTACCCTGCACAAAAAAGATTACACGCATCTACACTGTACAAAAAAGGGTCTACACGCATCTACACTGTACAAAAAAAGTCTACACGCATCTACCCTGCACAAAAAAAGTCTACGCACATCTACCCTGCACCAAAAAAGTCTACACGCATCTACACTGCAGAAAAAAAAGTCTACACGCATCTACACTGCAGAAAAAAAGTCTACGCACATCTACCCTGCACAAAAAAGGTCTACACGCATCTACCCTGCTCAAAAATAGTACCCATGCGTGTTGTTTCTACAGGGTATGTAGACCTTTATTGTACAGGGTCAATGCGTGTAGACTTTTTTGGTGCGCAGTTCGGATGCAACTAGATTTTGTTTCTACAGGGTAGATATGTGTAGACCTTTTTTGATCAGTGTAGATTAATGATGTGCAAACTCGACCCGAAATCGACCTCAGGGCAGTTTAGTCATCTTTTGAAAAAAAACAAAAAACGAAATAAACCGAAACAGTTGAGAAATTTAGGTGATGCAATATTATTGACAGTCACTGTGACCGCAGCCCTAGTGTGGTGTGGCCACCGAGCGCACTATCAAGTTCCCGTGGTATTAATTTCTCCAGTCGGATGGGACTGACAGTGAAATAGATACATTGTAACAGTTTTCATGATACCGCGTGATGATACCATGCGTTTGTTCAATAAGCGGAGTTACTCTCGATTAACCAGCTGAGTATGACAGAGAGAGACAATGGTTTTGCAAAAGAATTCATGCAACGTGGGTAAGGGCAGGCACAAAAAAGTGATCACTTTGTCCAAGCAAGGTATTCGGGGTTTTTTTGGGGTTTTTCGGGTCGAGTCGGTTCGGGTCTATTTTACCTTCCTTTTTGTCGGGTCGGGTCAGGTCGGTTTGATGGAGTTAAGATCAGTTTTGGTTCAGATTCGGTTTATATCTCTAATGTTTCGGGTCGGTTTGGCCTGGTCAACCCGACCCGATGCACATCATTAGTGTAGATGCGTGTAGACTTTTTTTGTACAGTGTAGATGTGTGTAGACTTTTTCTGTACAGTGTAGATGTGTGTAGACTTTTTTTGTACAGTGTAGATGTGTGTAGACTTTTTTTGTACAGTGTAGATGCATGTAGACTTTTCTGTACAGTGTAGATGTCTGTAGACTTTTTTGTACAGTGTAGATGTGTGTAGACTTTTTCTGTACAGTGTAGATGCGTGTAGACTTTTTCTGTACAGTGTAGATGCGTGTAGACCTTTTCTGTACAGTGTAGATGTCTGTAGACTTTTTCTTTACAGTGTAGATGCGTGTAGACTTTTTCTGTACAGTGTAGATGCGTGTAGACTTTTTCTGTACAGGGTAGATGCGTGTAGACTATTTCTGTACAGTGTAGAGCGTGTAGACTTTTTCTGTACAGTGTAGATGCGTGGAGACTTTTTATGTACAGTGTAGATGTGTGTAGACTTTTTCTGTACAGTGTAGATGCGTGTAGACCTTTTCTGTACAGTGTAGATGCGTGTAGACTTTTTCTGTACAGTGTAGATGTGTGGAGACTTTTTATGTACAGTGTAGATGCGTGTAGACTTTTTCTGTACAGTGTAGATGCGTGTAGACCTTTTCTGTACAGTGTAGATGCGTGTAGACTTTTTCTGTACAGTGTAGATGTGTGTAGACTTTTTCTGTACAGTGTCTGTAGACTTTTTCTGTACAGTGTAGATGCATATAGACTTTTTCAGTACAGTGTAGTTATGCGTGTAGACTTTTTCTGTACAGTGTAGATGTGTGTAGACTTTTTCTGTACAGTGTAGATGTGTGTAGACTTTTTATGTACAGTGTAGATGCGTGTAGACTTTTCTGTACAGTGTAGATGTGTGTAGACTTTTTCAGTACAGTGTAGAGCGTGTAGACTTTTTCTGTACAGTGTAGATGCGTGTAGACTTTTTTGTACAGTGTAGACTTTTTCTGTACAGTGTAGATACGTGTAGACTTTTTCTGTACAGTGTAGATGCGTGTAGACTTTTTCTGTACAGTGTAGATTTTTTCTGTACAGTGTAGATGCGTGTAGACTTTTTCTGTACAGTGTAGATTTGTGTAGATTTTTTTCTGTACAGTGTAGATGCGTGTAGACTTTCTCTGTACAGTGTAGATGCGTGTAGACTTTTTCTGTACAGTGTAGATGCGTGTAGACCTTTTCTGTACAGTGTAGATGTCTGTAGACTTTTTCTTTACAGTGTAGATGCGTGTAGACTTTTTCTGTACAGTGTAGATGCGTGTAGACTTTTTCTGTACAGGGTAGATGTGTGTAGACTTTTTCTGTACAGTGTAGATGTGTGTAGACTTTTTCAGTACAGTGTAGAGCGTGTAGACTTTTTCTGTACAGTGTAGATGCGTGTAGACTTTTTTGTACAGTGTAGACTTTTTCTGTACAGTGTAGATACGTGTAGACTTTTTCTGTACAGTGTAGATGCGTGTAGACTTTTTCTGTACAGTGTAGATTTTTTCTGTACAGTGTAGATGCGTGTAGACTTTTTCTGTACAGTGTAGATTTGTGTAGATTTTTTCTGTACAGTGTAGATGCGTGTAGACTTTCTCTGTACAGTGTAGATGCGTGTAGACTTTTTCTGTACAGTGTAGATGCGTGTAGACCTTTTCTGTACAGTGTAGATGTCTGTAGACTTTTTCTTTACAGTGTAGATGCGTGTAGACTTTTTCTGTACAGTGTAGATGCGTGTAGACTTTTTCTGTACAGGGTAGATGTGTGTAGACTTTTTCTGTACAGTGTAGATGTGTGTAGACTTTTTATGTACAGTGTAGATGCGTGTAGACTTTTCTGTACAGTGTAGATGCCTGTAGACTTTTTCTGTACAGGGTAGATGCCTGTAGATTTTTTCTGTACAGTGTAGATGCGTGTAGACTTTTTCTGTACAGTGTAGATGCGTGTAGACTTTTTCTGTACAGTGTAGATGCGTGTAGACTTTTTCTGTACAGTGTAGATGCGTGTAGACTTTTTCTGTACAGGGTAGATGCGTGTAGACTATTTCTGTACAGTGTAGATGCCTGTAGACTTTTTCTGTACAGGGTAGATGCCTGTAGACTTTTTGAATGGCGCACGACATAAATATGTAGATGTACCGGTACATGTAAAAAAATATTCTGGAATTATAGGCAATGGGTACTATGTAGACATGGGTATTTTGTGCAGCATAGTTTGTTTTTGTCTGATGAGAGCGCTTTATTCTAGTTTTTATGTAGAGTGTATGTTGCTACACACGTACCTGTCCAATTTTTTTGGTCCCATATGTTGCATGGTATACTAGTGGGTCCTACTAAAGCGCGTCAACAAGCGTCAACAAGCGTCAACAAGCGTCAACAAGCGTCAACAAGCGTCAACAAGCGTCAACAAGACTCAACGGTCGTCAACGAGCATCAACAAATTTTGTACATGCTTTTGAACATCAAAACGACAAAAGTAGCTTTATATGGTAGAAAAAGCGACAAAGAACATTTTCTGCATATCAATTAAAGTTAAACTGATTTCAAAACTTGGTTTTTTTAACGCGAAATGCACGACGAATTTGTCGAGTAAAGTTGGCCGCCATCTTGTTTACGTGAAGCTTAGCCCTACTACGCATGCGTGAAGTGTACAGAGCCATACTACGCATGCGCGAAGTGTACAGCGCCATCCAAACAAGATGGCGGCCAACACTAATCGACAAATTCGTCGTACATTTCGCGTTAAAAAAACCAAGTTTTTGAATAATTTGAACTTTAATTGATATGCATAAGATGTTCTTTATTGCCTTTTCTACCATATAAAGCTACTTTTAATGTTCAAAAGCATGTACAAAATGTGTTGATGCTCGTTTACGACCGTTGAGGCTTGTTGACGCTTGTTGACGCTTGTTGACGCTTGTTGACGCTTGTTGACGCTTGTTGACGCTTGTTGACGCGCTTTAGTAGGACCGCACCTAGTACCTGCATCATACAAGGCCAAGTTCGGGCAAGGACCATTAGTCGACTAGTGGTTGATTTGTGACGTACCTTACGCCTGCGCACTGATAGCAATGTACGAACGTCTCGGTAGCATAAAATGGTACGACAGTAGAGCGCGTAATGAATATGCATGACTATGACGTCACTAGAAGCTCATTAGTAATATATCACGCACGGTACTGATAGATATACTGTACATGTAGATGCACACTGTATGTGCTGCATCCCACTTACCCGATGATGATGTCACGCCCCAACTATCGCATCGGTCCCAACTATAGTTGGGACTGTCCCAACTATAGTGCGGCAGTTGGGTCGGCCCAACTATAGTTAGGACTGGAGTTGCGCCGGATGCTTCATGCTTGATAGATCTTGTTGGATTAAAATGTTCCGCGGCGCTGGCACCGTGTATTCGTCGTGCATGCATGCCGCAAGGCTGGCCGGTCACGTGGTACTGCCTAGTTGGATGAGTTGTCCAGCTGCTTGGTTTTATTATCCAGCAACATTTTGCAAAATTCAAAGATTGCCATGGCCGGCCAACTATAGATGGGCCCCACCCATAGCTAATGTCAAAGGTCCCAAGTCGGACATGTAAGCAGAGCTGTAGAGAATGTTTTATAGTCGTACAACTATAGTTGGGACTGCCAAATAAAAATATTGCGGTGGCGCGGCCCAACTACAGATGGTCCACACCTATATATCATTTCATTGGTCCCAAGTAAAGTCAGATGTGTATTAGAGTTGTAGGGAATGTTTTATAATCGTACAACATAACAATGTACACTATAGTTGGGACCGCAAAATAAAAAGATTGGGGTGGCCCAACTATAGATTGACCCCATCAATAGCTAATTTCAGTGGTCCCGATCCCCAGTAAAGTCAGACGTGTATCAGAGCTGTAGGGAACGTTTTATGGTTGTACATCAATGTAAACTATAGTTGGGACACCGCAAAATAAAAAGATCGGAGTGGCCCAACTATACTATAGATGGGCCAGCCCAACAATGGAACTTACAGTTGGGACCGTCCCAACTATAGTTGGGACAGGCCCAACTATAGTTGGGACCGATGCGATAGTTGGGGCGTGACAATGATATCACATTTAACAAGTCCTCTTTCTACTGTCGCGCCGCCACCCTCTAGCGTCGTCCCACTTACCGATGATATCACATTTAACAAGTCCTCTTTCTACTGTCGCGCCGCCACGCTCTAGTGTCGTCCCACTTACCGATAATATCACATTTAACAAGTCCTCTTTGTGCTGTCGCGCCGCCATCCTCTAGTGTCGTCCCACTTACCGATGATATCACATTTAAGAAGTCCTCTTTCTACTGTCGCGCCGCCACCCTCTAGTGTCGTCCCACTTACCGATGATATCACATTTAAGAAGTCCTCTTTCTACTGTCGCGCCGCCACGCTCTAGTGTCGTCCCACTTACCGATGATATCACATTTAAGAAGTCCTCTTTCTACTGTCGCGCCGCCACCCTCTAGTGTCGTCCCACTTACCGATGATATCACATTTAACAAGTCCTCTTTCTACTGTCGCGCCGCCACCCTCTAGTGTCGTCCCACTTACCGATGATATCACATTTAACAAGTCCTCTTTCTACTGTCGCGCCGCCACCCTCTACTGATGCCCCACTTACCGATGATATCACATTCTACAAGTCCTCTTTCTACTGTCGCGCCACCACCCTCTCGTGTCGCCCCACTTGATGATCATCGGTAAGTGGGGCAACAGTAGAGGGGCCCGGGGACTGGATGTTATAGTAGGGGCCCCCAATTTTGGGAGTATCAGGGGCGGACCTACATCCGGAAACGGGGTGCCGATATAAGGGGGAGGGAGGGGCCGCGGGCGGGGGGAGTCTAACTTGTGTCTGTTAAGCAGATTTCTGCGGCATTCTAAGGCAATTCAAGAATGATTTAGGTCTTTTATCATTCCGTCTATCATTATTTGGCCCATTTTGTGTGTGGGTGAGTATGTAAACACCTGCAATTGCTAGGGTCAAAAGGTTTAGGACAGACAAAAAGGGTCCACGATCGCCCATAACAGTCCATCGGATTGAAATTCGTGTACAAAACCTAAAACAGCTGCTGCTAAAAAGTTATTTAGAGTACAAACAAAGGAATGAGGATGAGGGACAATAGGGGTCCACGATTGCTGGTGTTTACAAAGAGCAAGTTCGGGCAAGGGCCATTAGTCGACTAGTCGGTGGTTGATTTGTGAAGTAACTTACGCCTGCGCACTAATAGCAACGTGCGAGCTTGTCCAAGGGCGGATCGGGGGGGGGGGGGGGAGGGGGAAGCAACGGGGGCCATGCCCCCCCCCCCCAAAAAAAAAACACCCCCAATTTTTTGTTTAAAGTGACGTCGCAATAAAGGCAGGCACTGCGTACACCACTATCTTTTCCTTTAAAAAAGAAGGTCAAAGTGGTCAGAAATTGCCTCAGATCGCACCACGTAGCATTTTTCCGGACACTAAAGCGGACCCCGAACCCCACGCCGTAATTTTTTGGACCCACTTTTTGGGGACCAACATGTTTGTGCCCCCCCTCCCCCCCCCCCCCCCCCCCCCAAAAAAAATTGTGTTCTGGATCCGCCCTTGCTCTTGTCAAACGCTGGTCAATGTCATCGCAAAACTTCTGGGTCCTGGCTCCCTGCTGTACGTTATGAATGCGCGCGGCTATTGGTAACCAGCGAGGTACATTAGGCCGGTTCCAAAATAGTCGACTAGCGTAGTCAACCGTCGATCGTCGACTAGACAGAGTTCGGGCTACTATGGTTAACCACTGGTCAACAATAGTTCTTGCGCAAACTTGCCCAAATATGTGTGTGGTGAAGGGTTCAAGTCAACCTCGTCCCCAGTGCTTACTTTATTTTCAACCTCGTTTCCAATAGTAAGCCCTGGATAGGAAACGTTCTACATGTATGCCTGATTCGATACCGCAATTAGTTAGTAATGGATTTATATCGTGTACTTGGTGGTGCTTTTTTAATGTGCATATTACGTGTTTTCACGTTCATTGTAATAATTCCATCCACACCTTATATTCCTTTAGTTTCAATTTGCTTGTATTAATATGAACTGTAGCCTACACTGCATTGGCTGGATATAAGATTGTAACATTTTAACTTCCAAAACAATCGTGTTTTCGTTACTCACGGCGTGACGAATTAAGTCTGGTTTTTTTTTTTACCCTAGACCCAACATAAGAAAACAAACGCTAACTTAACGCACAGTCAGGCACCAGATTATTCCTCATTTGCATGCGTGTTCAAAGATTTTGCGCATGCAAAATGTGAGAGAGCAAATAGTGGTGGGTGCGTACTGCTCAACTCCCTGGGGACGTGGTTGGGTTCAAGTTGAATCGCGCAAACATTTACTGGCGCCGCCATGAAGAGCGCCACCTATTGTCCGCTTTGAAGGGCGCCCCATCAAAATATGACGTCCAACCCCACCCCATCTCCCCCCCCCCCCCTCTAGACTGTTTCCTGCCCCTCCCCCTCAAAATAGGCCAGAGATACTTTCAAATTCAGCAAAGACCGAATGCTCATTACCTTAAAAATTCCAAATTAGTGGCCAGGCTATTGCCATTTTCCAATAGGCTGGATGCGGGCAAACATTACCGTTGTGATTTTACATTAAAGAGGCGGGATTCAGACCTATTGACATCATGCATGTAATTAGCAACATTACACGGATTTCCGCTAGTTACCGGCCCTCATTTTTGAACTCAAAAGGACAATGGGGTCATGAAACCAGACTCCACCCCCCCCCCCCAAAAAAAAAAAATCTGGGTTTTTTTTTTAGAATGGCAGAAAATTATTAAAATTGAACGCCCCCATTTTCAAGCTCTCTTCATTTTGTGTCTGTTAATGTTTATTCTTTTGCCAGAAGTACTTCAATCTTTTCTGCTACCTAAACAGCAGATTTTGCTTATAAGTCCCTCGGCAGGTGGACGAAACTGCGGCGAGGTATTAGAATGCCTCCAGGTTCACGGCGCTTTGACTAACCGCGGCGATTTCGCTATTTGTGTTTCATTTCTCGTGTCCCTCAGAATGGTACCGTAAATTCCGGGACATCCGATGGAAAAAAACCAAGAAATGAACCATTTTCATTATTTTCTCTCAATGTTGTTCCTCTTGATTCTTGAGTTTAAGCAGCTTTCAAACGGCGGATAGGGCCTACACCAACAGAATTTGAGAAAACCGACCAATACTTCCCGTGCCTTAAAAAAAGAGGGGGAGGGGGAGTTCATGATGCAAACAAATTTAAGCATTTGGTTTTTACTTAATGTGTTTGGTCTTTACTTCAAGTGTATTTAACAACATGCTCCTTTCACCCGTTATATAAAACAAGACAGTGTAAAATTATTGTTAAAGAAACGATGCATAATTATTTATTATAGAGTACGTACAGTTGATGTTGAGGGATTTTTTTCCGCAAATGAAATGCGGTGGCTCTTTCATAATATTTAATTCATAATATTTCGCCGACCACATCCCATCTTCGAAGTACTCAACTCATCATTTCCATTAAGAATACTGTATATCATTTTATTAAAGTAACTGACATGTTAACTTAGATAAATGAATAATTTACCTGCAGCAAACTACGATTCGCTACGACTATGACCTACGGGATTCGAACCCGCGGCACAACCAAACAAGCGGCAATTGGTGAATAGTGACACTATAACGAATAATTACACAGATATCATTTGGACAGTAACTGTTGTTGCTTAAATAATACCAAGCATATGCTCAACATGATCAGGTTTCTGAACCAAAGCAAGAAAAGTATCGATTTTCCGATATATGTATCAGAGTAATCTCTCGGATAAAAATTCATTATAATTAAAAAAAAAATACTGTACCACAAGTAAAAACCTAATGCTCCTAACCAAATGATGGCTCTTCGTATTACTTGACTGTATTGAAATCACCGAATTATTAATAGTCCCAATGGTAATCGATGGTCTCTGTTAACGTTCAACAAGATGACATAATTGACCAGTCATGTTTGATTGAATAACATTATCGCACGATTTGTATATTTTCACAAACTTAATAGGCTACTATACTTTGGTGGACGTTTTCAGTGCAAGAGAAAAATAATATGTAATCAAAACATGTTCAAGGTATTTCTCAATTTTTTTCTCGTATTATTTTAAACTGTTATATCCATCTTTAATAATATTGAGAATACATGTCGCATGCACTTTTTCCTAAAATCCTGCACCTTATATCCATCATGAGCATTGTACCCGCTCGATCGATCAATCTCACAGCGAGTTGGGAGTACTGTGTGTACGACTTACAGCCACACGTATAATGCCATACGGATCAGATGTGGGCATTATGATCTGGAAAAAGAAAGAAAGCAAAAATCAAATCATATTGAGAAATGTAAACATTTGAAAGACGATAGGTACTTTTCATTCTTGATATTTCTAACGAGACAGGACCAAAACATGGGGATGAATCGATGGATATTACCTCTCCCGTGTTTTCCATTCCGATTTTCTTCAGGTCTGCAAATACATAATGAATGTTCGGCATATCCAATTCCACCTGGTCAACCTACAAACAAAAATGTAATCAATCAATTACGGTACTCCAAGACATTTCTCAACTGGTCTGCAGCGGTGAAACGTTTCTAAAAGGGGGAAAAGATATTCTCCCATGCCCAAACTTTAATTAGGTCAAAGCAGACCATATTTTAGCAATGACTTCAAGGCAGTGGCGCACCCAGGATTTGGGGGGTTTTTTTGGGGGGGGGGTTCAAATTTTTTATATTTTTTTTACAAATTTGATAAAAGTTGAATATTTTTCAAAACAATGTTGCCCAAAATGTTTGGCCGCAGAAAACAACTGGTTTTTTTTTAGGGGCGGCCTATTTTGACGTTGGTGGCGCCACCTACACCCCTATTATACTACTCGAAAACAGGCCACATTCATATCACCAAGGCCAAATCATGGTACTAAAAAAAATTCCAAAAAAAACAAATAACAACAACAAATTGACAACCTCTTGGGAGAAGGGGGCTCAAGCCCCCCGAGGCGCCCCCCCCCCCCCCCCCCCCCACTGGGTGCGCCACTGCTTCCAGGTAAGTATTACAAGTCACAATCATTAACAAACTAGTGATCAGTCTAACGGTCACGTGACTGGTCATGTGACAGGGCATCCCTTCTTGTTCATACCCTATGCTCGCGATTGGACTTGTGATGTGACTGAGTCATCACTCATGATAAACTGAAAATTTAAGAATTTGAAAATAGGTAGAAATAAGTTTTTATGGCTCGAATCGCTTCGCCTCGGCAATGTAACTTGTTAAAAGAGATTGTGCATGAAGGTCTACGGGTCAACGAACTTTCGTTTTCTGAAAATAGGAGTAGGTCTACAATTTAATCCTGTTTATTATAATACCGTACCTCCGCTACTTTTTTCATCATCCTCTGAGTGCACTGGTAGAGGATCTCTTGAATGGAGGCGGAAAATCTTCCAATATCGGGTGGTCCAGCGAATTCGTCCAAAATGGCGACCTTACACAACTCCCTGTACGCAGGCGCATACACATTGGTGCACCGAAAGACAAAAGAAAAAACAAAACAAGAAAAAAAAATTGATGATAGGCTAACTGTCAAATATTTAAGGTATTGACTTATTATAGCTACCATGATGCGAAGCTTTTCCGAAATACTCCATGTGGTTTGGGAGGATTTTGGAGGAAAACAATTTGTATGCATGCTAAAAGGTGTCGGTTGATTTTGGGAGTATGCATTGCGTCGAGTTCGTAGGCTGTAGCCGCTGTACCCATGCAGATTATGTTCAGCCATGATTGCAGTGGCGTAAATCTGTGTCGGCGAGTGGGGGTATGGGGGTCACGGACCAAAATCCAAAAATTGCCCGCCCGTGGAAATTCGAAAAGCGGGGGGGTGGGGTGGGGGCTGACACCACATTACACTAGGGGGTGGGGGGGGGGGGGGCTCTTCATGATATAGATGTATATCCATATGTATATACTGGCATCAAATGCACATTTTAAAAGCTTTTGTTCTTCGTTTCACAGTGCAAAATTTTGGTCGTTGGGGTGTTGAAAAATTACCTAAAAATCAACATTGTTTTTTTTCTCATCATGAAAAAGTGGGGGGGGGGGGATTCAATAGCCCATCCACCCTGATCACAGTGCGGGATATATACCCCCATCTCACCCCGGATGTACACCCCTGTATGATTGAGCGTTATCTCATCCACACTGCTTCTGAATGTCATTGGCACTGCCTCAACCCATTGAAGGATTGGGGAAATGGCCACCCCTCAACTGGACAAATGCAAGAAATAACGGATGATTTTGGTGGATTGAGGCTGAATCCAATTTTACGTGGTGCATGGCAATTGGAGGATTTTTGCATATTAAAGATGGTTCCTCGCCAAAAGGGCCATTGGTTTAGGCTTTGAAGACCCTACCACTGGCTACTTCCACTCCACCAAAACCGTTTCATCAGTAAGTTTCTATTTGCACAATTTGTTAAAAGAGTATTCTCAGACAAAATTAATATTGGCTTATCACCCTATCCTATTGCCATAGCAATCGTAAATCTTGTGGGGAATGCACCACCAATTTGTAAACAAGCAAACTTGATTTTTTTTTTTTTTTGGGGGGGGGGGGGGGTTACACTGAATCGTGATAGTTGAGGCAAACCCTTTATATTAAGTGTAAAAAAGACCCAGACGTTTGATTTGTACTATTATTTCTGTTCTACAAAATGTCTGTTTGTGTATACGCGTTGCGTAAAGGATTCGAATGTCAGACCTTTGGAATACAGGCATGGTTCGCAGGTTCAAATCTCGCGTGTGTCTATTTTCTCCAGACAGCAATTATGTCCGATCGTTATGAAACTTGGTGGGTAGGTAGGTATGGATAACAGCATTCAAAATCTGAAGTGACGTCATCATGACGTCATCATCTGATTTTTTATGAATTTTTCAATTTTCATTATTTTCTTCAAATTTTACAATAATTATATAAAATACGGTCCGATCGACTTCAAACCTGGCACACACTTTTACAACCATCTGAAGATGCATGCCGAATCATGACGTCATCATGACCTCATCACGTGTCACATGACGTCATCCTAAAAGTGCATACTTTAAAGCCCTATATCTACAGAACCGGAGGTCCAATTGGGTTCAATCTTGGTATGCAAGTATTCCGGGACGTGTTATAGACAAAAATTGCAGTGACGTCACGATGACGTCATCATGTGATTTTATATAAATTATGCAATTTTTGGACCTTTTACTCAAATCTCATTAATGGAATATGGTAAATCCAAATTCTTTTTGTAACAGGTTTGTCAGGTGAAAGATAGATGCGCAAAATTTCATAAAATTAGTGACGTCATCATGACGTCATCAAAAACGTGATTTTTTGATTCACATATTAGGGTATGTCCGATCGTTATGAAACTTTGTGGGTAGGTAGGTATAGATAAAGGCATTCAAAATCTGAAGTGACGTCATCATGACGTCATCATGACATCATCGTCTGATTTTTTTATGAATTTTTCAAATTTCAATATTTTCTTAAAATTTTTCAAAGATTATATAAAATACGGTCCGATCGACTCCGAAACAGCTATGTGATTGTCCACAATCACAGGTCTAGTTGTGATTACTCCTTTTTTTACTGGCTCTGCTCACGTTCATACCAAGTTTTGTCAAAGTCCACGCCCACTATGTTGGAGTAGCGCCACTTGGATTCGATGTTGGAGCACACGATGCGATCGTCTGTCTCTGGTAGGCTGGTGTACTCGTCCTGAAAGTAGCCGGCGAAACCTGATTGGGTAGTCTTCAAGATTCTCATATCACTAAGCCCCGCCCACACTATGGGTAGCCCTACACGGACAATAATTTTAAAAAAAATGGAAAGATTTAGTACAACTATAAGCGTCCTGTAGGTATTTTCAAGATGATTTCCCGTGCTTTTTTCGAGTTTCATCTTGAAACAAAGATTTGCTATTTCAATTGCTATTTTCCTAGCAATAGAAAAGTTTTGAATGAGCCTTGTAATTGACCCCCCCCCCCGAAAAAAATCCACTGACGTTTATTTATACAGTTTAGTTTGCTGATACGATGCAAAGCAAAATATCCCAATTGACATATCTTAGAAACTTGAGTAGCCAAATTACAGTGACTATCGAAGTACACACCCAGATTCCTAACCACTGTGGTAGGAGTTTATAAAGTTCAAGAATGGTAACATAGTGTTCTGATTTTGGGTACACGTTTGATAAAAAAGGAACATCTTGTAAATCAACAAATTCCCTCCTTCACAATTTGTAATATACGTCAGTGATGAAGAGACGTGGTTGTATTTGCATTTACGAATGGATTGGGAAAGCTAGGCATCGGACATGTTAGTGTCAGCCAACTGCCTCTTATTTCAATCCTTTGCGTCTGCGTCAAATTTGATCATAAGAAGTTGCTGTGTCCACAAAGTCTTAAAATTATATATAAACAAGATAGAAAACCCTGCAGGGAACATAACAAATTTTTAACACAGTTTGCAAGATCCGCGTAACAGCTATTACATTGTATCATCAACCTCGATCCCCGGTGCTGTCAAGCAAATACGCTCCCACTACCCGTTACTGTTGGAAATGAGGTTGAAAATAGAGCAAGCACTGGCGACGAGGTTGCAATTTCATATATGTATTTCAAGAAGGCGGTGATTTAATGAATTTTGTTTGTCATCAGCCACAAAAGGCAAGTTATTACCTTTCCTCTCCTGCTTCACCACGCAGTATCTCTTGGCTTCCTGTGTCTGGATGAAGGCGTGCGCATGCTCCTTACCGGACTGGTCCACTATCCGCCTCCAGGGGGCGTCCTCCACCGTGATCTCGGCCCACTGGACCTGGTTGTACTTTCCCATGAAATGCTGGCACAGGTCCAAGGCGAACTGCTCTGGAGTCGTAATCTGCAGAGTGGAAAACAAATGACACTCGTTGATTTTCTCTTTTATTGCAAAAACTATGTTGAGTAATTAAAACACTTTTCTAAACACTTTCTTGTTTTCACCTTGTTTATATTCGTGCTCAGCTAAATAATATTTAACATGCATATGTTTAGAGTATTGATGCATAATGTTAAGCAACTAAACATTGACGTTTACGAATTGGACAAGTAATGTTTAGCTTCTAAACATGTTTACAAAGTGATAGAAAGATCGTGATAATTACTAAACACAATATTTGGAGTGTACAAAAGCTTGTGATCCATTTTGTATTTCCCTCTGCAGTCATTGCGAGGTCATCATTCCAACCCATACGGCCTCTTAATTTCAAATGTCTATTCATGATCGTTTCCTTTCAAAACGGTATCTCCGGATATGCGAGCTCGTGCTGTAAAAATGGTTTCGTTTAATATTGCATTTTAAAATCTGCACTCAATGCTCCGCCCCCAAGGTAGACTGTACAATTTTGGGAGTTAATTCCGTTTAAACCTCCAAATTCACCACCGGCCGTACCAATGCATGGTGCGTGGCCGGTAGCCTCTTTTGCCGTGGTTATTGTAGTTATTGTGTTCACTCAAGAGTCAAGACCTACATTCACAAGTTTGAAGTGAGGCTGCTCACCACCAACACTACATACAACATCTGCATGGAGTTGAAATGTTTACAGTGTATTTCGAGTAATTCTGGGGAATTTGGCAGTTGTTTGATGAATCTGACAGATTTTTGAAGGGCAGTTAGCAGAAATTTGCCGTTACCTTACGGTCACCCTGGACTCGCCCTATATTCACTCACCCCTTTGGCTTTAGCCAGTGCGTACACCGTATTCTTCTGGGAGTCCGTTGGGATGACGTCCGAGTTATCACTGTTCACGTACTCCTTACGAGTGTTCAGCCCCAGCAGCGTCTTGACCGTGATTTCCCGGATGCTGTGGGTTCCGCCCTGGCGGCGATGCTGCATGACTCGGACCCCGTGCTTGCCATGGTAGGTCCCCTTCGAGACGAACTCAACTTGTGGGCTTGTCGACATTTTGTTCTTCAATTCTCTGCCGTTTGCTTGTATAGGCATATACCTCTGTTGCGAAGATTAAAAAAAAAATCTTCTTGACTTAATGCTGAATTTGTTATCTTATTGTTTGAGATTGAGAGATTGGGATTACTTTATTGGCAAGTTCAGTAAAAAAAAAAGACTGTGTCGCAACTGCCCCTCGGCCTTATACAGGGTGTTTAAAAAAAAAGAAGGAAACCCAACTTCAAAGAATGAGTATGGACAGACGATATGTTTACTGGTTATTAAACTGGTATCATCTGAAAGCGTAATCTCTATGCTTTTCAATGATACCATGTTTAGGTTTTGTGAGTCATGCATCAGTGAGCATCATTGTCTTGAAAACTGGATGCAAAAATGCAGTTGGTTCACTTTAAAAAAAAAAAAAAACCAATTACACTGGGCACAGTGCGCCTATTGTTACGGAAATGTTTGTGAAATGGCTTGAATGTTAATCCTCGGGAAAATGGCACATTGTTTTGAACGTGGCTTGGTCAAAACGAAAAATTCATGACAAACAATAAAATCCAGTTTTCAAACCAACCCGACTTGTTTTTTGGGGGTTTTTTTATGGACTCGTGTCTTCTTCCTGAATACTTATTCTCATGCACACCATGCCTATTGTGTTTGACATGAAAGTGAACCAACTGCAATTTTGCATCAAAATCTCATGACAGTGGCGCTCAGTGATGCATGACCCTGGAAATGTAAACAAGGTATCATTGAAGAGCACAGAGATAACGCTTTTCAGATGATAACAGTTTTATAGCCAGTAAACATTTAGTTTGTCCATACTGGTTCTTCAAATTTGGGTTTCCTTTTTATTGAAACACCCTAGGGCCCGCACCTGCTAGCGCGCCCTCTCTAGACTACGCCGCTATAGTAATTTGCACCATACTATCAATGAAATTAGTGGTCGCATACAAGAAGTCCCAAGGGAGGTCAAGTTGTGGGAGATATCGCATTGAGGAAGGAGTACACACTTGCTGCTGTGAGTCAGCTTGTGCTCTGGGAGCACTTAACTTAACTGCGAGGGAGACAGAAAACCATCTCTGTATATAGGTGTGCTCAGGGACAACAGATCAACAATATAAGATCGAGACGACTGGTTGATCCGTTGATGAGCCCGACTGTGGTCGACTGGAACTATACCACTGTATGTCGGGCACATGTACTGTTACACTCACTACCTAATTAAACTGGAAAATAACCAGATGCAAATTCCTGATGGTCTTTAATTTGTATTTCAAATTCGTATGGTTTGTTAGTAGTTTGGACCTATTACACATTCGAATTTCCTTGCGTGCACTTTTGCGCTTAAGATATCATTTTCAAAACAAAATTCTTTACAAATGGAAAGAACAAAACAAAAGGTCTGAATATCTTTTCATGCATTCAAGCATCACAACTTCTTGTCACAAAACACAAAAGAAGACTGTTTTTTTTCAAACAGATGTATTTTTGCATGGTTAGGCCAAAAAAAAAAATATTCGGTCTCTGGTCAGACCAAAGTTCCGGAATTGACGCGGGGACGCGGCTTTTTTTTTTTTTTTTTTTTTTTTTTCTTCAAGCTTGGATTGTACAGACAATGGTGGGGTACTATTTTGCTTTTTTGTACATTGGTGTCCTCCATAATTTGCCTTGGTGCTCTCGATCATTTGCCTTGGTGCAATTTCCCATTCCTTGTGCTCTTTGGTAAAAAAAATTGAGGAGGTGCGGCAATAGAGGGCGCTGTTGGAGCAACCGCGGAACATTTTGGGGGAAAAAAAGATTGACGCGCATGATTAAAATCGACGCGCGCGCTGACCAGAGACCGACTTATTTTTTTTTTGGCCTTAGTAATATATATTTATTATTATTATTTATTTGTTGGGTTTTTTTGGGGGACTCTTATTGATGTCATTGGTGATAATGATTTGCAATTAAGGATTGCTTATACATTTGAGTTGAAATTACATTCTCGACAAATCAATAATACTGAATTTCTGAACATTCAGGATTTAGTGTGTGATTAAAATGTGTAAAAAGATCATAATACAATTCATAGTTTCTCAGAAAATAATTTTCTAAACTATAAAAGACATCATAATATTTCAGTTTTGAAATAATAATTTGACCCCAGCTATTAAATTGAATTGTTTTAAAGGAAAATTGTAATCCGAATGCTATACTGATATGTGGTTAAAGGGAATATACAACATTTGCAAACATCAAAAAACAAAACTACCAAATTATTGCGAAATTAGTGAATGACATTTCTGTAAAATCATAGCACCTGGTGTGCTAACATCAAGAAAATATTTATGCATCAATTTGCAACGTTGGTCGGCCGACCAGCGTTGGAAAAAACTGGCTTTTTTTCAAATAGGCCTACTGTTAATTTATTATATTTAGTTAGTCCGCATTTTCTTTGCAATCGATTACACAACTGAAAGAGTATAATACAAGCCAGTTCATGAGCTAGACTGATTCTCGGACATTACACTTCCCTTACGTCTACAAATTGCTCCGTTCCATCTTAAGTGGGGTCAAGGAACCAGACAACAAGAACATAATTTTGTTTTACTTGTTTTTTTTTTTAGCATCTACGAACCCAAAACGTCAAACAAGTCGATGTAACAATATTTGCTATAAAATACTAACCCCCAAATCCATCCATTTCTGAAAATTATAGCAAAAGCAAATGTTGTATATCTCTTTAAGAATAAATGACGGTGCGAGTCATTTTAGAGTTTTTGGTATTTTCCAGTTCTTCGCTTGGTTCACTGCTAGCATGATGTTGTTTTCCTTTATTAGAAACGTGTCCCAAATATACAATGGAGGAATTAAGTTACTTAGGCCTAATGTTTACCTAATCCAAAGCAGTGCGTAGCGGGGTCATTGAGATTGGTTGGGGGGGGGGTGTCACGTTGGACGTGAAAAAGGACACTCGCCTCGGTGCTGAAAGGTAGACGCGCTTTTTAAGCTGTGGCAGGAGTTACATGTCACTTGGTGGTCGGTCGGTCGGTCGGTTGGATGGTCTGTCTGTCCCCGGAAATTGACCAAAAGTATTGTTTTCCTTATGTGCCATCGGCGTCGCATTTCTCAGCTCTGGCAGGGATTTTTAAAAAAATTTCATGGGGGGGGGGATCGATTTAATGCAAGACTTTCATGCAAGACTTCTTGCAACACGGCCAGAGCTTATTGTGCACTCGCACTTGTTTCACCAGTCACCCGGCCTGTCTCCGTTAAATAAAAAAAAACAGGGGGGGGGGGTATTTTTTGGTATTTCTCACAATGTACCCCCTTTAGTGACACCCCTCCAATGGCGAAGGCATTGGCATGCAGGCTATTGTGAAAAGAAACTGCCCCATGAGTTGACGGAGTACCTGAATTAGTAAGAACAGTGCTTTGGCAATTGAAGGGGCCATAGGGTGTTCATGATAGAAATTATATCTTGTGGAATTTGGGAATTGACCATTATTTGCACGTAAAGATTGCATTTGCATAAAATCCATACCACAATGATTCTTTAGTTGCGTAACTACGGTGTCCGATTTGCAAGAACTTGTCAGAACTTGACTTTACTTGTATAGGGGCCTAAACATTCAAACTAGCACCCAGCTAGCAGTTGAACATACATGATTAAAGCTGCCAGTTTTGGCTATTTTCTCGTCAAATCCGTCTGGGCTTTTCTGGGTTGGTCATAGGCCTATAGCTCCTAACACCACAAACTTTTTCTTCTCCAAAGTTGGGGGGGGGGGGGGGTGAACAAAATCGATGCAAGCAGTGCAAGGTTTTTTTTTTTTTTTGCTGGTCCCAGAGGGCCATTCTGTAGTCCTGACTGACCGACTCACTGACAATGATTGTCACTAGTGAATTACACCTCGTAAAGCCGTTTCCACATACGATGCTATCCTATTCATGTATGTTAGGTAACAACTACACCACAATGTGCATTAGCCTACCACGCCGCCAACGGCGAAAGCGGATTTTTCATTTCCATAACGTTACCGCTACTATACAGCATATTCTACGAGGTATTCAGCCATTTTAAATCAATTGAATTGAATTGAATTTTGTACACTCCTGGACCAGATTTACTTTCGTCCCGTTTAAACCATTTTCACCGTCCCGAATTTACTCCTTTCAGCGTCCCGATTTTGCTTTTAAAATTTCCATCCCTTTGCAATCTGCCACTCACTCTGATTCCCCCCCGGGCTACGCCACTGTACCATGCTGGAATACGAGGCAGCGACAGTACTCGAGGCTGCCGGGCCGGCCGGCCTCGCGTGCTCGTCAGACGGTCGGACAGACGAGGAAACACGCTCAAAAGCACTGGAGTTTGCCATATCGTACAGGGCGGAGGAGAGTTTAGGAACCGCCCGCGCGGCACGGCGACGGACAGCTATTGCTTAATTGAAGGTATCAATCCGTTGATATCAATCCGGTATCAATGAATAATCAAGTGTCGGTTCAATTATTACCATGACATCAGCAGTTATTTCATCTTGTACAATGGGCAATGTACATTTCGCATTAAAATGTTTAAACGTCATGTACAAGACGGTTTGGTGAAATAACCACATAAATGGCGATTTTGTTCTGCCCGAGTCGCACGGTATCCCGTATTAACCGAATGGTCCTATACTGGTCCCTATGACATCTGGACGGCTGAAGACAGAATATAAATGGACGAATGTTTGATGAAGCTTTTCTCCAGCGTGTTATGACAAACCCCCACACCAAACTTACCCAATTGGAAATGATATATGCGTTGTATTGTCCACTGGAAAGAGCTTAAGCATAATATACGATATCGACCGTGACTGATGGTGCTCATCATCCTCATTCTCCCACGAAATTGTTTTGGTTTGTCGTTCCCTGGTTTGTATACATAGAAGGCGTCGGCTTGTAAGTTATTGTTTTCGACCTTCCCATACTTTGACACTGTGATGTAAGGTGAACTAACCGCAACGTTGCTTCAATGGTCCATACGATTGCCAAACAAAACAACAATCAAAATGATGAGAGTTGAGATTCTTCTCAAACAATGCGCATCCGGCTCTGGAGACCTTCAGATTTGTATTATTTTTATTTGTATTATATCTTGTCATTTGAATGTCAGACCAAAACCCAAGGCAATCGCTATTCAGGCTTGTTTTCACTCACAGCACAATCCCATGCATGCTTTCATAACTAGTTGTATAACATATATACTTGCGTCCGTCAAGTGAAGAATAAAGAACGGTGTCATTACATAACTGGAAAAATATGATAAACATTTCTAAGAAAAATTCGAAATAATATTCAATATTTGCCTTGATTTTCAGAATGATTGAAATCTATACTTAGCATACCTCTCTGTGAAAGATATAACTCAACAGTTTAGGCTTGTTCTCGTGGGAAAGTTACGGCGTTAGACCACCAAGTGAAGACAAAATGACGTCGTCACGTATTTCAAATTTCGTATAAAGAATAAAAACAATTTTAAAAAAAATGTATTTCTAGGAGTTTACACCAATAATGAAGATACCTGCCCGATTCTGTATATGCATGTTTATAACTACATGTTGTATATGTTATTTTTTTTTTACATAAATGAAGGAAGAAAATATCTGTTCCTACCTGTGATGAGCAGTAAGACAACGAGCGAGTCAACTGACCACTTCGGACATCGAGGAATGAAGCACCGACACCGCGCACCGGCTATTTAGCTAAGCCGCTGGCCAATGACCAACTCAAGGGCAACGGAGTTGTCTTGGGTCAAACCACTTGCAAGGCAGGGGTTGAAAAAAAGCCTCAAATAATTAAAATTATTTCTGAATTCACTCTACAACACACCAAGTATAACTTTGGCTCGGAAAGCCGCTTCAACGGTTAAAATGCGAGATATAAAAAAATGCACCCAATCATGCAGGTTCGAATTAAACACGGGTGAAATGAACTTGAAATAAACATGGCCTAGATGAAAAATAAACGATCGGAAGGTTTAATCTATATAATGCAACGTCTGGTGCGGGTGGAATATTATGTCTCGTGAAGTGTTTTAAAAGAGAATAAATCGAAGATATTCATTGATTTTTGATCCCGAAAACATGTAAACTCGATGACTCATGGAATGTTCTATAATTTATTTATTGGATGGCTGGACCCGTTATAGTTGGAATAAAACAAAATCTGGCGATCATAATAACAACAGTATTCAGGTATCATCCTGCGATTGCACTTGTCGGCGCACTTCAAGATTGAAGAGCGCGCGCAATTTTGCCGGTTGCCATCACCCTATTGGTCGAAAGAACATTTAGCGCATGCGCACCGACATGTGGGCGTGGTACCATCTACTTATCGCTGGTTCGCGTCTACGGTACTTTAATGGATATATTTGGAAATAGCTGCCGACAAGCAAAGCTTGACCAAATTAAATTCTTCAAAAAGATGTGAATTATTCTCACGATTTGTACCAACTTAACACCTTTTTTCTCGTGGTAAGTATGCCTTTGCAAGTTGTAGTAGGCAGGCTTGGCTTGGGCCTTCCGTCGATAAACGTTGAAGTAGCCTATGAATGGAGTCACTTTTGCTTCATTGTCACTTTTAATAATAATAGTGAACATTTATATAGCGCCAAAATCCGTCTAAAAAAGACGCTCAAGGCGCTTTACAAGTTTAAAAAATAAACTAATACTATAGCATTATATAAAAAAAAGTAACTGTAACGTTAAAATGTGTGAAAAAGTCAATATAAGGAATAAAAATGTCAAAGATAAAAAAGTAAAATAGAAAAACTTAATAAACGCACAATCCAAAAAATATAAAAGTATCCAAAAAATACACACATTATATACACCTACAAATATTATACACATACAAATTACCAACCCATAGAGACATTGACCGAAAGAATTGAAAATATATCAGGACAAGCAAAATGCTAGTGATGAAACCAAATACATATGACAGATATTACTAAGGAAAAAATATATATACACCCCCTTTAAAAAAAACAAAGAAACTACAGTATTTACAGTAAGGAATCATATGGGAAGAAAACACATCATATACATCTAAAGCATCTGAAAAAAAAATACATACACATATATAAGCATTATACAAACACACATACATTGATATATTGTATACACAATTTGCCAATAAAAACAACTGGACACATCGAACGAATGAAATGATCATAACAGACAAGCAGATTTAGTCTGATCCCAAAATCAATGACAATTCTAAATTTCTAATGTGACAAGTATTACTGAGCAAATAAATGAGTCTTAAGTGCTCTCTTGAACTGGTTTTTTTACTTTCGGTTTCAAAATTGTAACAAAATTGCTCAAAATCTTTAGTAATACTTTCCCCTTTAAACCCATAGCCCTTAATTTCCTCCTTCCATGACTTTGTGTTGCTTATAACTTGCTTTCAGGCATTTTGGAGAGTCCAATACCATAAAAGTGGATGTACCTGAAACTGGCCCCAAAAAACACTTCTATGGGGATCTTCACTTCGGTCAAGGGCAACACTGTTTTTGTTCCTTTACAATTGCATGTCTTGCATAACAATTGACAAGAAGTTTCACGATTCGAAATCAAGACATGTGTTTACCAAACAGTCAAAGAAAAGTTTCATGAATTTAAAAGTGATACACGTACTTCTGGTGGGGAATCTGTAAAAATAAAAAAAATAGCAATTACTTTTTTTGTAAATTTACAAAATTTACAAAATTTACAAAATTTGTATAGCCTAGCTCTTCACTGCAAAAACTGTGTTTAGCAATGAAACACTTTTCTAAATACTTTCTTGCTATCAGTTTATAAACATGTTAAATATTAAACATGTTTAGACTTAGGATAGATAGGGTTTATCAATGGAACATTGATGTTTAATTGAACACATAATGTTTAGATTCTAAACATGTTTACAAAGTGATAGCAAATTGTTTTTGTTGCTAAACACAGTTTTTGATGTATCAATTGTAGGAATTTCAAATGAACATGTCATTGTTTATTTCAGTTTTGAAAGCAAGAGTATAACATGCATGCGGGAAATTGCAAATATCATTCCATTATCCAGCAGCTAATCCTTTGCCTGTGAAGATTCCTGGCATTCTGTACATAGACCGGGTCAGCTGGATTTGCACCCCTGCAATTGAAAAATGCAAAAATGAAAAAAATACAGGAAATTAACGATAGAAAGAATCTAAAACTCTCTAAAACAAAACATGAGGTCTCCGACATTGGAGGGGCGGCCTGCTATGGGGTGGGGTGGGGGTGCGGTGGGGTGTCTGAAGACTATTCAGAAAAATATGTTGGAATAATTAATTTGTTGCCATTTCCTAACAGGAAGAACTGTTCAGGGCGTAGTATTTATAAAAAAAAAACGTTTAACGGCAATGTGAAAGAGCAGAAGAAATAAGAACATTCCAATGCATCAATGTTTAGCTCATCGTCCCCGTGGAAATATTGAGGTATAAAAGTAAAGTTGGTTTTTTTTGGGGGGGGGGGGGGGGGGTGGGGGGTGTGGGGGGCCTCCCCTCCCCCCCCCCCCCCACTCACTCCAACATGAATATATTCGGGGAAGTGTTTGCTGAAGTCGAATGCCTTTTACTGATTTAAGGGAACAGCCATGTCTTGCAACTGGACATCACATACATAACTTCACAGATACCTGACGTCTACTGTGTGGTATGGTTTGTCTGTTGGTCAGTTTGTTTGCTTCTCTCATGTTATGCTTGATGTGATTATCAATTGACATATCACTTATTTGTGCATAAGAAATAAGTGATACTTGAAGCATTACCTCAGATCTAGATGGTGGGCGCCTTCATAGATAAGACACACGTCCAAGTTGGCTGGGTTGGGATTGACAAGCACACCCCCGCCCCGCCACGGGTCGAGCGCTCCATTGCAGAAGACAATGTTGGATGCAGACTTTATATCTTCCAATATGGGAGTACAAATTCGAAATACTTACAGCAAATATCTGGATTTCTTGTATAGGTAAAATTCAACACTGTTGCATTTATGCAATTGAGTTGTAAATGACCCCCCCCCCCCCCAAAAAAAAGAATGAATCTCTTTTTTTTTTGGCAATAATTCCTGAAATTTCCTCACAAGTGTCGTTCACTTTAATAGCTGCAATTCATCGTCTTTGCAAACAACAAATATGTTATCTTTGGGCAGTGTGGGCTTGACATACGTGTTTAAAAAGCTCTAAACAATCATAAGGATTCATGAAAAGTGCACAATTATCCCTAAATTCTGATGCCTCTTACAAGACAGATTTCAACATAAATTGTGTGAAATCGGGTAGACGCTGACTTCTACAACTTTGTATTCGTCCAACTGTCATTTCTTCATCGTTTTCTCTCTTCAGATGTCTTCAGGCTTGCTCGCTATATAGGGGACCTACAGTGCTTGCTTAGGGTGCTTTTGCGGAATCTTTGGTTTCATTACCAGATGTGAATAAATGAACGGTCATGAAAACTTTAATTGCTAACCTTTTCCCCACATCATGACATTCAACCAGGTTGGCTTCGGGGCAACTTTCCACTTCATACTGCAGTAAGCTTGCCTCATTTTCTCGTTGAATGGCAGCGCCGGGAACATGTCCGTTACATTATTAGAACCTGCCGGCATTGTTACCTCAGTACATACCTGAAGCATTTATTATAAAAGACAAAGAAATAAAATGGGCATAAAATGTACAGTATAAATTTGAAGTCAAATGCAAGTCCGGTCACAAGTAAATCACCAGTCCGCTCACAAGGATCAAGCAGTGGACAAATAGCAAATGAAGGCCTTTTTTTACAGTCAAGTTGAAAAGCTCGATAATTGGCTTGAGACTGGAAGACTGGCGACTGATGTGGTGATGAACTTGTGATGGAACGCACAATAAAATAATCCAAATGGTAGATACCCTTGCACAAATAACAAATTTCAGCTGGGAATATAATATTCGACTGTTTCGATAATTGAAGAGTTTAGTAAAAAATAGAAAATTTGTCAAAATTGAGAAAAGACCTGCATTGTGCTTCATACCTGCCAATCCTGAGCCTTTGCATCGTTGCCAAGGCCACAACCAGTTGGATCAGCACATTCCACATACTCTGTATCAATGTCCATACACTTTAGTTTGCCGCTGGTGCCATTGTAGAACAAAACTAAGACAAACACAAAAGTAACAGAAATTAATAATCCTTCATTATTTTGCATTCTGATAACATGACTAATCCAAAAAGGACACACGTACGTAAGATGTAATCAAGGCTGATTAGCTGGTTTAAAAACAAAACATCCAAACAAGTGTCACATTTTATCACGATGGTGGATATTTTGTTAGCAAAATATCCACCAAAATGGTCCCACAGATTACATTGACTCACTTGCAGCATTAGCCAGCCCTTGCATGGGGTTTGTTGATGGGGCATCCACTATTAGGCTACAAGAGACCTGAGGAGGAATACAACAAATCACTCATTGAGCTGTCCCTGATCAAGTCTCACAAAAAAGAAAAATTGAGAAAATCACAAAATCTTTCCAGAGGAAAAAATGTAACAAGAAATTAACACACAGCACAAGAACACAAACAAGTACAGACAGTTTTAATATCAGCGAAAAAAAAAACTAAAGTAAGAGGCTCATGACCTCCTACTATAAAAAAAGACAAACGTGTAGGGCTATTAGTTCAATGGCAAAAGACAACTACAGAACACTCACAGAGATCTGTACATAAAAGTTACAAGAAATTTCATATTCCTCATTTACACCCCGTTCCCTAACCACTCCCTATTTGAAAGGCAATTATTCAAACCATGCCGCTAATGACAACTTACATTAACGGGCCATGCAGGCATTTGTCCCAGGAAAGTTGTGTTGTAGGGATAGTTAGCCATGGCCATGTTGGTGAAGGCGTTGCGAACCCAGCCCTGAAGGTGGGGTATCTGGGTCTTGTACGTCAGGGTTTTACAAAGCTTAAACGTTGAGGAAATATTACTCAGACCTGGGAATGAATGAACAACAAAGAGCTCCTTTATTGTGGCGCTTGCAGTTTTTGCTCAGCAAAACAAAAACAAAAACACCAACAAACATCCCAAAAAACAAGCAAACTTGAAAATTATTAGAAGCGTTTTTATTACCAATTGTTTCCTGCTAGCTAGTCAAACTACTTGTATAAAAATAAACTAGTTGCTTAAGCTAATTAAAGGTTCACTCAGTTTAGGTTGATAAATACATGTACATGTACATTACATTGTCTACATTTCAACAAACTATGGTACTGGAGTGGGCCGATTTTTCGGCACCTTTATACATGTACAGGGTGAGTTAACAGAAAATGAAAAACAAATATTAAAAAAAAAATATGTAGCTCACTCCGTTTCATTAAAATAACACAGGGATAAAGTACATGTTGTTGACCAGTAACTGCGAACAATTTACGTGATTTGCGTCTTCTATTCCCAAGTTATGTCTATCTTAATAACAGATCACAAAAATCAGCTGTCCACCACTGATCATTTACCGTTCTACGAGCTGATAACACGGACGTTTTCCTACTTCCACGAATGAACGAAAACTTGCAAAGGAAAACAGACAAAAATCACCATCAGTATTTCAGAATTTTTTTAACTTGTACCTCGTTTTGAACACAAAATCTAACAGTAAACATGTTTCAGTCTCGACTCAAATAATTAAAACCACAATGTATCTGAATGGCTGTCAATCTACAGTTCTTACTATTTAGCTCAACATCTTTCAATGGCATTCCATGAACAGCTACAAAGTTAGGTTCTTTTAAAACATAAATAACATCTGATCAATTTCGGCAAAAAAACCCCCAGATTTGTGGAAGAACATGCTCTTTTAAGACATAATTCTTGGCAAGGGCGGATCCAGAACCAATTTTTTGGGGGGCCAAAAAAAAAATTTGGTCCCCAAAAAAGTGGGTCAAAAAATTACGGCGTGGGGTTCGGGGCCCGCTTAAGGGCCCCGAAAATTTTTTGGATTCTAGATGCTCTGTGGTGCGATCTGAGGCAATTTCTGACCACTTTATCCAATGTTTTTTTGAGGAAAAGATGGTGGTGTACTCATTGCCTGCCTTTATTGCGATGTCACGTAAAAAAAAAAAAATGGTTTCTTTTTGGGGGGCCATGGCCCCCTATGCCCCCCCCCCCCCGGATCCGCCCTTGATTCTTGGGTGTATCAAATGTGATTGCTTTGGAAAACAAAAATCATTTAATCCAGGTCAATTTGTTTTGACTCGCCCTACTACAAAAGAAATCCTATTTTGTTCCTGTCACAATCATTGCATAACTTGCCCCGTTTCTAGCAATTGAAACAATAATGGGGATTGAAGATGCACGATTTGAAAGCAATTAGGTATATGATCGTAAACAGTTCCCCCAACATGCATGAATTGAAAGCGATTACATTCATTTTGAAAAGAAATTATTAAAGTTTTGTAACAAACTAACTACTATCTCTCAGTATATCAAATCATGGTTACATTATAGCTTCTCTTATTCAAGAACAAAAAAACTTCTTGAGCATTATTTACAGCATTTCATAGCTTTGATATAACAATCCTTTTTCTTCGATTTTGAATATAACAAATATGTAAATTTTAATGAGAAATGCCATTATTTCACTTAAAATAATCAGGGGTGCAGCACACAGGTGATAGTGGTCGGATAACTTATTTTAATCCATTATCCAGCAGCTAATTCTTTTTCTGTGAAGATTCCTGGCATTTTTTACATAGACTGGGTCGGCTGGATTTGCCCCCCTGCAAAGGAATTGAAAAATTTGAAACCAACAAAGAATAAATGTGAATATTACCTAAACAATGGAAGTTATACTAGAATCCAAAGTAGTGAACATAATATTTTTGTGGGGCAAGAAGGCCCCACCCCCATCAGATGAAATATCTGTTTCCATTTCATTGGAGCTGTTTAGCACAGATACATCGCAAACACAAAATATAATTATCAGCTAATATCAAAAACAGGTGACTGTTGTCCAAAATTTCATGTGATGGAAATGACTAGTGGCATGATTCTTGGCACGTGCTTATTTTTGGTTAGCACATATATTTTCTAAGCGGTGTATTTTGTTAAGCAACTCCAGGTACTTGGAACCTTGATTACATAGATACCTGATGTAAACTGTTGTCTGGATAGTATGTCTGTTGGTCAGTCTGTTTTGCTGCCCTCATGCTCGTGATTATCAACTGACACATTGCGTAACAAATAAGTGATATTTGAAGCATTACCTCAGATCTAGATGGTGGGCGCCTTCATAGATAAGGCACACGTCCAAGTTGGCTGGGTTGGGATTGACAAGCACACCCCCGCCTCGCCACGGGTCCAGCGCTCCATTGCAGAAGACAATGTTGGATGCAGACTCTATATCTGGTAAAAGGAGATGAACATTTTGAAATACATGAAATATGTTCTCCTGTCTGGATTTCTACTTTGGAAAGTTGAATATTGCCATCTTTTCTGTAAATGAGATGTATGAACCAATTAAACAATGAACAAAATCTCTTAATTTCAGTCAATACCCATTTAAGTACCACTCAATAGAATTGTGAAATGAACATCTATTCCACAAATATCACAGATGTATCTAAGAGAGATTTTAGTAAAACCTTTTTATTAAACATTCAAAGAAATTTCCTTAAAAGTGCAAAGAGTTCCTCCCTCAATTCTGATGTTTCTTGTGAGACAGTTCACAACATTACATAAGTTGTATATTGCAAAGACACATTGACTTAAAAACATGTAATGTTCAACTTTCTTTTAATAATGTTCAATTAAGAACAAAATTTAGCTTCTCTTCATATCTTTTGAAGGGACATGAAATTTGGATGGCTAACCTTTTCCCCACATCATGACATTTAACCAGGTTGGCTTCGGGGCAACTTTCCACTTCAGACTGCAGTAAGCTTCCCTTGTTTTCTCATTAAATGGCAGCGACGGGAACATGTCCGTTACATTATTGGAGCCTGCCGGCAGTGTGACCTCAGTGCAAGCCTGCAGCAATTTATTTATAAAGAAGCAGAAAAGCGGTTTTTGGGTTTTGTTTTGTTTTGCATAATATGTAGAGTGTTATAGTCAAGTTCATCACAGGCCTTCACAAGTCCAGTCACATCTAAATCACAATTCCATTCAGATCTCCGGGCACAAGTAGCAGTGGACTCAATATTAACAAAGGAATGAATTTTTTCACAGTTTAGTTTTAAAGCTTGTGCGTTGACTTGAGACTGGAGTACTTGTGATGAACTCGTGATGAACTCGTGATGAACTTGTAAGGACTTTTGATGGACTCGGCTACAACACTGAAAACATCTACACATTCATTTGGAAAATGAAAAGAAATGATCCAAATGGTAGGTCCGCACACAAAAATTGGATCTTCTGGCAGGGAAATAGGAGAATGATTTAATACTTGAAGATTTCAATGAAACATTTCAAAGTTATATATTAAAGAAAAAAAAAGGTTTACTAAACCTTTTGTTCTTAAAAGATGCCTACCTGCCAATCCCAAGCTTTTGCGTTGTCTCCCAGCCCACAACCAGTTGGATCAGCACATTCAACAAACTCTGTATTAATGTCCATACACTTTAGCTTGCCCTGGGTACCATTGTAGAACAAGACTATGGCAAAAAAAGCAACAGAAATTAAGCAATCCTTCATTAATTTTCATCCTCCTGTTTGTATATTACACTTCTTGATCATATAGGGGGCAGGATGTTTTTTTGTAAACAATTGGTTGGACTACAGTTAGTTTCTTCTTTTTTTGGGGGGGGGGAGATTTAGATTTAGATTTAAGGATGCTTAGACCTGGCTATCTGCCTATTCAATTCCAAATTTTTGTTAAGCAACTTATGTTTGCAGTTATTTCTCAGTGGTGCATGTACTCACATGCAGCATTAGCCAGACCTTGCATGGGGTTAGTCGATGGAGCATCCACTATAAGACCACACGAGACCTGCAGGTGGAAGAAGGTCATTTATCGAATTGCTTATCCTGACTAAGACTCCCAGAAAAGAGAATTAAAGAAAACTAAGCACAGAGAGCAACATATTCTTGGGTCTAAATGACTTGCTACACATTCAAAGATCATAATTAAGTCCTAGAGCTGACAGTCCCATGGTAAAGGCAAAACAATCTCGTTCATACAAAAGTTTCAAATATTCAAATTGTTAAGTTCCCCTTCAACACTCACCAGGCGCGAATCCAGGGGGGGGGGGTGTTGGGGGTCCAAAAAACCCCTAGCTCTGTCCAAAAAAAAAAATTCTCATACAAATTCCTAAAAAATAAGTCAAACCCCCCCCTCCCCCCGCTGTGACCCCCCCCCCCCCAAAAAAATTATACTGGTCTTATGTCCGCCTGTTCAAAATACGGTACACCATTCTGTAATGAGTGTTAATAATTGTCGAATTTGAACAGCGCCCCCGTATTAAAATTGGTAACCCCCCCCCCCCCCCCCCCCCCCCCCCCCCCCCCCCCCCCCAGTTTTTGATTTTACGGAGGCCAAGTGTCCGGAGAAAAAAACTTGTGTACAATTTCAGATTTGTTGGCTGATGAAAACCCCCTCTGCGAAAATTCCTGGATCCGCCCCTGCTCACACAACGACTAATACAAAGGACAATTTTAGCCATCCCATTGATACAAAGGGCAATTTCAGCCATCCCATTAATAAAATAATACTCACATTAACAGGCCATGCAGGCATTTGTCCCAGGAAAGTTGCGTTGTAGGGATAGTTACCCATGGCCATGCTGGTGAAAGCATTGCGGACCCAGCCCTGAAGGTGGGGTATCTGGGTCTTGTCCGTCAGGGGTTTACAAAGCTTAAACGTTGAGGAAATATTACTCAGACCTTGGAATGAATGAACAAAGTGTTCCATTATCCTGAACAATTAATGCAAACTATGTAGTAAATAATACGGAATCTGTGTGATGCTCTAGGAGATTCGAAACCAGAAAAAAAACAAGTAAGTTGGGAACTAAAAAAGCACCACTACATCATTGTGGCTTGCTCTTAAGTCAACTGTAAAGCTTGTTGACAATCCTCCAGGCAAAGATTCAATTAAGCAATTGTAAAATGGAAAAATTGCCAACAGATCTCCGCCTAGATTTGACGGATTCGTCAGATTTTAACAGTGTTGCCCCCATTGAAATTATAGTACGAGCCCCCCCCCCCTTGATTTTCGGAGGCCAAGTGTCTGATGAAACCACTCCCTGTGAAAATTCCTGGATTTCTTCTGCCCCTAAGTGGTAAGAAAGGGAGACTCATGGGAGAGACATTCGAATGCACTGCTGACCACGACTGACGCTCATACTATGACGTTATTGGTTTGTGCAGTTAGAATAAAATTAGTCGTGTGGACTTTGCCTTGAACGTGCACGCGGTGTGTCCTGCTGATGGAGCTCTCCAAAAAGTAACGAAAAAGTGTTCTCTCTTGTTCGGGCATGGAGCCCGGCTGAGCCAATGACAGCATCATTGAATTCACTAACCTTTGTAAAATCACATTTTTTTTAAAAAGGGAAAAAAAGTTGGTATACCTTCCTTTCCTTCATCTGCAAGTTTATTAATTTGAATGAATGCCTTCCTGACACTTGCCACACAATTGGGGCCGGTAGAGGGTACGCTCTCAAAGGCCTAATACATGGAAATAAAAGTTAACGTGAATCCTTCAGGTTTCCAAGCACAATATCAAAACTCTACACACAAACAATTTTTCAGGTCTAATAAACAGTTGGTTACAACTGCCTGACAACTGATTACAACTGCCTGACAATTCATACTTCTGGGCGGAGAGAGGCAACTGCAGTAAAGTGTCTTGCCCACAAACACAAGCACCATGTTCCCCGTTGTTCACACCAACGTACTGCAGCACATGAGTCGAACATCTTGGACCCCAGCACTCCAAAATTCCCTCCTTAAATTGTAAGTTTCACATTTCCAAAACAAGAAGGCAACATTCTGCACAGAACCTCTGGAAGTAATCTCCAAAGCAGTCTTCGAAAGGAAATCATTGCTAATGCAGGTAGTACAGGGCATATATTCTAACTTACTTTTGTAACATCATCAAAGAAGTAGGTCTGGGAACCCAGTCCCGCTGTGGAGTAGATGGGTGCACTAGATGCTATGGCCCCGTCTACAATGTTGGGAAATTTGAACCGCATGTACGCACTGAGCATGCCTCCGTAACTGTAACAATAAGAACACGTTGGATAAATTACAACACTGTGAACCCCCAAATATCAGAAATCTCTCAATTTTGTCTCTATCATGAAGGATGGGGATTAATGGATGAGACTCATGAGGTATCCCTTGTCTGTCTCTGAGTGAGGTAGTTTACTGTGAGAATTTTTATCCACATGCAAACCGATAAATATACTAGTGCAGGTCAGAATTGTGTCATTTCAATGAAAGCGTTAACATTGACATTGATAAAAAGTTACAACAGTTGTCTAACAAACATGGCTATAGTTAACTGGTATGTTTGGGGTGATAGGGAACATCTGTATGAAGGCAGCATTCATGGCAAGATTTTGCTGTGTAATTAAAATTGGCATTTCTGGCCAGAACACTTGTTTCTGAAGGATAATCCTCCAATCCCTCCAGTCTGGTAACGAGGGGAGACAAAGATAACAATTAAAACTTACAGCTTAAAGCTTCAATGCTTCTTAAATACCAGTGATTTATATTTATTTTATTTACCTTCCTCCAAATGTGACCACTTTACAGGCAGGGCACTTGAGACTCTCCTTGAGGTACATAATGAGCGTAGCGTAGTCTGCCAAGGCTTGCTCCACAGTCAGTAAGCCCATGTTCTCAGTGGTGAACGACTGGTTGCCAAAAGGTAAGGATTCCCCATAGAATCGCTGAAACCAATCAACCACAATTATAATGGGACTAGGTTCATTCTTTGAATCAATTGTAGGCCAAGTAAAGAAATAGTTTCTCGTCCAGGATTTTTAGAAAAGGGAGGAGGCCCTTTTTTTCTTCAACCCCTTTGTTCATCTGTTTTATTTTTGATACAAAAATTTAGAGTTAATTGTTTTGTTTTTGTTAAGTATTATGCACAACATGTTTCAAGAGAGGCAATGAACCACTGATTGTTCTAGCTACAGCCAAGATCAGAAATCCAACATGTCTCACATTGTTTTATCCAGCGCCCAGTTTTCTATCATTTTCAAATTACATGTAAATGAGACTGGAGTACTGCACCATAATTCCATATACACTGTGCAGTGTGACTTACATGTTCAGCAAAAACAAGAAGGGCGTTGAACTCTGGTGCTATGTCGTACATGAAACCTGTGTTCTCCAAAAACGTAGTAATAGGTCCTTCATTGCCAGTGTAGAAGAAAATGGGTCCTTTCCTGACCTTCCAGTCCTTTTCTGTTGAATTATCAGGAGAACAAATCAATTCTTATCATTTGCATTGTGCAATTTAGCCCCACCCACTTGTGTGGCCTCCGTATTGCTGCGCTGTACGTTAGGCCACACGTCTGGTTTCCAAACCTACTGAGGAGTTTAGTCCAAACACTGGCGCATATGAACTCCAGAAAGATGCTAAATTTCTCAAAAAATTTGAAGAAAGATTACCTAATCTACCCGGAGGGCAAAAAATGAGAAATCCTAGAATACAACCATAAACAGTGGTATGTAGAAAAAAATGCCAAAAAAAGGTGCACCAGTGTTTGGAATAAACTCCTCAGTACTACTGGATAACCTGGCGTGTGGCCAGAGATACAGCGCAGCAATATCGCGGCCACACTAGTGGGGCTATGTGCAATTAACCGTTAACCAGTTTCACAAATTCATTTTCTGACAGTGTTACTGTTACAATAAAAACAGATGTTACATGCATAACAATTAACATGTCTTAGGCCTATGTACAAAATACAAAGCTTAAATATTCTAAAAATTGTACCATCATCCTTGGTATTAAACCCTCATTCCATACGACGCACAGACGTGTCTTATTCTTGTGTGAACCCTTCCTCCATGTGTGAACGCACTTCACATAAAACAAATACAAAACATTAGCACAATCGTACCTGACACCATGTATCGCTGTTTGAAGGTTTTGTTGTCATGGCTTGCAAAGTTATAATGATCAATTATCTGGTCAAAGTAATCGGTCTTGTACGGGTAGGATGCTCCAGTTGTACTCAGACACAGAATGAGCACAAAAGACACGAGCGTAATTGCTCTCAAATCACAAAACATCGTGGCTCTTTCAAGTCGCACTGAGCCGAATCCCAAGATTTCATGTCGGTCGCTCATTACTAGTGCTATCATGTGACAGTGTAACAGCACGTGACTGGCCATCAGGTGACATCTCCCGAGCACGCCCCCAACGACAGTTTGTGGTTTTTTGCGACTGTTCGGGTCATGGTTCGGGTGCACTGAACCCCCATTGAAAAAGCAGTGTAAAATTAACTTCAGGGCCAAATAAGTTAACATGCAAGCCGACATCACTGGGGTTTCTCAAACAACAATTAAATTATTGTCTTGTCCTTCATCTTTTTCACTGGCACACCAGAACAAAATTACCTCCCGAAAAGTGATAGTTCCCAAGCCTGCAAGCCATACAAGTGGCATATCCTTCCACTTTCTCAGGCAAATGTGGATCCATGTTTCAACCGTAATTTTTATCAAGTCTGCCCTCAGATGGAAGCCCCCGATATAGCGGCCTTGGCCATATTTACACAATTCTACCGCTTTTAAAGCCAAACAGTCTCCGTTTTCAAAAGAAATTGTGGGGGGGGGGGGGGTTGACCTTTTATGCTAATGACTCGCGTAGAAATTCTCACTCGAATTAGTGCCCTGCACCCTTCGTGTTCACTCTTACAGTATACCTACCCCCGCCCTGCTGTTTGCAGCTAGGGCGGGCGAGTACCGTGAGCGAACCGTTCGTGAAGACCGTAAAATTAGGCACCAATTTAAAAAAGAAAATCGAGATACTGATCAAGACAAACACCTAATTAAAGCTAATAAAATTTACCCTCTTTCACTTTCTGATCTCCCCCCCCCTTTGTTTGTTTGGGTTTTTTGGAGCGATTTTGTGGTACTTTTTCTTCTCAAAGGCTCCGTAAATATGATTTCAGAGACCGGCTTAGACTCTTCATTTTCGATCCTCAGTCAATATTGCTTGGACCACAAAACTCTCTACTAAAGGCATACAGGATCAACTGCATTTCATGCGCGCATTTTTGTTAGTTTGTCGCAGTGCTCAAGATATAGTTCAAGATCATGCATAAAATACAACATAGGGCTGACAAGTCGCAAAAACAATCTCAGCAACAAATATGCGTTTATTGGAGGCTGTCCTCAAATGAATAAAGTTGCCAAATTCACTGATGCACATTTTCCTCTCCAACAAAATATTTTGGAGAGTCTCTCAAGTGTTTCTGTTAAATATTTTTTTTTTTAAATTAAGGCGTTCTGCCGTTTCGATTTTAACAAGATATTCTTCAGAGGTAAAATGACAGGTACAAAATTTGTTTTTGATTAATGTACCGTTTAAACAATAATAATAGTTTGTTGCACAGCTTCACTCCACATTGTATATTCCACTGTAATTATAGCTGTGTTTCAGATGTCACGCACGCATTTTTCAAAAGATGCAAGCGGAATCCAATTCGCTCTCAATACATCAATTTGAACCGCGTATAAGTGCCACTTCGGGATGCAACGTTAAAGTTGGTCGAGACAATACAGAGGAAGCTATATTATCAATGTTGCATTACTAATGCACATTGTCGAAAACCAGACTTAAGGTATCAGTATTACGGGAATTATATTTCTTCAAGAATAATTATCTTGTCATTAATTTTACAGGCAAACGATCTTTAATATGGACACAATACCACCCCCAAAACCAACATTTTTGTTGCAAGAATGTTCATAGCAAGCCCCCTTTTCGGCTGATTAACGAATCCACTGCGTGATGGCAGAGATTTCTTCTTCCCGCGCATTCTTCACGGCCTGGGGGTCGCCCTTGTTCTTTCCCCTACACAAAGAAACGAACAAGACATAAGGGGAGAATACACGATGAAACAATAAGGTGTTTAATGTGTTGGATAATAGGAGAGTATAGGCTTATATTGTGAGGTTCACATTATATTCTTTTCTAAAACTAATCATGGGTAAACAGGTATCAACAACTTCTTGCAGAGATTGATGACGCAGATGTTTTATTTATGACTTTTTTATAACTCCAATAAGAAAATGACGTCGTCTAAAATAAGCTTCATTCAGATTTATTAAAAAAGGATCAATATTTATCCTACAAATGAACTTTTTTGACACAAATAATCGCGGTGTCAGTTTGTTTTTAGAGGGGTAGGCCCCGCTATATTTCTATAGATATAGAGATTATTTCTGTGATTGAGACATAATTTTCTTGATTTAATCTGGACTAACCTAAGGTCCAAATGGTGAGCTGCACCGGGAATCAGAAGCGTCTTGTAGCGGTCGGGGTTAGGGTTCTGTAACACCCCTCCACCTCGCCATGGATCGATGGCTCCATTGGAGAAGAAAATGTTGGAGCTTGTATTGGCTAAGTCTGTTCAACAATTAAAGATGATATCAAATTAAATATAATGATTATATACATTAAATTGTACATGTTAACTGTGTTCCAATGGAGCACAATTGGAGCACATTTCAAGGGCACATTTTCTCTCCAATCGACTCAGAATGGTTTAGTCACTGGAAGTCTTTACACTGCATGCATGCCTGTGCTCCACTCAACAATGGGCCAGCTTCGGGGATCCTATTTTTGTACCGATGTGAGACTTAATCAAGTCTAATTTACAAGTGACGTCACAGTCAGTGAGTTTGGACAAAGAGGTATACAGGCTGGGTCCTCCGGGACCACCGACATCAACCGAACCACTTACAAGGCCGGATCTAGAACACAAACATTTTTTGTTCCAGAAAAAGGGGGTCCAAAATTGTCCGCCTCAAATTTAATATGAAAAGTAAGGGGAGGGGTGCAAAATGTATTGCTTTTGTTGAGTTTTGTAGGTGGTGTGCGCAATGGCAGTCTTTTTTGCGACATTACTTAAAAAAGGCCCCCGTAGGGCTCCCCCCAGGATTCGCCGTTGACCACTTACAGTGAACTATATACTGAAAAAGACTGAACTATAATTAACATCATTAAAACTCATGCCAGCAGGCTTCCATCATGTTACACCGCAACCGCAAATTATCATGATTATCAATATATGAAAATAAAAAACTAAAAGGAGAAAACATTGATGACTTGCCGTCTCCAAACATCTGAACATTAAGCCAGGTGGGTTTGGGCACAACGTTCCATTTCTTCAGACAATAGTCCTCTCTCGCATTTTTTCCGTGAAAGGCAAACTTGGAAACATGTCCGTTACGCCATTGGTGCCTGCCGGGCGGGTTACCTCTGTACAAACCTTGGGAAAAAGGGGAGAAAACCAAGAAGAAATTGGCATTATCTTCAAATTTGATTTGGACCCTAAACGAAACAAATTCCTAAACGCTTATAGATCTAATTTTAAGTTTTGTTTAATGCTGTGCTTCTTGGGTGTGGCACCCAGAAAAATAAAATATATAAATTCAATTCGAAAATATTTTGTTACATTGATACTTTAGTTAAGACGATTCTAATGAGTGATCACACAAAACAAATCGGTCAACGTCTGATTACAATTTTAAAAACATCTTTCCAATTTGTGAGTTCACTTAATCCGTTAATTTTTAGGTCTATTAAGTAAATAACAGTAAACTATAAATTACCCTAAAAAAAAATACATGGTATGAATTAACTCACCTTACTCAATCTGCGTTCGATAGAAAAACATTGAAAACAACTCTTTTTGGAAGACAGAATAATGGACAAAGTGCATTTGTATTTCTTACTTTGTTTTTCGTAAACTTCGTAGCCTTCTTCCATTTACAATTATCATGGATATTGCTATGTCAATCTGTACCTAGTATAGCAATGCCAACAACGCATCCTACGGGCGACATTAAGTACCTGGTAATCCCAACCTTGGGAACCGCACCCCGTGGCGTCCGAACACTCCATCAACTCCCCGTATATATCGATGCACTTCAGCGAGCCGTGCGTACCATTGTAGAAAAGAACTGGCATTGATGATAAAAGTGATCAGTGATCAATTATTATTGGATATGCAGAGTGGGGGGGGGGGGTCAAAATGCAATTATCAATCAATTTAGGGCCCGTTTTGTTTTTCGTATTTCGTGATTTGAAATTGTGTTTCTAAATCTTGATTAACCATGTCCCAGGTGATGGTAGCATAAATTAATGTGCCCCATGAAATAGTAAAAAAAAACTAAAAAAAAAAGGAAACAGAGAAGATATCCGTAGTTTAAAAATCACAAACTTATACAGCCATAGACCAGCCATAACAACAATCTTCATTCATAATAATGCCGTAAACGGAGCTTACTTGATCCATCAGCAAGCCCTTGCAGGGGGTCACTGGAATTTGTAATCATTGCACATGATACCTGCAGCGTAAGAAAATTAGGCAACATGTATAATTATGAATGGAAAAAGGAATATTTGCCAGGTTTGGTGTGACACCCATGCAGTTTAGAGCAGTATAGCGCTACCAAGCTGTTATATACAAATTTGCAAGGGGGCACTAATTAGCGTGCCTCATTTTCAGAAGATGGCTTTTTATGAGTTTGTAACAATGTTAAGTAGGGGTCACAAGAGGTACAGGTGGGGTAAAGGCCTTGGGGCGTGCCCCAAAGCTTCTTAGTTTACGCCAATTCTTCAAGCCAATTCAAACGAGGCACTTTTCATAGGCAATTCCGCGGAGGTAAAACCAAAATGCTCTGCAAGTTGAGGGACGCCAGGGACACCAAAGTACAGTTTTCCATCAGTTCGTGAAAATTCCCCTGAATAATTTTCCCGACGTTTTCTTCGCTGGGACTGCCTTGAACAATTGGCCTGCAGTCTGATGTGACACGGCCATTAAGGTCTTACGTTGACAGGCCAGGCGGGCAGATTTCCCTCGAAGGCGGCAGGGTAGGGATAGTTGACTGTGGTCAGCGTGGCAAGTGAGTTACGGATCCATAGCAGCAGATGGTGCACTTGGCTCTGGGTTTGCAGCGGATTGCACAGCCGGAAGGCATTGCTGATCTGATCCAAACCTGCATAAAATAAGTGTCTTTGTCATAATTACGCTCTATGGCCGGGTCAGATTTGATTCGGAATCCGGGTAATTCCATTTGACCTCAAAAAATTTAGGTTCAAAATGGCACTTTTCTGTGTAAAAAAAACACTCTGTGGATAATTTTTTGGGTCATTTGATCCAGAACGTCGGCCAAAAGTTAAAACAGAAAAGGGTAATTTTGACCCTTAAGACTATCAGGATCACATAGACCTCGGATTCCGAGTCAATTACCGGACAGTTTTTGGAGTGTTTTTGTTCTGAACACCGGTGGATTTAGGAGAAGGGTGGGGGCATTGGGCCGCTGAAACACTCCATCACACGAGCGTCGGACCCCCACCCCAACGTAAAATTGGCTCAGGGGACGACACTCTCTCATATAATAAAGTTCTTAAAAAGTACCGACGTCGGTACTGAATGCGCTCAATGCTCTCGGACCTGACGGTCCAAAGGAGGACCGTCCCTGAAATAATTATGTCTAGATCCGCCAGTGAGTCCAAATTATTGAAACTTTTTCACTGAAACTAGCCAGCTAATCTAACAATGCCAATGTAGATATGTAGAATCCCTCTTAAGATCTTATCTTTTTATGGTGTCATTTTGTTTGGCCAGAACGTTCCTTTTTCGTAACGTGGAAGGGGTGGCCAACCGGAAAATGAAAGAATACATTTACGGAAAAAAGAATAATTAACAAGATATACAAGTACCTGTCTTTGTTCTTCAAACAAATCAAACGTCTCGGGTCCTCATTTCAAGAAGATCTCATTTCCAGGTTATCTGACCATTTTTGGTTGCTTTAAATTTCAACTCTCGACTCAAATTACATCTGGCATAACGTCACTTGAAATATAACAACACGGGAGTGCATAATGTGCATTGATAGGCTTCAAATCTACTGCAGATTTTGGATTTGCTTGTAGAAATGCCACACAGACACAGATGCTGATGTGGAAAACAAATATTAACTGATTCAAGAAATTAATAGATGTCGGGTAGTAACAGACCTGCTCGACCCTGCATGGCTAGCTCAGAAATCTTGGCGAATCCTTGCTTTATCGTCGGGACGCATCTCGGTGAAGCCTCTACTGAGTTGAAGATCTGTAAATGTAAAGCGATGTTTCTTTAATGAAACCAATAGGAGATACTGGTTCGACAATCATGGAAAAGGGTGAAGGAAATGGGAAACTTATCGGGACTCGGGCAGAATCTATTAATCACTGGAAAACAATCTCACACAAATTTATCATTCAATTTATGAAAACAGAGTGTAATGGATGCTTAATCTCAAAGTTATTCATGCTTTAAATTTCCTCTCTCTTAATCTGCACATTGCGAATGTTTAATTGGCTTCTGAGGCAACGTCGTTCACTTACTTTGGTCACATCTTCGAAGTAGTAAGTCTGTGATCCGATGCCGGCGGCAGAGATTATCGGTCCACCCGACGATATTGCTCCTACTACCACGTTGGGATACTTAAATCGGAGGTAAGCACTCAGCATGCCACCATAGCTGTTGAAGAAATAGTTGCACTAATATATATTTTTTTTCCATAAAGGGTGTTTTGGGTGCTAACCTATAATGAACACCTAGACAGGCATGGATAGTAACGTTGGCCTCAGAGCATACGGAATTATATACAATGTCATTAGAATATTAAGCCGTTATGGTAACGCAACTGAAAAAAAAAATCGTTTTCGTCGTTCTTTGGGCGATTGACTTGCTGCCTACACATGCATCATAGTCATGAAAGTACTTGAAACAAGCAGCGCCCGACTAACGCCAGGCGTCAATAATAGGCAATCCTCATACAGCTGCTCCCATTCCAGATCAAAGTCTCAAGTGACGTCAGTGAGACAGGTAACCATTTTAATTACAGTGCGTTCGTCAGCAAAGGCCGGTTTGTTTACAAACAAAAACACTTTTGATGCGAAGAAAACATAGTTCTAGCGCAGTTCGTTTGAAATCTTCAGACAATATTCAATTTGTATTAACATGTGAAGAATTCATGAATAACTTTGGTTTTAGGACTCAGGCCTATATACCACTTTCCTTAAAGGACATAGTCCCTGGTATGGTCACATTTGACCCGGATTCTGGGGTCCTTTTAGCCTGACGTATCTCAGGGTCAAAAGTGACACCTTTCCGGGTCAATATGACACTTGTCTGACTCAGGTTACGGGTCATTTTGACCCGGAATCTTTGGCAACAGTTTAAGTTTAACCAGAAAAGTATTAATTTTGACCCTGAAATGTGTCTTGACATAAAAATTCCCGCAATGTAATCCGGGTCAACCTGACCAGGGACCGGTGCTATACCTTCCTCCAAATGCAACGACGGGAGCGTTGTCTGCCTTGAGCTGTTTCTTGACGCCTTGGATGAGCGTGGCGTAATCGGCAAGGACCTGCTCGATGGCCAGTAGACCCACGTTCCCTGCCGTGTAGGACTGGTTACCGAAGGGAAGCGATTCCCCGTAGTAACGCTGTGTGAGGGGAAACACACAAAGATTCTGTATATCAATCATACACAAGTCAATTATAACTATTTATAAAATCGTACTCAGGTCACAAGTTATGCTAGGTTCACACATTCCCGAATTTTAAGCAGAATCGCCACGAATAGAAATATTGAGTAAATCGGAGATGGTTCATGGCTGCCTCGGGATGATTCTGTTAGTTCGGTGAAAGATCGTTCAAGATCGGGAAGCACCCCAACAAATTTGAACATGTTCAAAAAATGTCGGGTGATTGGGGAACCAATTTCAATTCTTGGTTTATTCTTGTTGTAATCATAACTAAGTCGGGAATTTGTGTGAACCTAGCATAATTACTGAGGATAAACCTGGTCAGGCTGTAGCACTTTCACTTACGTGCTCGGCGAAAATGACCAGCGCGCCAAACTGGGGCGCTATGTCATAGAGAAACCCGGTGTTTTGCAGGAACAGTGTGATGTCAGCCTCGTTACCCGTGTAAACGAAAATTGGGTATGAGCCACCTTTCCAGTAGTCCTCTGCACAGACATTTTGTAATGGAACAAAACCAAAACTATGGTCAACAAAAATATTAGAGGACATAGTACCAGTGGCGTTACAGTGGGTAGCGCCCCCACTCGGGACCTGTCCCCCTCCCTCGGACTTTGGATAAAGGGGAAACAATTGTTTGAAAGCACGACCGATCCCATCGAGTGCTCCAGAAAAAAAGGAGGCCCAAAATATCCTCTGCATATAATTGGAGCCTAGCTGGAAAGTACTGATCATAATTTGATGAAGACAATTGAGTTATAATGGAAACTCTAACCAATTAAGCCTCACTATAATAGGCCTTGGTCTACAGACCAGACCGGTATAGTTTTGACTTGAACCTTCAAACTTGACCATCGGAGTTACTTCAGTTTGGGTATAACTTTCAAAAGGAAACCGGTTTTCTACTGCTTTTGGCAGTCTGGAAACTATTATAACTAGGCCTATCCCAAACAATCGCTTACACGAACCACCATATAATTACTCTCACACCAACACAGAGTAATGCATTTTTGAATGCACACAGTTGTACTTATGCTACGGTTGAATGCTAAGGCAATAAAAGGGTTGTTAGTCCTACACTCACCTGTGATCAAATATCGTTGTTTGAAAGTCTGGTTGCCGTGGCTTTTGAAGTTGAAATGGTCGATGGTCTGATCGAAGTACATGGTTTTGTACGGGTAATCGGCCATAGCAAACGGCAGGCTGTACAGCGCTAGCAGAACAGGGATCGTGGCCTGAAATAAGCGAGCCATCCCGTTAGGTATAATGGAGTTCGGTTTTGAGATGTATTTTGTGGAAATTACATGAATAGAAGTTTGAGGCGGGAAGGGCAGGTGTATATACTTTGAAGTGATTGTGCACTTACGGGCTGCTATGCTGGGTGGGAGGGTTAGCAGTCGATTGGCATGGATCGCGTGATCTTTTTATAGCGATTACAGTTTTAGACTCTGCCCGTCACATGTTTTCCCATCCAGTTGGAACGGTGCAAAAACCACAAAAGTTCGCAATTGATAGTGTCACTGTCAGCGTAAAGAGAAACTAACAGAGTTCAGACATGCTGTTGTAATCGTGCTTTATCTAGGCCGCGCAGATAAGTTTGAAGTGTTTTTTTTTTTGGCTGGTCCCAGGCCCCAGCCTGTATATAGCAGTGCATAGGCGTTTTTCCATTCAAGTGCCCTTTTTTCGCATGTTTCAACCCCCCCCCCCCCCAATAAGTTTTAAGAAGTTTTTTTAGCAAGTGCCCTTACTAAACAGGTGCCCTTTTTTTACAACAAAAAATGAGTGCCTTTTTTTTTTTAACTAGCGGCTATAACGAGTGCCATTTTTTTTCGAATTTCGCGCGTGTGCCTCCCTGAAAAAACAATATTGTCTGATATATTATCGTCCGTTTTGAACAGTGCCCTCATTGAAAGATGGTACCAGCCCCCCCCCCCCCCCCCCCATAACCCCCCCCCCCCCCGACGTATTTACGACCCTTTAAGTACTCTTTTATCTGACCAATATTGACTGATTGCATGTCACGTGTGAATTAAACTTGCTTAAGTCTCACCTTGCTCCATAAGTTCCAATAAGGTTATCCCTTAACACCAATGAAAGTGCTAAATCCAGCCATTTGTTTACTAGGCAATTCTGAAAGGATTGAATGTAATTTGAGCGCATTGTGACTAGCTTTACTATAATTGCGTTGTCTTGTTTTATTAGCATCTGAGTGAGTTCTTACAAGCATTAATACAAACAAACACTAGTGGCAGATTCAGCCTCAGAAAGAAGTGGGCGGGGCTTACTTCGCTTATGAAGGGGTGCCGGTGCCGTTCCAGGCACAACTATCTACTCAAGCTAAATCTGCCATTCCAATCTTACGTGGTGATTTCAATCTGGATATTGAATTTACATGCAAAACATTTATAAAAGAAAAAGAACGCAAATCAAAAAAGAACCATAGAAATATTTACTGGTAGTATACACCGCAAATTAATCATTAGCTCTACTAGTGATACCCACTACTTGTAAACCAAAACTGCATTCACAGCAATCAGATCTCTAGGTCTACTCATAAACACACACGCTGTGGCATCTGGGTATAAAAATATGTCGATTATTTTGTTTTAACGATAGCATTAAACTACGAAACTTTTATCGAGGAACTACTATCAACTGGTCTTGATTAGTCTAGTTAGATCGCGTGACCGTTTTAAACTATTTTTTTTTACAGCGATTACAATTTTAGACTGTATGTCACGTCGGTTTCCATCGAAGAAAATCTAAACAGGGTTCAGATATACGTTGATGTCATCGAACACACAGAAATGTTTGAGGCTTTTCGGCTACTCCCAGACGGGGCCAGCCCTACTACTTTTTACACCTGACCGACTGACTCACTGACTGACTGACTGACTGGATGTCACCTTTGAATCTGACTTACCTAAGTTTTAACATTCCCCGATGTTCGAAATTTGAGATTATCCCAAATTGTACGCCGACACGGCTATATCCTGTGTATTGTGTACTTGGCCACTTAAAGGCTCAATAGCCATTTTGAATTGGCCGAATTTAATTATGCGCGCTCTTGAACCAACTTTACTGTAATTGCATTGTCTTGTTTTATTGGCATCTGAGCGAGGTTAATTGTACAAGCTAGGTTTAACAGTCAAACAAACAGTGATAGATTAAGTCTGAAGTAAAAAATGGCATTGCTTAATTCGCTAATGGTGGGGTGCTTGTGCTGTTCCAGGACAGTTAATCCACAGACGCTAAATCTGTTAGTCCAATTTCTTACGTGGTGAATTAAAATCTGTAATTTTGTTTTTAGCCCTATCAATGGAAGTTGATTTTACATGCAAAACATTAATTACATAAACATTAAACAATACTGTCAAAATGCACACAAAGGAATGGCATTTACATAATGTAAAGACAGGATATGATTCCAACAATATTTACAACTATTTTTGGCCTACACCGCAAATAAATCATACACTCCATATCAATACCCACCACTTCAAAACAAAAGTTATGTTCACAGCAATCAAACCATTAAGTTTACTAAGAAATATACACAATTGGCTTCTGGGTATGAAGATACGTTGATATTTTTTTTGGCTGGTTGTATGTTTGTTTATTTTGGTGGTTTTTTTTTTTTACATTATCACATTAAATTACAAAACTTGTAAAAGGAAATTATGAACTAGTGTCTTCCGCTAATTATGGCCCTGTAACAATTTACAGCAATGACACCAGGTAACCTAGCTTCGAGAAAAGCTTGTACCCTGTCTGTCCGTCATCGTGAGTAACATTGTTCCCCATTGAGGCATTACTACCAACTGTTCTGAGGTCTAGTATTCAAAGTTAACTGTCATTATGGTTGAGTCCTGTTCGTCGATGTCATCGTAAAGATGGTTATTCACTAGCCCACGACGACGAGGTCGACAACACCAGCCCCACGCCCCAGCGATGCACGATCCTAAGCGACACAAGCATCCATGACGCCATATAGCCTTCACGCCGGTCCAGATTAAGCTAGCTATAGCGATGAAAGCAGAGAGAAAGAAATAAGTTTTTCTTGTAACTTGTTGCCCGAAGGTTCTTTTTTATATTATGTTCTGATTTTAAAAGCTACAAGGTCTCAGGACCAAAATCCGTATTACTCAGAATCATATCGTCATCTGCAAGATTTAAACAGATCGTTGGGATGCAACAGGTAGATGGAAAGAGATTCTTACCAATGACAAAAACGATGATACTGAGGTTCATCAGCACAAGAACAACAGAGAGAACCTCCTTTCTGTTCTGGCTGGATTGAGCATCCTCGCTCGGCAACAGAAGCAGCGACGCAGCCAACAGGTTAAGGAAGATGGTACCAAGCGAGCATATCTGCAGACGATGCTCGACAGCATCCTTCATGGGTTTGACGTAAGCGTGCAGGAGCAGAAATCCCACCGATATGACTATGGTGGCGAACATGGTGAAGTGATCGTCGGGCCCGTATAACAGCACAAACAGCGTCTGGACGATCTTGCGGGCTAGCTCGAGAATCTCCCAGTACCAGAACTTTGGCTTGTAATTCTCGCACAGGAAACTCTCCCAATTGAATTCAGCCTGGCTTGGCGGTTCCGTGTGTAGGAGTTCATCATCTGTCTCATCAGGCAACTCGTTTCTGTAAGTGGCGACACGAGCGGCATCCAAACGACATTGACTAGCAACATCGAGCAAAGGCTGATCCTCACTTTCCCGTCTACCACCGACAGCCCGGTCTTCTTCCGTTTTCTGACGTTCCACCACAAGAGGAGAAACAACACCAAGGGAAACCCAAACACGTAGAAGAGGAAGACCTCAGCTGCGTAGTTGAACTGAACATGCTGCTGCGTTTGGCAATCGATCGAGTAATCGGCTCGAAGTCTGGTCACATTGAGGGTGTCTTTTTCGTCCATGTAGAAGAGGTGACACCCAGAGGGCAATAATGTGAGGATAACACTTGACAGGCTTGGGTAGGAAATAAAGAGCAGTATCACCACAAACAAGTAACATCTCTGCTTGGTCTGCGACATGAGAGCTTTTCGTTCCGCACGCGGTGTTTTCTTTGCTTTCAGGAAACATTTCTTGGAGCTGTTAAAAACACCAGGCAGCAAGCAGAACCAACGCCACAAAACTAATGCCGGCCAAGAACTCAATGTAAATATTAGGATACGTGAAGTTTGGGACATAGCATCTAGGACTGATAAACAACCGCATGATGTTCACCTCCAACAGTCTAAAGACTGAGCCAACGCTTGTTAATATATTCGGCCATGCAATTTCATTTAGCGCTGAGAATATCTCCCCCATGACCTGGTAGAAACCCAGTACGATCTTCCCTCGAGCAAGCAGCAGGCTGACGGCAGACCGACCGTTTCTTCGGACCTTGTGCACCTGCCAAACTATGATGATGACAATCAGGGCAAGGGCCACGCATACAGCAATGACTTCAAGCAGGAACCACCACCATTCGGGACACTCGAAGCAGTGATCGAACCAAGGGTAATAGTACGGACTGCATTGGGAGCAAAGCCAACCCGTGTAGCCTTCCTCGCATGTTGCATTGATACCACCCAGCACAGCATTCACGCATGACTCACTGCGAGGACATTATGCACTTTGGGTAACACACCCCCAAAACTCTTGCTTGTGTTGTCATATCTGGAATCTTCAGTGCGCACATTTTGGACGAATCGCTCGTAGGATAGGTAGTTGTCATCCGATAAACCCCAGTCCCAGGTCCACCAAAAGCCAGACAGGAGGTGTTGGTACTCCTCTGAGCAGTTGACTCCTTCAGTTGGACACGGATTGCATTTACCGAACCGGTCAGTACGGTAGTAGCCGTCAAGACACGGACAGGCACGGAAGCCAGCGTGAAGGCTCTTCTCGGTACCTATAGGACAAACCGTGCAATTCGCAGGACTGGTACCAGGGTGCGCCTCAGGCGTTACGTAGGTGCCATTGTTGCATCTCTGACAGTTGATACCTTGAGAACGGTCAGCCACTTGCCCCGTCTTGATTTGGTAAAAGCCCCCTGTATTGCCAGGAGAAAACAAAAATTCGAGACAAAATTGTTTTTACGACATGTCAAAGACATATTTTCTGCTGTACTCAATGTATACCAACTTTAAAAAGGGGCAAACGGACAGATTTCCGCCGAATTTTATCTCCCAGTGTGCATTTCAATCGATCTTTTCCCGTTTGTTTTCCCTTTTATCTCATGGCTTAAGAGAAACACGTGAGCATCAGATACTTTGCAGTATCCTTCATACAATGTAATAATGGAAGCTTTGAATGGGCAGTTTTACCTGGCGGGCATGCAATACATTTGTTGTCAAGCTGATTGGATCCGAACGTGCCTTGTGGGCAGGGCATACAATACCAATCGT